CCCCCCCCCCCCCCCCCCCCCCCCCCCCCCCCGCCCCCCCCCCCCCCCCCCCCCCCCCCTAGTCTTTCTTATTCAATACTTTCCTGCTTTTAAAAAATATTTTAAAAGAAAATTTTCTTCAAGCTTCTCTAGATAATTAATATATTTTTTTTTAATGCATGGACACACAGTCGAACATTTCATGTGTAAATACAAAAAAACAAACAAAAACAGATAAAAGTGATAGTAACATATAATAGATCTAACTGAATGAATACACACAAGATTACACACTAAATTTCAGATTCTTTTGCTGTCTGTGGGTTTTTGTCGCGAACTGAAAAATAGAAGCCAACGAAAGTGATTTCTTGAATCACTATATGTTTATATACAAAAATAGAACGAGCACTATAAGGTGTTTACAAGAACAGGATGAAAAAAAGATTTAAAAAAACAATCCTTGAAAATCATTAAAACGTCGCCGAAGAGAATAGACAGCTCTGTCGCTTCGCGACCATTTACTAAGATCAAATGCTTCACCCCCGAGACCATGACGCCCTTTATATAAACGTAATTCTTTGAGATAATCGAATGATTCTTTATCACCGTAATCAATATTATTTCGATCGATTTGTGCAGCATGTTTCAATGCTTTCCACAATTTATTATTTGCTGTTTTCTTATTCCAATCAATGGCCACTTTATCCATAACTAAAACCCAATTGCAATAAATAACCTGAAAGAAAAAAATAAATAAAATTTGCCTGTAAAGCAAAAAGCTTCCAAAACATACTTGGAGAACATTGGTATACGCACTGCAAACATCAGCAATAGTCAAAAATAAATAGCCAACAATAATAGCATGTTCTAAGACTTGTTTAAAATTTGGTAGTTGCTTCAAAATTTTGTTTAATTTTTCAACTAAACCTTCGTCAAATGTTTCAAATTTTGTAAACATTTCGTTTGGTAAGAAGCCACGAAGAATCGTTACATAGCAAGCACCAATAACACGCATTATTTCATAGAATCGATCACCATCATCAATACCGCTTATGCCATCGGCATGATCAAGTAAGATTGTTAATGCTTCAAGACGACGAAATGCAAGGATATGATTAATTTTATTATTTGGCTTAAGTTTGTAATTTATTCGATTTGCAACACGTTCTTGTACAACAAATATGGCTTTGGTTAACTCATTAAGACAATTTTCAACAACTTCTAAGTGACCATAACAACTGAAATCGGCATAAATGTACATTCCATAGGCATCGGGATACACTCGACGAAGAACTTTACGATATTTAAGGCTCCAAAAACGAGCTGTTTTCGAAACAATTAATGCTTGCTCTTCAAGACCAGCATTTTCATAGATAACATATTGTTTATTGGCCGGATATTCTTTTCCTTTATCATCAGGAGCAATCGATATAACTGCATTTTTTCCATCAAAATCATCATCATCATCCGATTCATCAGAACTAAAAACGATATCTTCATCTTCATCATCGTCGTCGTCACTAAGATCAGTATCATCGTTACTAAGATCGCTGTCATAATCATCAAGATCATTGTCGACATTATCAAGATCGGTGTCTTCATCGCTGCTTTCCTCGATAGTAAAATCAACATTTTTTTCAGGTACTGGTTCGACGATTTGTACTTCTGGAGTTGCTTCTTCTGTATGCGTACTTTGATGTGCTGGAGTTTTTGATATATTTTCTTTTTCGGTATGATTCTCTGCAACTTTCATCTTTTTGACCGGATTTAATTCATCGTTATTAACACGTTTTGATGATTGTGGTTGTTCGTGTTCATTGACTTTGTTTCGTATCGTAAGATAACGCTTGGGCATTTTGAAATCTTTTCGAATGTAACTTACTACAAGATGAATATAGGTTGAACTAACTGGAAACTGTAACGAACATGTTGAAATTTAAATTGAACAAAGACCGCGTCAAAGATAGTCATTATTGGTTCAAATTCATATATACGGTAGAGGGCAGAACGCATTCGATAAACGAAGACGCTCCTATCTATATATATGCAAAAAATGATTTCGTACGTAGAAACATGATCAACACACAAATATATGAAATATTTTGATTTTATAGTGCTTCTTGTTTCTACGTAAATGTGCTGTCTGACGAATTTTAATAATAAAATCATGCTTAGATTCAGCTAGAACAGAATAATATTAGTAGAGCACTGTAAGCACGCTCATTATAGATTGATGTAAATATTTATGTTAACAAAATGAAGAATAAATCTAGATGTTGAAAATGAAAATTATGTGAAATCTTTTAATTGTGTTACTGATAACCAGAGATTAATCAGAAAGTTTGATATAGAAAGTCTACATCAATAGAATAAGCACATTGACACATCTTCATTAATATACAAAACACTGCCGTTAGCATGGTCAGGAATATATGAGCTATGGCCAATTGACCGGGTAAAGTGTTTTAAGTAGAGAGCAGCTATGGGCAGTAACTTTTTAATCTTTGAATAATTATGAATGCTTCAAGAGCCCGCTGGCTCCAATAATCCATGACATAAAAGACTAATCAATAGCTTAAAGCTGCTCATGTCATCGATAGAAAGAACCGTAACGATTACTTATGATTGTATGGCAAGTATCCTTATGGTATATTTTTTTTTACATAATATTGTACAATATTCAAAAGTAGTAGCTAACTATAATATGAAATTGAATACTGAGCAAATAAACAGCTGCTCAAACGCAATAGTTTATAAAAAAAAAAAGGAATTTACTTAAATTATCAAGATTTTCATCAACGCATTAATTATTGCGATTGTACTGAATTTTTGAACTTTACAACCATGATCAGATCCATAATAGTTTAGAAAGTCAGGAAGAACCGATTTTTTCCATTCATACCATATAGGCAAATTATTAATAACTTACCAAGGACAATATGTGACGACGAATCCTTATATACTTTCGATTCATCTCGTCGGAGCTCAAATATAAGTTTAGTCGACAACACATTAGACTGTATCGCCTCATTGTTAATAAAAATCGGTGTTTAAAAAAAACTTCACTGTACTTCCAAGTCATTATAATCGTTGTATTAGTCATAATCAATATTTGATTTGAAAAATGAATCAATCAGAGTCGTCTAACTAATAATATCTTCTTCCATTCGTATCGTCTCACAATGTGAAGTATTAATCGATCTAGACTTTCATTACATCCTGTTTTATTTTACAAAAATGTAAAATTTTTTATTTGAGAAACCATTCAATACTTTAATCTGTCGTTACGCATTTAAACATATATATATATATATATATAGGTTGAAATTGGATATATGTGTCTGTGTAGGACAATACACTGAATAATCTCAAAGAAAAATCATATGATTATACTTTTCAAATATTTTATCATTAATTTATTATATAATTTTTTTCTTCCATTCGAGTGAATAAAAAAAAATGTTCAGAGCCAAAAAAATAGGTAGAATAAGATCTAGTTTCTATCTATCGTCATTCCAAGAACGATGATATTACGTAGATGAGTGATACGTAAGAACAAAAGAAGAAAACAAACGAAGCAAAGAAATATATAAAAGAGAAAATAGACATCTTTCGCCGATTGATTTTCACTTCTTAAATAGTACTTAACACCAGTTTCAATTGCCGACTGATATGTTTCGATAGATTTTGTGAACGTTCTTGTACTTTTCTCGCTCGTTCAAAAGCTTCATTTAATCCGTTCAAATCGGTGCAAGTTAGTTTCTAAAAATCAATCAACGGAAAATTTAATTAATATTTGTTTTTGTTCTACTCACATCCTCGGAATCACTATCGGAAGATGCTAAATCGTCGATGAATTTACGATATCGTTTAAGTTTTCTTGAACAATCAGAAATAATATAAAAGCAAAATAAATATTATATTTACCTATTTCCACTTTCGTAGCCGGGATCATCGATATCACTTGTAACTCGTCGTAAATTTGAATCGATATGATGACTAGAAATAGCACATGCGCTTTTTTTTGACAATCTATGTAGATTAATTGAAATACAAACCGATGAAAATATGAAGTAACACTGCCACATTCATCACATTTATATAAATTTTGAGTGGATTTTGTCTGAGATGCTGGTCGATAATATGTTACAGTTGAATGTTTAGTTTTTTCTTCAGCATATCGACTATATATATATATATATATATACATTTGTACAATAATTAAGTTGTCTTTTATTGAAAAATCAATGATTTACATACTATATAACGCCTGTTTGAGGATCTAAATAAAGTTTATTTGCTGGTTGTGTTTGTTTATTGTATTGTCGTGCATTTTGATTAAGTTTTTCTTGTGAATTTCGATGTGTGTGTGCTTGATCGACGTAGAATGAACTTTTATACATTGTTTCACGATTTCTTGAGGACAGAGAATTTTGTTGAATAAATCCACTTTGATATTTTCTACTCATTTTACGATTGGATTCTAATTTTGATGATATTTGCGGTGCAGTTTGTGGTCGATACGGTCGAGTTTTATAACTGTCTAAATCAATACTATCGTTCGATAGACTTCGATGAGAGGTTGCTTTTGAATGTGAACGTTGTGTTGTCGATCTTTGCGGTGATAAATTATAATACGATCGTTTTTTAGATGATGCCGATTGTGGATATGTATCAAATGAACCAGTTAAATGAGCTTCTAGATCCGATGGATAAGCATCTACATGTGGTTAGACAAAAAAAGAGCTTGAATTTTTTCTCTATTAGACTAGATTCGTATTGATCGGATCACGCTGTTTCAAAAACGAAGTCTCGAACTTTTGTTTTCAATACGATGAATAGAATAGCTGCGTCGTTGAAAATAACATATAAATATTTTTTATCGGTTTGTGAAAAATCAGAATTGATAGAAGAGACAAAAATGTCTTTTTTTTAAAATTATGTTACTGTTTGCCAATTTTGTATCATGAATCGATAGAAACTGTTTATAGAACAATTCAAAACGAAGCAAAAATCATATTTACACTTGCTCAAAAATTATTTTGTAAAGAAATCCGCAAGTCGTAGGTTTTTTTGAAAAAAAAAACATACTTTTGAGAATTAGATTTGCACTTATTCGAAATAGCTCCCTACTCGACAATCCAATCATGTGAAAATAAATGAGAGAGAGAAAATGCTGAGTTGAGGGCGTCTTACCTGAGTGGCCACTAGGTTTTCGTCGACGATTGTCATCAAGCTGTTTCGATGATGATGGACGGTCGAATTTTTTTGTATATTTGCTTTTAAAAAAAGAATAGAAGAAATGTATGAATGCAATCACAAATTCGGTTAGAATGCAACTGAAGGACGAATGGAATAAAACGAAAAAAGAAAAGTTCTTTTCTTCTTTTCTTTCGTTTATTGTTGATTGACACTGTTAAATATTCTTTTTGTTGTCGATACTTATGTGTGAAGTATAACGATTTTAGAGATACAAAATTTACCTATAAGGGCTTCCGGGACTTGCGGCACCTGAACCACTTGAACGTGACGATGAAAGATTTGAAATCGATTCTGTAACAATAAAAATAAATACAAAAAAAGAGTTCTCTCTTCTGTTTTTCTTGATTATAGTCACCTTGTTCTTCATCGGAATAGCGTCGTTGTTCTTCATCCAGCGATTGGTAATGACTTTCATCCATTGTACTCGTGTTCAATTTACTAAAAAAAAGAAAAAGATAACCTTGTCTTTAGTCTTTTTTCTCCCCGCGTATAATAGGTTTACCTATCACGGCTTAATTTAGTAGTATTATTTGTGCCGATACCACTATCGTAATCGCTATTACGTGTTCGCATTGAACTAGCTGAACATCGAGTGCCTGTCCTTGGTATTGAAACAGATGATGTGGTTAGTTCTTTGTCATTTTGATAGATATGAGTAAGTTTCTAATGAGAATTAATTATGAAATCAATTATTTCAGTTTATTAGAATTCTTTTACTTTCTGTTGAGTTCTATTATTTCGTTTTGATTGTGATACATTTTCAAGATTGTCGTATTCTTGAAATGTTTGTTTAGTAGGATATTTCTTTTTCTTTGTTATTGTTGTTGTTGTTGTTGGGACCCCATGTATATGAGCTTGTTCTTCATCAACTTGTTGGTATTGTTTAGTTGATGTAAACGGAATATGATCGACGCTGAATGAAGCTGATTCCATGCCTTTCGATAATGGAACTGGCGTAGAATCACTAATTTGTTGTTGGTCATCGTCAGAGTTCTGTAAGTAATGAAGCGAAAAAGAAAAAACATTAAAATTCCATCGCTAATGATGATATGAGACCGAGACAAAGAAATCGATGTAAAAGATTGATTATTTAACTTCATTGAATCCGTATTCGATCGAGCGTTGAATTGAACTCTATGATCTCAGTCTTTTCTTCTTTGATTTCCGATGTGATTGAAACCGGAGAAAAGCTGCGAGTAAACTATTCGCTCCTATGGGTACCATAGTTTGACATTTCAATGTTTCTACTGATCGCAAAAATCCTATTTTATTTTGCAATAAAATATCGAATTAAAATCCCTTTAGATTTTTAGGATTCACGATCTGTTTTTTCTCTTCGAAGATTTGAACGCTATGTTGTTGAGAATTTTAACTTTTAATAAAAATGGTCCAGGCTATGAGCTAATTAGCATATTCGTGATTAGACAGCATGTGGTGAAAGTTTTCAAGAAGCTAGAAACAAATCAACCTTGGTGTCAGTAGTTTCAATGAAAAAAAGCGTCACTCAAAAGGTGAACAAGGCATATTTAAAACGATTTTGCCGTAATAAATGTTCTCTAATGGCATAATAGTGAAAAGAAACATACTCCAGATACATAAACATAGGGTTGCTTATTTTTTGTTGTTGGTGGATCCCGATTGGCAATATCTGATCGAGTTGAATCATGAGAATAACTATAGTAAAATACGTTGATGAAGTAAAATTTAGTGACAAACAAAATTCACTTACGATTTTCTCAATTGTCTTGATCCTGTTTCCAATCCTGTATTTAAAGACTTGAGGGCCGGATTTTGCTCTACAGTATCAGCATTAACAGCATTCATGATTTTCTGATATTGATCCATAAGATCACCATGATTACAGATAGAAGATCGATGAGATGATTGACTCTATGATTTAATTCAATGCAAACAATAAAAGATATTTTCCTAAACTTCGATCTTTACCAATTGACTGCCTTCTCGTGTTAAATGACCATTCTCAGAACCACTATTTGATTTGCCAAGTAAATTATCTGTTATTCGTTTAACGATTTCTTTTAGTAATTGTTTCATTGTTTCTAATTCATTATTTAAATCTCTAAAGAAAAAGAATTCTTCAAAAATCAGATTTTCTAAGGAAATATTCATCATATTTACGCATCAAAATCAATATCAGCAAGATCATTACTATGTTTTGATGTATCATATGCTTTTAATAATTTTTCATAATCTTCTTTAATATTTTCATAGACTTGTTTTTGTTCAGCTAAACTCAATTGGTTAGCATCCATTAATGTAATAAACGATTTCATCTATTAAATGTAAAAAATATGTTTGTTTATTATTTTCGTTTTTGTTCTTCAATTCGTTTACCTTTTCAGCTAATGTTTTTGTTTGAATGAGTAAATCAAGTCTAACAGTTTCTGGTGTTGTTAATTCTTGCACAATAATCTTTTGCTGCGGAGATTCATCGAAAAATACCGATTCTACTGTGCCAGATGGCGATGTACCTAGATGTTAAGAAAAATTAGTTTTTCATTTGAATTTTCGTTTCAAAAATGCATAGGAAATGAAAGTATAGAAAAAATAAATAAAAGTATATATGGGAGATTGAGAAGAAAGAGTGTTTCCATACGATATTCATACTACTTTTGAGTCTATAGAGAATAATAACAAAACTTATCAAGAAGTGATATAAGGGTCTCGATAGTTGTCAGCAATGATCTTCGTATTCGCTCTCGTTTCTTTTTGTGAATGACGAGGTAAGAGGCTGACCTCTTTGTTCATGCCTGGTGGCTATGTACCACTTACATTCTACACTACTCAGATGCTGACCACTTAATGACGACATGATGTGATAGCAGAGAATCATGTAAACTAACGTTCGCCTAGAACATTAGCAGCTACTACATAATACTCGGCTTCTGTCAAAATCGGTCCGGGGCAGTGAAAAGTGTTGTTAAAAATTCATAAGCTTTTTCATTCTTTGCTTGAGGCTGTATATCTTTACTTTCGCGGCTTCTGCTAATGCGATAACTGTAAAGTCGAACAGCCAAGCAAATAATGAAAAATGCATAACCTTCAATTTATTCATTCTTTCAGTACACAAATACTTCTTTAATTCATCATTAGAGATATTATAATTCAATTTCACGTTCGAGAGGAAAAATCAGCAAATGACTTCTACCTATAAGATACATCAGTTGTTTAACGATTATCAAACGAATGCATGCGCATACCTATCAAATAATCAGTTTTATTCAACTATTTTATGTTTAATTTTTCTAATCGGTTGTAAAATAAATCGGTAAACATAGTTTTATACCTGTTTCGTTTATAATAATAATTCTTAATACATTTCTGATGGCTTCTCTTTGGTGTTAAATGGCGGTTTGTTGAGAAAGTATGTTCACTTTTATTTCCTCAGTTGATACGTGCTGATGTAAAAATGAAACAAGAGAAGAAGAAAAAAGTTTGAATGAATCGATTTGACACTTGAAATTTTGTAGTGAGGCAATGTATATGAGAAATCAATTTTTTTCTTTTAACTCTCGTCGTCGACTTCTCAAAGGGTTTCATGACATATGTTGTGATTAGAAACTCGTACGAAAGAAAACGACCAATGAAAGCAACACCTTACGCAGATATTAAAGAAAATGTGAGAATTTAAAAAGTGAAAACGAAATAATTCCTTTTGTCTTCGGATTAATGGAACAGAAAAAGAAAACGCCAAGGATGTCTGTATTGATTTTTTTGATTGACGTCAAAGTGAAAAGAAAAGCGATTGTATGAAAATATTTTTATATGCAAAATTCGTTTTATTCGATTTTTCTTTTTCAAGATCTACGAAAATGATACTACACTGATCTTGTTACATCGAAAAATGAAATTAAAACCCGAACAAGACAAAATCGCTATGTCAAATAAATTACTATTTGAACTCGAAATACGATATCTAGTTATCACTACGTTGCAGCAGTTTTTCAGCGCTTCATGGGTTGTTAGTATTTGATTTGAAAATGTTTCTAAATATAGAATTGTTCAAGAATTTTTCTCAGGATAACTAGTCAAGGATCTGGTAAGTATTCATTTACTGAGATGATTAATTCTCAACGTAGAGTACTCAATCAAGATACTATAATATATGACACGTGAAAGTACTTCAGTGTCTACGGTTGATCAGTGTTTTGTTACCCTGCAAAAAGAATGAACGAAATTTCTACTACTGTGATAAAGTTTTGCACTATTCTAATATTATAGATGCATCGAGATTTCGAGTGAATATCATTGATTTGACGCATTATAGCAACACAAGAAAGATAATTTACTGAGGAAACATAGGGCTTAGAAATTTCTAGCGGCTTCATCACGGTGATCTCGTTTATTAGTGTTAGATTGTTGTCAGTTTCGAACGAATTGCATTCTAATACTCTGTATCAGTCTCCCGCTTTAGTTTCAGCTGTTCACTTGATTTATTTACATCAAGAAAAGATAGCATCCTGCTCTTGAACTTCAACGAAATAGCAAATGGCAATAAAGAGGCGAACATCATCCTCACCCTTGTTTAAACAGGGGGTGAAAAAAATGCTTGCATTAACCCAGTTTTTTTATCCTATCAATGCTGTCTCAAATAGTCAAACAGGAATGTCATTATAATAAGTAAAAGTCGATGAAAGAAAATGTATAATGAAGGTGTCGCGAATAAGTGATACTTGTTATAGCAGACAAGGACGTTGACATTTGACAATCAGCTTTTTTTCAATAGTTCGAATGTAAAAGTTACTATCAAATTATTTGAATGTGAAAAGGTTCTCGTGACAAACAGCGAAAACGTTGCGACACTGAATAGACGTTCAGTTCAAGGGTTTATCAGTGACATCGAATGACAGTGTCAATGCGCTCTCCTCGGCGGCTAAGAAGGTAAGATAGTAACAGTTGATCAGAATTTTTAGATGTAAGACTCAGATCAAGAAAATATGTTTAGTTGGAAAATTTTAAAGATATTCTGTCACGATCTGAAATGAAATGAATCTAATTAATAGCGCATGCGGGAATAGTGACTATTATCAGAACTCTCTTTTTTTCATGTTCGCTAATCATAGATGTCGAAGAAGTGATATAATCGAATTCTCATTAAACGTTACGACAACAAAATGAAAAGACAATTGATATCATTGGTTGCATTTAGTATAACTCATTTTGAACTGAAATTAACTTGTATCATCTTTCATCAGAAAGTTAGTCTTTATATAAGAGGAAAAAATGAACGTGTTAAGTTACTTCATCAATAACGACTAAGTAGATAAGGGTCAGATGTCGTTATGCATCTGTCTGAGAGAATTTAAAAATTCTAGATAAACTTCAGTAAATAGATATATATTATATATGTTAATCTTGTGTAACTGATAAAACGTTTGAGTTTGTTAAGACTAGAATTAAAACTCATCTATTCGACATGAAAATAACTGAAATCAATATAAATGTATTGGCGATTCGATGTTGGAAGGATTCTTTAGTGAATTTATAGCATACTCGACTATTGCAATAACTATAAACATGTGGAGTCTATTGAATTCAACGCATAGACAATAAACCACTACTCGACGTCGTATTAGCGGGGATTCGGATATCCTATAAGTGCAAGGTTTCATTATGAAACAGTTTTCCGGTAAATGAAATGCGTTAACTTTTAGGTTCGAAAACATATCGTAAAAAATTCAATTGAACTAGTGCTTTTCTTGGGAGAGTAGGGCGGCTGCTCAAATTCCTGAGGCTGCTGCCCTATTTCATTTGAATTAATATAACGTTTTTTTAGAACCTCAAGTCTATCGTATTCAGCATTTTAACCTCCATAGATTTTGATAAAGGTATGCGGCATTCGAGCGGGAAAAAATCATCAATCCCTCGTTTTTATATTATTGAATCGTAGTGTTTCAGTGTTTGTTTGTTTGTTTTTTTTTAAGCAGAAATATTTACTTTTTTCCACGGATCTTGTTGTTGTGGTGGTTGTGGCTGATGTAATCGAGTGTACTTGTCTTATCGATGAAAATGGTGTGCTATTTATTGAATGATAAATTCCATTAGATTGTAAGTCGGCCATTTGAACTTTAGGTTGTTGAATAAAGTGTACGGTACCCTTAAAATAAATAGGTCATAGTAGTAATGCGCATGACTTTGGGAAATCTTGTTATATCTAACTTCAGCTGAGTTTATGGGTGGTGTATTATCGCCTAACATTTTCGGTTGAAAACGTAATTGATCAATAGTATTTTCTGCTTGAGCATATTTTTCTAATAGTTCTTCATAGTTTTCATGCAATTTATTTAATAATTCTCCTGTTTGTTTTCCATGCCGTTTTTGTTCTTTTAATTTTAATTTAAGGTCAGCTTCTGGAAGATGATTTGTTTCGGAATCATCATCATCACTACTTGGCAGTTGTATAGGTCGTTGGTTTATTGCTGGTGTATGACCAGCTGACGACGAGATTTTCTTTGGCAGCGAAACTGTTTTCGGTTGAGCGATTGGAGTAAATGGAGAAGCTTTTTTATTAGTTTGACTTGGTGGCTGTTGTTTAGCTTCTTTGATTGAAGGCATCTGTAATGAGGATGATGATGACGATGATGCACGATCATTGGCAGTAAAAAATCGAAAAGCACCTTTGCTTGATGTTGCTGCTGGAACTGGTACAGGTATTTTCGAAGGAGCTGCAGCTGATTGAACATGTCTGACATGAGAAGAATCGAAATGAAATGATTCTATTTTTATGAATAAATTTTCTGACCTATTTGTTGTTGCAGCTGGACTACGTGATCTTGATTGAGATGATGAATTCGTTCGAACAGGAATCTTTGAAATTGGTCGCCGCTGATCGTCATTTGCTCTTGGTGTGCGTAGTGGCGATATCATTGAATTACTACTTTTAGTTCGAGAAGATGATGATGTTGTTGTCTGCATGCTATCTAGTTCAGACAGAGAGTGCAGTTGTTGTGTGCTTGCTTTGAAATCACTTGATAACGATTTATGAGTATTGCGTGGTTGATGCTTTGTATTCAAGTTGCCAACTAATTTGTTACGTTCGGGTGGAAACTATGTAGAGAGCGAGAAAGAAAAAGAAATAATAGACACATTGGTGTGCATTTTAACAAAAAAGGAAAGGTATGAATAGAAGAATTAATTTATTGGAGCTCTACTATTAAAAGAAAGCGACGATCATATTGTTTTTTGTTAGCTTGATTATGTTGGCAGAAAAAAAACTTTAAAATCTACTGAAGTAAAGATTTTTTTCTGCAAACGCTGATTTATAGGATATTTAAAGTGCGCCATACGATGACTAGCATTTTAAATATTCCGAGTGTTTTCTGTACATAGATGCGAAATTTATTTAATAAGCTTGTTTTTTTTAGAGGTTTTTAATGGACATCTTGAAAAGGTTTCAAGCAGTTCTCTCATCCTTAGTTGTCTATCTTTAATCGTCTTTTCTGCATGAAAAACACTTACCAAACGATGTTGATTGGAATCTAAAAATAATCCTTTATCGTGTTCTGTTTCTAATAAAGAATTTTCACCTCGATAAATCGACTTTCGAAAATTATTTTCATCCAAAGAATGTCTTCGCGGCCAATCCTCTTCATACAATGTTACTTGTCGCGTTAAAAATGGCGATTGAGTATTAGTTGACGAAGTAAATAGATCATTTTCTTTTTCGTCATCGTCATCATCGTTATTATTATTGCTATCGTCACTTTGACTACAACTATCGTCATAATCTGAAGGACATTCTAACATATTAGTATTATCGTTTTGAATTGTTCTTGCTTTATAACGTTCAACGTTGATACGATGATTATCGTCCTCGTCGTCGTCATCATCATCATCGCTTTTTGAATCATTCTCTAATGATGAACTTGAACTATTATTTTGATTCTTTCGAAAAAACGAAAATGACGATCGCATAATGACGATAAATTTGAACTATTAAGTCCTATGGATTGATTCCATACGTATATATCTTGAATAAAACGAAGAAAAAAAAGAAAAAGGAAAGAATACAAAAGTTCATTGTTCTCTTCTACTATCGCGTGTATGCATGATTCGTAATGACCAACAGGTGATGGAAGAAAAAGTTGAAATCGGAGAGTAACAAACACTTGATCTGCTCTGTTTCTTTGATAGTTTTGTTTGATTTTCATAGTAAAAGAAAAGAAGAAAAAACGAAAGCGAATGACAATTATATGTGCTGATGTATTGTATGTACTTCGTACAAGAATCATTCGAAGGAAAAAAATGTTTACTGAAGATAGAACTCTAATACATATGGTAGATCAAAAAGGAAAATCATTATAACCTATGTTGATTTATTTGTATGAGTTCTGAAAGAGAGCAAAAGTGAGAGTAAGAGAGAGAAAAGAAAAACATCTTTTGGTAAGTATAAAAATAATATTTACATGGATGAAAATGTGATTCTATGCATACGAATGCATAGTTCGTCGCCATTTAAATAGATGTTGTTATAGTAGCAACCACGATTTCTATTTGACGAAAAAAGGAATGTATTTATTAGGTTTCAAGCTGTGATTGATTTTCACTGATACGATAAAGATTTATGCATACTTGAGACTATCTGATACCGGAGGTCCTTTTTACTCTCTCTATCAGGAATGAATATATATATATATATATATGTATACGTATAAATCTTGCATTATCCTTGGTCGAGTGTATTAATGGGGCGAAGAAAAAAGAACGAGGATAAATGAGCGTTATGTTTAATATAACATGCGATTCGATTATGAAACATAGAGTAGTTGGACTTGCAAAACTTCAATGTGTTCATTTTGTGCATATGCAAAGCGCATGTTTTTATTATGCAAATCTGCAATGGTAAATCAGTTGTGTTTCAAGAGACGTTCAATTTCGATTGAACATGAAATTGTTTTCTTTTGTTGTTTGCATCGAGACGATGGAATTGTTGACTAGTACCGTTGATCGATGAAAAGGAAGACTCAAGCGAGGATATGTGCATCGAACTTACCTGACTTGACAGATTGTAGTCTGAAGACGAATGAATGCAGACGTTGATAATACTACATAGAACAATTCTTTTTTTTCTGTGTTATAAAATGTGGCTGACGAAGCTTTGTTCGTTTTTTTCTATATTAAATTCAAAATGAAAAATCAATAAGATCAAAGAAAAATCGAGTATGATCTTAGCCTGTTGCTTTTAAATATATGTGAGCATTGTTTTCTTAAATGTAATTAGAAGCGAGGACAAATACAGCAATCATGTGTTTAACCTCGACATGCTGTAAAAAAAATTTTGAGAAAAACCTTGTAGAATATTGAAAAATTAATTGGGAAAAAAGTCATTGTCAACTACACTTCAGTGTCGGTCATTTGTATAGACGAATAATACAAAAGAACAAGGTTAATTATGCAAATCATCTTTCTTTTTCTTTTCTTTTTTTTTTGAATCAGTATGCAAAAACATACATTTCAATTAATCGAACATAAAATAATCACTATCTGAAGTATGCACAAATTTTCATAGTAATAAAGATTTTGGTTTTATGATGGCCTGCCTTTGAAACCAATGTCGATTCGAGTGGTGTGTAGAATCTTTTTTTTTCTATAATTGAGATAATTCACAAAGATTTACAAGACACGCTACATCTACAATGGAGAAAAAATGAACTTACAGCCTATAATTAGCTTCCACACCATTCAATCGAAATTTATTTATTAAAATAGTTCGTGTTGATATACCGGAAATAAGAAAGGCAGAGAATGTTCAATAGGATTCATAAATAATGAAGCTTTTTTAAATTACTATTCAAGAAGAATTTGCCTCATTGAAAGACATCTTCAGACTATCTTGCATACAAATATCTGTTTCCGTATAGGTATTTCTAGTTTGAGATAGTTTTCTATTGTCGATTTTCTTATCAAAACGTTTTACAGCAAAATACTAAATCTAACTCACCAACTTTCAGCGTTATGAATCTATGAAAGTTTTACAACACGATTTTTCTTCATTTAGATACTGAAGAAGTAAAAAAAACGATGTTGACATACGATTATTTCATTTCATTGAAGACTTCAAGAAAGAAAACCTACTACTTTATATTATTTTAAACGGAGTTGATTTTAAATTCTTGGTCTTCTTACGTATTCAATTGCGTATCCTAATCCGTGTCATTGAATTCGCAAAAGAAATCATAAACTAGTCTCATATAAATCCTTGGAGTACCTTCTGCTATCGAAAACCAATAAAACATTGCATTTTCTGCATGAACTGTTTTCAAATTTTTATTAACTGATTTGATGCGTTTTTGGCACTTTTTGAGAGAGCCACCTTTGATATTTCGCACTGATAAGGTCCTCGTCTAATCGGTCACATACGCCATCTTTGTTTATTAACTTCAATTGGTGCGGTATGATTAGGACTGATTTTACTTCTCTCACTCGCTAGTTATTCGACTTTTCGAGTAAAATGGAGTAGCATCTCAATTTCTTTTGTTTTAGATGAGTTCAACAAAACAACTTCCAAACATTGTCGTCTGTGGTACACCAGGTATATTATTTTTCTGCCTTACATATGTCTTTTAATTTCTATTTCTAAGGTGTTGGTAAATCTCGTCTTTGCGAAGCACTTTGCTCAAAAAATAAATCATTGACATATATCAACATTAATGCATTAGCCAAACAGGAAAAATTTCTTCTTGAATATGACGATGAAAATGAATGCCGAATTTTAGATGATGAAGCTGTACATGATTATCTAAACGAGGAATATTTTGAAAAATCAACTCCACCATCCGGTTTAGTTCTTGATTATCATAGCGCCGGAATTATTCCTGAGAGTGATCATATCCATGGTGTATTTGTTGTTCGTTGTAGTAATGATAAATTATATGATCGATTGAAACAACGAAATTATTCGGCGAAAAAAATTGAACAAAATATTCAGTCGGAAATTTTTCAAGTCTGTCTCGATGAAGCAGAAGAATCATTCGATGAAGATATTGTTCACAAAATTACAAATGAAACCGAAGATGATTTCGAGAAAAATGTTGAAAATCTGTCAAATTGGATTGCGCAATGGTCATCAGATAATGATACACAGAAGAAAAATTGATATTTTAAAACAGAATATTGCTGTTTTTGTTATTTGCAAATAAAAAGAAACGAACAGAATATGATTCATTCTTAGGATTGATGAAATTTCGAAAGCTACATTCATGAATAAAAAAAGCATCGCGATGGAACGTATTGTCAAATGAACGCACTGACACTTCGAATGAAACAGTGACCTTAGATTGATTCTAATCGAGAATGTCTCCGCCAAGAGAATACAATTAGATCCTATGAACATAAAAAGCTGTATCTAGTCTAGCCGCACATATTTAGGCCAATGTATTCCGAGAAGAGAAGTTTTATTTTTAATAGTAATTTTTAACAAAATCAGTACAATTATGAACGAAAACAATGTGTATTCTTATTTTATTTTTAACTGTTCAAAACAGATTTTTCATCACAATTCAACATCTTTGAGAGCTGAATGTAGAATTTCAGTACCATGTTGTTTTCGGTATTCCTCTAAGAAGCTAAATGAAAAAGAAGACACCAACTATAAATAATATTTCAATGTTACATTTATAAATCTATACTTTTCATCAGCTTTAACCATTTTAGTAATAAATATAGCCACATTTTTCTTTGCTGCTTTACTTAACCATGATTCTTCGACTAGTTTTAACATTTGACCAATGATTTTTTCTATTCCTGGATTTTTTTGTAAAAATTGACGTGTTGATGGATGAGCACTGATATTTCCGAACATTAATGCACTATTACCAATAAGTAACGAATGTTGACTTGTTATTAATTGTTCATAGATGAGGGATAAAACTGAAAGAATAAAATTTCAAAAATAAAAATTCAACGACACAGATTTTGTTTTGCGTTAAGTTCTGCAATAGAATAAATTTAGAAGCTAGTGATCAGTGCTTCGGAAAGCAATCAAGAAAAGTTTTCATGACTTTCAATTCTATTGATCAGAGATACTTTACGTTTTTTATCATTGGCAACAGCTTGTTGTCCTTGATCATTCGATTTGGTGCATAGTGCCAAAAGTCTTACAGCAGCGCGAATCTTTTCTTCATCGGCATCCTAAAAACAATATTATATTTAGTATAATATTTGTTTTTCATTAGTTTAACATCACCAAACCTGTTGTAACGCTTGACTAATCGAAACAGTAATTTTATTTTCAACAAGAATATCAATAGCTTGTTCATAATGCATAGCAACATTGCCTAATAATGTAAACATACGTTGATGATGTGTAGAATGCTTCAGTTTAGTTAGAATCTTTTCACATAACTAAAACAAATGAAGAATTTTCGAATGAGAATTTCTTTCTTCACTTCAGCAATACATTTTTATATGTTTCTTCTAGATTAGGACTTGGTTCATTTGTTACATTGATTAACAATCCCAATAAATTTAATTCGTGTTCATTTTCATTTTGTCCCAAATCGTCAATTAATATTTGAAGAAGATCTGTTTCATTAACAGCACAATGTCGAATGTTTTTTTCCGAACAAAGATTTGTTAATAATGATAAAATTGTTGTCCGAATTTGCCCATCCATTGACGTCGATTTCTATGTTTAGAAATTAAACAACAAAAAAGATGTATTTTTACATTGAGCTCTATCTGTGCATTCGTTTAGAGATCGCATGATAGCAAGCATAATAACAAATAATTTCTTACTAATATCGCAATTAATTTTATTAATTCATTCTTATCATTGAAATATTGTTTAATCCTAAAGCAATGAAATAAAGTTTTGCAACGAAAATTTTCTAAATCTTCACTTTGATTCAATTGCTAAGTTGCTTAGCAATTTTGCAGCGTATATTCCATTCGATTTTTTATTGTTGATCATATTCATTAGACCTTGAATAAAACTAAAGATTTCTTATTTTAAGGCATACTGTAAGCGAAACTATTTCTTTCGTACTTATTCGATGTAAATTTTTGCAACAAAATCAATCGTGGTTGATTTTGTAATGAAATATCAACGAAAAACTGAAGTGCAGTCGACGAATAGATATTTTTCGTTGTATAATTATTTAAAAATTTACTTTCCAAACATTCTTTTATATTTTCATCTTAAATTAAAAACAAAACTTTTTTTTTGAAATCAATACGAAAACTTTTTTTTTTTGTACCATCATCTTGACAAATAATAATCATGAGATTAAACACCGAATCAGATAGAGTCTGATCATCAGTTTTTGCTATAATCGGATGAGAATTAAATAAATTAAAACCATTATTAACACGGAATGCTGTTCGAGTCGTTTCTAGAAACAAAACAGCTAACTCAAAAATACCGAAAATAATTTCATTTAGAAACAATACCATCTTTTAGTAATTGGCATAGAAGATCAAGTCCGCCTGCATAGAAAATAATCGGTTGTTTATCATTATTTAATTTTTGAAGTGTGTTTGTTAAATTCATCGGTTTCGATGGATCTTCATTTGATAGAAATATTCGTGCTGATTCTTCTCGTTGATGTTTATCACGTTGTCGTTGAACTTCTTGAATGCATTCTGAAAATAGAAACAAAGGAACATCCATCCAAAACCTTCCTATCACTCACGAGCCTTCTATCATACGACGCGTTGCTATAGGTTCAAAATTTGTTATTGCTATTTGTTCAGCTTGAGTAAATTCGTCTTTAGCACGATCGAATTCTTTTAAATTAATGAAACATTTGCCTCTGATGACAAAGGCTTTGATGTATGTTGGAGTTACCTAAATAAAAACGTTCGTCAATAGAATGACTTATATCGGAATGAATTGAAGAATGGAACATCTAATAGCGTTCAATGCTAGGAAGGAGATAAGCAGCAAAAATACCAGTTCACGAGGGTTGAATTTTGATGAAAATAAATATTTTCAGCTTTTATTCATTTCTATGCATGGTAGTCTAGTTTAGGAATTGATAGGAGATGATGCCTCTCAGAAAATATGCAATGTACAAGTTTCAATTAATCTCTCTACTAATCCTATAGTCTAATATTTAAATTAGATATCCATAGCGATCTTCATCAACTAATTGAATATAATGTGCGCTGCCTGTTCAAAATGTTTTAAATTCTTACTTTCAAAGCCCAATCACAATCATTAATTGCATCTTCATATCGTCCTTGTTTTACATATACTTGTGCCCTATTTGTATATAATATATCATAATCTTTTTTGGCGTTCAAACCCTAGAATAAAACAAATAAAAAAGTTATGAAAATAATTTTCACTGGCTACTTACTTGTGTATAATAATCAATCGCTTGTTCATATAATTGTTGATGAAATGCATCGTTTCCTTTTGCTTTGAATTCATCAGCTAAAATTTTATTTTTACGTCGATTTTCTGCACGTTTTTGAGCATCTTTTTCTAATGCGCTCATAAATGCATCTAGACGGGAAAAAAAACATCACATAATCGTCTTCATAATCTATCCTATTCTCACTGGGTGATATTTCTTCTTTAGCTGGTTGCGATGGTGATTTATTTATCACGGTGCGATCCACGCCCGTTTTCGATATTTCCTTAATTAATGTATCTGATTCTTGCATTGCTTTAGATACTGCATGTTGATCGTTAGATGATAAATCTTGAACAACACGATCTACGAATACCAAAAATATGTCATTTTGACAAAGAAGAAAAAATTTGCTTACGAATATTATCGACTTTCGATAGAAAATTTTCAAGATCTTCGCTTGTTTCGTCAACCATGTTATTGACTTTTTTTTAATAAATCGATCTACCTTACTCCATTACTAAATCGTTTCCACGAACGACAAAAGCAGCTGCGTATCTTTTTTTTCTTCATGCATTTGAAGGTGGCGCTGTGAATTTGAATTGGTTGCTTTAAAATGACATGGCGCAAAAGGAAAAGAACAAAGACAAGAACGCTCGCTCTTGTCATTAACAACGAATATGCCTGAACCAGCACCACGACGGTAAATGAAATAGTCCTTGTCTTGTTTTGTGTATTTGGAAGATCTTTTTTTAGGTCATTAGCTGCACGACGTACAAGAAAACTCTCGGAATTCGATGCTGATGTTGATGAAAAAGAAAATTCTCTTAATGATAGTCTTACTGGACGAAGGCAATCACGTTTATTGAATAATTCATTCAATGGTATCGATGAACCAGCTCAAACGCCGAGACAATTAGTTGATTTATATCAAAAAACAGTTGAATTAGCAACGCAAGGAAAAATCAATATTAAAAATGCATTTAGTATTCCTCTGGTCGAACGTTTACCACAAATTTTAAATGCTATTGCGCTTGATGATAAAGACAATCATAATTTAGGTCCTAATTTTGTTAAAGCTGGTTCGGTTATTGATACAAGGTAAGAACAGTTGAACACCGATAATATTAAAATCAATTTATGAAACAGTCATTAAAGCGATATTTTCTTTTGTAAATGAATAAGAAAAGTTTTATTCTTCGGAACAGATTCTATACCAAATAGTAAGTCGTACACAGCTAACTTCGATTCAGACTTGATTTCTTAATTTCGCGAGAAAAAAACACATCACAGGACAAAAACGAGTGAAGTTGAAGCCTTGTCAAATATCATTTAGAGTAAAAACTGTTTTCTTCAATCTATGAAATGCCGTTTCTATCTTTAGTGCTAAAATCTATGGTTTCCGTGTTGATGCTCTACATACAGAAACTCAAAAATTAAGTGGAAATATTTTAAATAATGAAGACGAACGATCTGGCGATGGAGAAATTAAACAAGAAGGTCAAACAGATGCTAATGGCGACACTATTGATGGAGAACAAGGCGATATCAAAAAGCCAATACGTCGTGTCAAAGCAAAAGCAACAACATTTATTTTAACTGATTTATCTAAAATAACACTTGAGCATGAATTTGAATTTCGTCCGTTACAACCACCACATATGTGTCAATGGCGTGGAGGCATCGGTGCAGATTCTATCTATGCTGAGATGGTATCGAGTACAATGTATTCATCAAGCGATTTTCCACTTATTGATGGTTTTACAAATGCAAATGTTCAAGTCGAAGAACAAGATACTAAAATTAATAGTATCCTCGACTGTACATTGAATCATATGATTGATTTATCAACACTACGTGGTGTTCTTAAGACAAACGAAGGACATGATCATATTCTTGGTAAGATTTGTGTTAATTATTTATTTACGAATTGTCTTGTTTAATTTCTTTAGGAAATCAAACATTACGTGAATTTGTATTTAATGAAATGCCAAGTGGTTCATTTATTGATACAATTCATGAAAGTTGTTTGGCACAAATGGATGAAAGTTTGAATAGATCCTGTGCAAACAATGATGATGTTGATGATGACGATGGATACAATCACGAAGAATTAGTTCACGCTGCTATTGATGATCTCAACGATGATGCATGTCACGCAAATGAAGTTTTTAAAAATGCTTTAAGCGAACTAAGTAATCAAGATCCATCAAGTATGCACTCAAATTTGGGTAATTTTCAATCACAACAATCAATTAATGTAAGTCGAAATATTAGCGATTCAATTATTCGCTCAAAAATGCAACGCTAAAGTCATAAAAGTAGAGAACTGTGGACCGTTGGTTCCAAGCCAACTTCTCTGGTTACTGTAACAGACATCGGGTGGGTGTGGACTTTTGAGATTTGACTCGTAACTTAGCAAACTTTTCTCTTTTTGTATCCTAGAATAAGAACGCGATTCTATGGTTTATAAGAATATGAGCATTATACCCTACCTTCAGTCTCTTAGATAGTAAACGACAAGAAGGCCTGAAATTGTTCCATGGCGAGTGCAAATAGGCATCCTATTACCTAGCGAGTATAAATATGCGTTATTTATCCAAAACACGATCTGTATGAATTCTTTATTTGATTTTCTTAGTCAAATCTTCCATCAACACAAGGCATATTATCATCATCATTTATGAGTACAGTTTCGTTTGCTGATCAAATGCCAAGTTTATTGAATTCAAAAGATGGTCAATCAGAATATTCATATTTCGATGCAACGAAACTAAAACTATTTGCTGGACCGAATATATGGAAATTCACTAATTTACTGAATGCGACTGTACCAACAGCTAATACTACATCAGTCATTCAACAACAAGCACCAGTGCTACCGCATAAAGTTACTGGTATAGCAAGAGAAGGAGGTGGTTCGAAACGAAATATTCGTGTTGATACATTTAATCAATTGCCTCTTGATCAAATTATATTGGGTTGTAATAATAATGGTCGGGATAAAAAAGCTGTTAGTACAAGTCAAAGGTCGACTGTATTACGTATGCGCGAAAAAAGTTTCAATCAAATGCAATTGACTCGAAAAATACGTCCATTAAGTGATTTAACAAATTTCTATAATTTTCCTGATTTAAGCATTGAACATTTGGAATTAATTAATCAACGACGAGAACGACAGCAACAACAAACACAAGACTATTACGATCATGACGATTTCGATCACAATGATGCTGGTCATCACGACGACGGTAAGAGAATTTCCTATACAGTAACCATTTGAATGAATCACTAAAAACGATCCTAAGTGTTTTTTTCATCTCTTCACGAAAGATAGCAAGCGGGCTGAAAAGATTCATAATGAAGTGTCTCACAGTTGGTTTGGATTCTTTTCAATGTATGAATTTATTTTCATTTCTAGACGGCCCATTAATAGAAATGCACTTTGACTTTATTCGCCCAGTTCATTATGAAAAAATTGAATTCGCCAAAGGTGCATCATCGGTTAATGCCAAAATACTCAAACGTCAAATCATTGAAGAGTTTACTCGTCAAAAAGTCGAACAACAACGTACTTTATCCCTGGATACGAGCACAGCAAGTCAACAATCATCAATTTCATCGTGTCAAACTCAATCGCAGCCAGCTGTTGAATTTTCAATTCTATGTGAAAATCTTGCTGATCATGGTTATTTATCATTACAAACAGATTTAGCATCGGCATTTTATTGTATGTTAATTAATTGTAATGAAAATAAATTATTTATGAAAAACAACTCAAAACGTGACGATCTATTTATTCAAGAACGTCCATTTGCTGATCAACGAGATATTTCAGCATTATCATATTCTTATACAAGCCATTCAAATTTATCTATTGCTAATTAATTCATCGTTTAATAAGAAAAAAATGATTTGTATATTCCGTAGTTATTTTTTTTTTTGTATGTAAAAAATACACAACAACTTGTTTGTGTACACGAAATTAATTAAAATTGGTGTGTTCGTTTAAGAATTAATGAAATAATAAAGAAAATGAAAATCATATGAGAAGATGCGAGTTTTGTTGCGCGACTATGCATTGTATTGATTGTTTTACCTTGTGAAAGTAAGGTTTGGCCGATTAGATAAACAGCAAAATTTGGTGGATAAATATTAAAGGATTGAACCATTGCATTAACGGACAGATCACCACAACATGTTACAATGTAATCTAGAGAGAAAATATTATCTAGGATATAAATACAAGATTAAAAACATACTTTGATATGACATACTTGGAGGATTAACTGAAAAAGAAGAAAAAAAGTAATATTTTGATTTTCATCTTAAGGTAGAATGAAGTATGAGATATAAGATCGGGTTTATCGGCATGATAATGTGTGTTTATAACACATATGAGCCTTTCATACTATTCAACTTAGAAAAGAACTTGTGAGATCTAATTTATTCGAACCAGTATACAATTTTGCACTTTGCTTTGTTTGAAATTCTTCTAGGGCAACCGTTATCAAAGCTTGATCTTAGATCATATTTTTCTTAAAGGCTTTATTGATGAAGTTTTTTACGTTAGTTTATTATTCGCCGTAAGACGAACTACTTTGCTAGCTGAAAAATGATTTGAAGTTTTCATACCTTCTGCTAGAGTACCAGCTAATGATTGAACCGTAATTCGGTCGCCAGTCATTGCAATACAAGATTGTGGTCCACTTGCATAAGTCGGTCCACCAGCATAAACATTTGGATTTACGTAGCTATTTTGTGGCCCATTCCTTTGTAGACTATTAACTTGTGGACTCAAAAGAATCTTTTTCGTTGTATTCCAGGGAGGATTCGATATTGGTTGATTTACCATTGCTAAATGATTATAATTAAAATTTTTATTAGCTGAATAAGTTCGATAATAACCTGGAAAAACTTCGGGCTTCTGTGATGCATAACCATTCATCGCATAGCCGGGATTATACATTGGATTATTATTAGAACCGAATGATGGCGCAGCAGCTGGATAATTTCCATAGGTTTGCTGTTGTGGTTGATAATAGCCCGAGCCGCCAAGCCCCGATGACTGTTGTAAACCTTGTCTATTCATCATCATCATCGTATTTGTCTGATTTCGTTGACTAGCCGTCCAATCTTGTCGTCTTCGACGAGTACGTTGCGGTTTTATTTTGATATTTTGATTACGATTATAAAACCCGCCTGAACGACGTAATACATTACTCATTGGGTCAAGAAGAATATCAGCACATATATGACGTAGAACAAACTGTTTAAGGAAAAAGAAAGCACGGATTCTCCAAAATTTAAGTACAATAAATATTTACTTGTCTTAATTGATTCACATTCGTTGTTGAACCAATAGATTGTAATGCTGCATTAGTTGGAATAAATAGTGTATAAGGAAGACCCGATTGTTTCAATTGTTCAATAACACGTGTTTGTTGAAGTAATTGTGCAAATCCACTAAATATAATAAATAATATTTATCAAGTAGCAATCGATTATAGTTGTTACCTTGTTCCTTGTATCGATGTAAGAATTCCTTCGAGTGGAACCATCATTCCAGATACAATACCTATAATGACAGGATGATTTCCATTCGAAATTTAAAAAAACACAAACAAATATACCGTGAACAACATGCATCACTCCATTTTTAACTCGAATATTTGATTCACTATTAAGAATAGTTGCTGTAAATGGCAAAGAATTTGTTGTTCGACCGACAAGGGATACAACTGAAATCAAGTAAGTTGAATAATAATAGACTAACACTTCATCTCTTACTATTTCCATTTGCACCAGTTGATATTTGTGCTTGGACAGAAAATTGTGGATCCATTGTCGGATAGACCTGACCGTGTTGAAAAATCGTTGAGGAAGGGTACGATGGTGTTGGATAATAGTTAGGAGGATTGAATTGTTGCTTTTGGGTAGGTAACATTGGTTGTTGCTGTTGCTGAATGGGAAGTATTTGCTGTTGTTGATTAGGAAATATTTGTTGCTGTTGTTGATTATGAAATGTTTGTTGCTGTTGTTGTTGTTGTTGAACAGGCATCATTTGTTGTTGAACAGGAATCATTTGCTGTTGTTGAATAGGTTGCATCTGCTGGTTGGGTAATCGTTGTTGTTGAGGAAATTGTTGTGATTGAAAGTTCGTACCTGATGGAATATTCATTTGTCTACGACGTCTTGATTCTTTTTTGTCAGATCGAGAACCAGTTCGTTGAAACAGGGGCATCTGAAATTGTTGTTGATTAAAACCGACCGGCATAAATGGCTGTTGCTGCTGAGGCATAAATGGTTGCTGTTGTTGCGGCATTATTGGTTGCTGCTGTTGATGCATGAACGGTTGTTGTTGTTGCGGCATTATTGGTTGCTGCTGTTGATGCATGAACGGTTGTTGTTGTTGAGGCATTAACGGTTGTTGTTGTTGAGGCATTAACGGTTGCTGTTGTTGAGGCATTAACGGTTGTTGTTGTTGCCAGGTTTGATACGCATTTTGCTGATCGAATGAATTCGACGTTGCTGGTGCAACCATCGATTCATCTGTATAAACTGCCAATCGTAATATATGTCGACGTAAATGCTAATACAAAAAAATAGATGATAGGTGCAAATCGCAATCTTAGACTCTAAAATATCTAGCACGAAAAGCTGTTAGAATTGATTCAATATGATGCAGACAAAGAAATCTTGTGTTTTAGGTCAGAGATTCAATTTATTGAAAGCCACTCTGGACAGAAACATTCTTTTTTGGTATGTTCAATTAGATGATCTAATGATTTATGATTTTTAAAAATATATATTTACCATACTAAGCTCTTGTGAATTTCCCAACTGTTGAATAGATATTTGTTGCGGTATAAGTATCGTTATATTGAGTGAACCCTGTGGATTGAACATGTTCATATTTGTTGTTCCTTGTAGTATACTCATTAATTCGGGATCGCCAGATTGTTGAACAAGATTCATAAAATATCTTGAAGGGTCAAACACAAAAAAGATAATTTTGTTTAAAAACTTTAACTAATCATGCTTACTGATAGCTTTGCGACAATTCATCTGCTGCTGATCGAGTTTGACTAGTAAGAATCGTTGAAATTGGATAGACAACACCGTTACCATATAGGCGAATCTCTTCTGAACGACTAATTAAAATACGAGCTACATATCGACCACAAATAACATCAACTACAAAAGGCAATCATCGATTATATATATGAATTAATAAAAACAAATCTGTCTCTGATATTAAAATACAAGACAGGTTGTAATTGCTCTTGCTAATTACAAATAGATTGCTTTATTCGAGGCACGTCTCTTCACTTCATTCGTACTGGATAGGTGAGAAACTCAATAGGGTGGTAATTCATATTATATCGTTACGCTATGAATACATGAACAATCAGGTGGTCATTCATACTGTTTGTTAAAGTGAAAATTTTCCACACCTTTACTTCAACATTCATTTTAAATACTGTTGTTCACAAAATATTACCTTGAAATGAATGATCCGGTTGCACTATTTTACGAAATGTAATCCATTTATTTTCAGTCAATGTTGTTATTTTCTTAGTTGAATCCATTGAGCTTGGGAATAGTACTAATGGACTTACATGTGTTCTGATAAACTAAATAGTTTAATTTTAGAATAGAAAAAAGTAAACAGCAATAAAGTTTTTACTTCATTTATATCGTTCGTATTATTCGTGTAGAATTGATCAAATAGAAAACTTAAACTTGAACCCATACTTGCGAATGCTTGATCATTTGGTAGAAACCATGTTTGATGATGCATTGAACGTAGTTCAGATCGAAAAAAGTCGCTGCGGTCAGCTAATTGTCGCAGGCGTCTTCAAATTAGAAAAAAAATATTGATCAATTCGTCAATGAATATTTCGCACGGAAATCTTACGAAAATTGTCTATCTTCAAGTGCATCATAAGCTGTTTTATACTGAGTTTGATCACGTCGTTCAGGTGGCCATAGAATATGATCTATCACGTGAATAATACCTCGACTCATTGGACGTGTGCTTAATATAAATGCATTGTTAATGGTAGGACGCTAAAAGAAGAAATCAATCTTTATCGAAATTCGTTTTTGGCGAATAGAACAGGGAAAATCAGTATAACTAGTTGACTCTGATGGAAAATAGACAAATATCTGTAGAAAAAAAGGAAATATATTATCTCTATATTTATCAGATCATGAATTAAATACCGCGGACGTATTTACGTTAAATTTACATGGTCTCGTTTAATTCGTGGAGCTGATTCTGTGTGATTAAATATCGAATTTAAAAAGTTAGAAGAAACATAAATCTTATTAAAATAACATTGTCGTTATTTCATAATAAATGCCATAAAGATAAAGTTTTCAACAATGCTATTGATTATATTAATGATCGATGTCAAGATCAAGACTATTCCATATTGGATTTGTCGAGAAGTATAGACAAGATAAAAATTCACCGCTGAATCGCATACAACAGAAATCTGATTAATAGGTTTTTGACAGTTTCAGATTATTTTTCTTACGATAACATTTGCTTCTAAGTTCATATCGAATGACACATCAGGAAACCTCTGAAACTTGTATAACATAGCGATCTAATTGAGAATATCTCATATTCTGTATTGTATTTTATTCTTATTTCGCAAAACTAAAATGATTTTAACAATTCATCAACAAGACTTTAAATTCTTCGGAATAAGATTAAACTCGGTTTTTTACGATTTCAGACCGACACTCGAGAAAAAAATAATCATGTTGTCGTGTAAATATGCTAATTCAACGAAAAACATCAATGTTGAACGCTTACTAATAATCCAATATTCGCACCGGGTCCCATGGGTGCAAAATTAGCTTGTTTAAAATATGAATTATAATTCATATTTGGCATTGTAGGATTTTGTATGTATTGTCCATTAGTATTTGGAGGATTCATAGGATTTCCATAAAAATTTGTTAAATTAGGTGGAAATAAATTTTGATTATTCGGCACAAAACTACCTACAGAAGAAAAGAAATCTTTCAATTAATAGATTTTTTTCTTGTTTTGTACTTTGAGGAGAAAAATAATTTTGCTTTTGATTATAATTATTTCCTAAAAAATAAGAAAGTTCATTAAATTCTATAAGTTTCTCTTTTCCTCTATTGATTTTTTTATACCAAAATTTGGTTTCAGTGCAAGATCATTATCTAAGAAATTTGTTCGATTTAACGATGTATGTGTTAGCCAAGATATTCCACCTTGACCATAGCCTGCATTATCATAACTATCATTTACATGTGCACCTATTCCACCATAAAATCCAAGGCCATAGAAAACCTTGGCAAAAAAAAAACGTTTTTTCTAATTCGCAAATTTTTTTCTGCGCCTGACATACTTGAAATGGTAATGCTATTGTTGGTAAATTATTTTGTGCTCGCAAATCAATCATTTGTCTTGGATTAGCTTCATTTAATTTTGTTTGTGCCATATTATACAATGTTTGATCATCGTAGCGTCCCGGTACAATGTGATACTTCCAAAGTAAATTTGGATCTTCAATTTTCCCACTAAGGTGAGACATAGCCTCATTATTTGGTGCAAATATTGTAAAATCATTCATACCACCCAATTGCTGTTGAGGATAAATATTTTGTAATAACATTTGTATGTCTTGTTGACGGATTAATTGTTGATGAAACTATATTTTTAATTACAAGATAAAAAGAATTAATTCATTTTTGTCTTCTTCTTCTTCTTCTTCAAAACTTACCAATGTTAAATCAGGCATGTTTGCAATATCATCAAGTGGACCAGCCGAACAATTAATAATAATAATTATAAATAAAGTAAAAAACTGCATGGAACTCATCTTTTGTAAATACTCTAAAAATAAAGTTTATTTCAATCACTAACTGACATTGTCACGTGCAGAACTGATTGTTGAGACAGAAAAAAAAGATCGAATCAGGTGAATATCGAACATATACAAATGACCGCATGAGAACAGTGTGAACATATTTTTTAATGATCAGACGACGATGAACTCTCTAGCGTAGAATTTCTCTTTTGTTCTCTATTCATAGTTCATCTCGAGCAATATGAATGATTGCCATAGATTGTTCTTGAGGGTGTTCGAATATGAATAAAATACAAGATGCTATTTTGTCAATAATTATATACGTAATAGACAACAGTTTGTTTTTTGTTAGATTTGTAACTGATGAATAAAGAAATATATAAGGCCTTATCGGCAATGTCATCGAGTGTCTAAAACGAAAAATATTTATCAAACTCATGCTTATCTATCTTTTCCTGTTACAATACTTGATGACTGTCATCGAAATCATCGATCATATTGATAAAAAAAACACATTCTAGAAATGCCGTGAGTTCAAGCTGAATACCAAACAAAAACGCCTACTTTCCTCTTCTTAACTAGGTATATTCTCTTGAATTTATATCTATTCAGTATTTTCTAAACTAAACTCAATTTACGTACGCTTACCATTTAAATATACAATATATCCATCTTAGTTTTTACTCATTTTTACATAGAAATCTAAATAGACGAAATAATCAATATCGAATGAGTCTATGCCATAAAAATATTGGCAAATGCATACAATCTCTGTTGTGTGAACAGCACTATAGTTCTTCGATGCAATCGTTTATCATTTTTTTCCCTATAGAAATGCAGAGAGTGACCATGAACATTTTTAGTTGAATTTTAATCTTCATTCATTTTGAATTCGAATATTTATACGTACAATAATTCAAATTCATGAAATGTTTGATTTTAATTAGTTTTTAATATAACCATAAATTCGGTTGAATTGAAAGAACAGAAATGAGATGCTTTGTTCATATAAGTGTTCAAGCGATCGTATTTGAACAATGAATAATTGATCGATGATTGTTTTTCTTTGCGATCAAATTTATGGTCTATTGCTATTTTTCAATGTGTGAAAGGTTCGTTTTCTTTTCTGTCCATTTTATTTCACCTTCAATAAAATTGCTCTTATTTCAATATAATGACTGTGTTGATGATGACAAGAATACAAAAAAAAATGATATTTGAGGGATCAAGCACATCCTAATATTGACGTGAAGACGAAATGTTTTGTGTGTGAATGACTGTAATATGATAAGTGATATTTTTTTCGTTTTCATGTTCTTACGTTTTACTGTTTTGTGTGGACTAAAAATAATCTTAATATAATTCATATTTTATTTGAATCATGGTCAGCATGATTATAGTCGTACGAAAACAATTTTTAAGTAAAAGCATTATCTTTATTGGTGTGAACTCTATGAGTAAATTTTGATTGGTGTAAAGAATTATAGAAAATCTTCTTGTTGGATAATATCTATCGTTATTTGGATTATATGAAATTTTAAGCATCCTACTGTAAAGAGATGAGTAGAATAAATAGTTCAAAGCTATTCTTGGTATAAAAGTTAGAAAATAGTTTGACTCTCTTGCGGAACAATAACGAAGATACATAGTAGCCTGCGAAAGGCAAGATATAATAAATTGAAAAACGTTCTAAACAATCATCTATTATTTTATAGGAATAACTAGGTAATACGATTTTACCGCCAAGAGCTATTCTATTTATATAAAATGATAGCTAACGATTGATATTTATTTATCGCCTGATTTTCAGACATAAACACGAATATACTTTGAAATCTGATAATGACTCCGAGTACAGTGAATTCGAGACCAGATTGAGGCTTTAAAAAATGGCTATTACAGAGAATATAATAACTGTTGAATATGAAATCTCAGAGAGAAAATTAATGAGCCACGTATTAGTTATGATATTCCAATCATCAATTGAATGAACCGTTGAATGGCATCAATGCAAAATTTACTGACGGAATTTCTGCTAACATAGGTAAATTAATGCGGAAACATCGGATTCACATCCGATTGTTATGTGTACTGCAAAAACTGAGTCGATTTAGATATGTTGTGGATAATTCTGAGAAAAAATGTTTTTTAGAAAAAATCCCTGTACCCCTCCCCCTCAGGAATGGTATGGTAAATAATGACAATTTTTTCGATAACTCAGCCATTTCTTGGCAGATCCTTCTCATCTTCGAACTCGACTGAGATATTGATGAGATCATTCTGTGTACAAAATGTAAAGACAATTGGATGAGGCTTTCAAGAGTTATCGTGGTAACGGCCGGACACACTGACCGAATCTAGAGTGTACTCACTTTTTGAGTACACAAAAACACGGTTTTAGCAGCGACTTATTTTTTCTTGAAAAAGAACATCTTTTTTGCGTGAGGAATACATATTCTAAAATATTAAAAGGGATATTATCTGTTCACGATGTTTAATTTTCTCGTAACATTGTTAAAAACTTTTGAAGTTGAGTTTCAGAACGAAGTAATTTGATTCCGCAGGTCTATCGTTGTGTAGAGCTATTTAATATATGAAATAAAAGAATAGTTAAAGGATGCCGAATAACTTTCGCCAGCTTGGCAAGTTAAAATGTCTGTTGGGAAAAGTTGTAATCAGCTGAATAGTTCATGGGTTAGTTTTTTTTTGGTCCGGTTCATTGAGAATTCTATTCATTTTTTCCCAGAAATTGTAAAGCTTTTATCTTTGATTCGCAGATATTTTGAATAGCACGTAATTCCAAATTGTTGTATCTTTATTTTCTTTGTAAGTACGATAGCCGATGTATTTGAACTGTATAAGATATTGTTACTTTCGATGTCGTCCAAAATGTTGATATACTTGAAGATACTGCTATAAATCAAAATATCTATGTGAATATAATGCACAACGATCATAACGATAATTTAGGAAACAGTACAGTAGTTGATAATACTATATGTGTAGATAACACTAGTGCTATTTACCCACAAGTGATCGATGATCTTATGAACAATGAATCTAATATTAAAAATAAGAAAAGAAAACATATCGGTCAACAAAATCCAACAAAAAAGTTAAATATTGATACTGATATGACATTCTCATTTGCACCAGCATGGCGTTTACGGTCAAAAACGCGCTCGAATCATCATGATGAACATAGTATTACGTCTATTAGGAACACAATTAATCGTGAGAATAAAAAGAACTGAGCTTTTTTTTATTTCATTGTAGTGTTGTATGATTCGTTTGTAACCGTCTATGAGTATAGATGTTTGTAAACTGTAAGTAGTGATTATATTTTTTTTTCATTAGCTTTTGTTATTTCAGATATATTTATGATCGATATATATATATTAATGTTTGTGTTTGTATGAAATGTGACAACTAATATTTGATCGTTCACCTATGTTCCATACAAATTCTTAGTATACATACTGTTTAATATTTTTTTCTACATTTTATTGATTGAGAATTGTTTTATTATTATTTTGATCTATTTTATTTTTTGATACAAAGCAGTTTAGATAGATTGTGTTATCACATTGGAAATGTCAATGTTGACTAGGGGAAGTATTGGTGTATGATTTATCTTTTTTAAGCTTTGGGGAATTAAAAGTCATATTTGTGTTTAGAAAATATTACACGGTGAAGAATTGATTGTTCCCATGGTCCTATTTATTAGTAGAGGTATTCAATTATTCAACATTTTGTTCTGCATAGAAAACTATAATATATAGGAAGCTAACATATTATATGTCAACAGTGATGATTACTCTGAAAGTAACGTTACAAACATTCGTTTGCGTTTATCGGATTCAATTGATTCTTTCTCCGATAAATGTTTATTTTGTATTGTACTCTTTTTAATTTTGTTATTAGGATTCGTATATAAAACTAAACTAGTAAACGAGTTGAAGCCAGGAGCATTCATATCTATTAACTCTTGCAATGTAGAATCGTTGGGCCAAAATAAGTATGTTTCCTTGATCATTTCGCAGGTTATTGTAATAACTGTGATCTTTTATCGGGTGCGCCAGAAATAATGGTACACATTGTATTTCGTGAATATCTTGCTCAGGTTTGATCGTGAAGAGTTAAAGTTAGATTCAAAAGACACACCGTTAAATTCTCTACAAAGATTGTATCATNTGTTCTCATATTTTTGTTTCGCTTTGTAATGAAAAACTTATGATACAATCTTTGTAGAGAATTTAACGGTGTATCTTTTGAATCTAACATTAGCTCTTCACAATCAAACCTGAGCGAGATATTCACGAAATACAAAGTGTGCCATTATTTCTGGCGCACCCGATAATAGAATCGTATGCAAAATTTTCCATATGATTATTGTTCACGATACAGAGACAGAAACCATCACATGGCCGAATCGGATACAAAATTCTTCAAGTGAACATGATCTGAATTCCAACGATACACCAAACATTTTATCGTTAATTTCTTTGATTGATGTGGATCTTAGTAGTGGTAAAAAGCAAGTTTGTGATTTTTTGACGCTTGCTGTATTTTAAGAAGTATAATTGTTCCTTTAAAAAATACTATTTTTAATCTTGCTGTTATAGTAATATTATACGTGCAAGGATTATATCCAAGAGTGCCGTGAGAACTTATGATTTTATCCAGCATAAGCTATTCTATTTTGAAATCATGGATGCTTCCGCAACATTACGCACGAAGGCTTTTAATCGACAATGTGATCGTATATTTGCCCATGTATGCATTGGAGAGGTTTACCATTTTTTGTGTAAATACATTGTTTGATTTTCATTTAATATAAATATAGATGATTGAATTGTCAAAGTTCTACGTAGTTGTTGCAAACAAAAAGTACAACTAACTCAAAATTTTAATTGGAAGTTTAAAAAACTTTCTTGACTAATCTTGCCAATATTGAATATGATTAAACTATAAATAGCAGACTTGACATTTAACTAAGAACTCATTTATTTTTCTCTACACAAAGATCATCAGTAATTCTCTTGAAATTGCAAATTTGATGAGTATCTTTGAACGATAATCTCATTTGAAATTAGTTTAATTAATAATCAATTTTTCCATGTTATCTTGAATAAATATTGATCATTATCTATAAAAATAAGATGCTTTTTTTTCTTATCTAATTAAAGAAAGTGAGAATAAATCTGCAATATTTGTCCTAAAAATTCTATAGACAATTAACATTGATCAATAAACTAATGGAAATAAACACTAAAACATCGGATTATTTTCTTAATATTATCTATGAATTTGAGAAGAAAGTTTTTCTTTAATAGAATTGTAATCAAGAGTCAAAACTTAATTAAATATTTTCTTTCCTCTCATATAACTTTCACTTAATTGAATCTTGCTAGTTGTTAAATTGTAATGAAAACATGTTGAATTAGATAGAAAGAACAAAAAAATGGATTTAATCGGTAAGAGAATCAATCTTAAATGTCGATAACAGAAGAAAAAACAAGAAAAATGCTTCTGTGTGCTATATCATGTATTTTACTATGGCCATTATCAATGATTATCATAGGTATTCGATATCGAAATGAATGTCCAGGTCAACCTCAATTATCAATTTATCATATTACATTTGGTTCGATTTGGTTATTTCTTTTTTTCTTAAATATAATTCGTTGTTATTCATTTCATCGATCTATTGATTTTATATCAACAATAATTTGGTTAATCCTTTTATTATTAATTATTCCAGGTTATACTTTTATATTTAATATTCGAAATATTATTCTAATATCTGAAACATATCCGAATGAAATATGTGTGTAACAATTTCTGATGTTATAGATATTGTTAAGTTTGATGTTGAGTATATATTTTATTTCAATATCAAAAACCGTGCCCTTCTGTATTTCTCTCGTTCCTTATATACTATTTTCTAGCATGTAAGGACCTTGAGAAATACCGTAGATACAATAAAACAAGAAAGTGTATAAGATAAGGCGTACGTATTGGTGCTATGCTAACGTGCTGATGGTGGGATAAATATTCCAACAGTGATGTTGCGTACTCCATCTGGTACTAACCGTGAGCCAAGGACAAAATCCCTCGTACTCTTGCGTAGTGAGAAAGAGAGCTGGATAATAGTATGGGTGAGAGACTAACAAGATGGTGGCCTTGAGGTATATTTCATTCGAGGGCTTGTAACTTCTAGAATAGATCGTTACAATGTGAAAAAACATTTTATGTTTATTCATCTATATTAATTGTTCTTGTTCATATTCCATTATACATATATGGATTTCGTGGTCGTTTACCTATTTAAAACATTTTATTCAAAATCAGCAAGCATCAATAAGAATATTCACAATAACAAACATTTAAATGAGCGTAAACAGAAAATACAAGGTGAAATAAAAATAAAGACTTTAAACTATATAAAAATAAAAGTTTTCTTCATATTATTTGTCATTGCTTTAACTTCATGATGAGCAAATTTTGCTGAAAAATACTAATTAATTGTATTTAAAATCATCAACACGAACTAAATCTATTCAGGGCGCCCAGGTCGAACAGTCCGACCTGGAAACGGCCGGTTCCGGGTAGTTCCGTTGACTTTGTGGAAGCAGTATTCCGGTTGGAAATTTTTCGCATTTTTTCCAGTGATTTCCGATCAATTCCTGCCGGAAAAGCCCGACCGGAGTTTTGACCGGAATACTGCTTTCATGTCCCAGCGATTTCCCGTCTTTTCCTGCAGGATATGGTGACTTTCCCGCTTATTCCCTGGAGTATCCTACGTAGAGCTCGTCGGGTCCAAGAATTTTAGGACCCGTAACCGTAGCCCGACTCTGTATTCTAACTAATCTTGGAACCAAACCCGTACCCGATTATCAACAGATTTTTAACTCGAATCTAAATCTGAAACATACTGATGTAAATCTTGATGATGCAATCTAACAGAATTTAGTGCTCATTGCGAAAATTTGATGTGTTGATTTTGAATCTCGGCGAGTGGCGACCTCCAGTAACAGAATTGGATAATTATATGGCATTAGACGAAATGATTGACGGAACTGAAGACGTTCTTTTATTTTGGAAACGTCATGCACAATCATTTCCTACATTGTCTATAATCGTACGCGATCTTTTTTCAATTCCAGCTTCAAACACCATCGTTGAAAGGTTATTTTCTGCGTCGAAAAACATTGTAACTGATCGAAGATCAAGTATAGGTGAAGCGAATCTCAACAAATTATTGTTTCTCAAAACGAATCTCGCCGCATTAAAAGAATTAAATGATGTAAAAATAAAAAAAAATAATGAACAAATGAAACGAAAAGTCTCTACAGCCGATGATGAATCAATCGTCACCATCAACCACAACGACTCCAACAGCTTCAGTTCATCACCAATTACAAAAAAGACAAAACCTAACGAGGACAATGATGATGACGAATCTCTAAAAGACAACGATGACACGAACGATAGTATTGAACCGTATAATATTTTTTTGGATTTGTAAACTTTTGTCGTAAATAAGTTTTGAATATTGTAGTCAAGATGACGTTGTTCTAGTTTATATTATTTTTATATATAAATTAAATGCTATTTATTAAAAGGAGAACTTAGCGTGATTCAAATATTCGTAAAATTTTCTAGCACGACTTATCTATAAACACTGCAAAATTTCTATGCGACCCGTACCCGTACCAGTCAAAAGCAATTTTCTAGAACCGTAACCAACCCGGACCCGGCGGGTCCGGGTACGGTTCCGGCTACGGGTAGAACCCGACGGGCTCTAATCCTACGGGATCCGGTGGCCGGAATGTTCGACCTGGGATATAATAATTCGAAAAACAAAAATAGAGATTAAATCTAACTAATTTTATTCAAACAAACAGATAAAAAATATCAATGAGATTAATATTCATCAATTAAAGAAGAAAGTTGTTCTTTGACAGCATTTGTAATAAGAATAATAGCTTGATCAATTTCATCATCCGTTGTCATATAACTTGTACTTAATCGAATTGTACTTCGTGCTAATTTATAAGGAAGACCTTTAAATAGTAAAAAGAAAAATATCAGTCGATGAAAATTAAAGGAAATGCTTTTTAAAAATTATTCTATGGAGTATACTTCGAAAATTATCAATAATTCTATTAAATATTCAATATCGAAATTCATCTTGTTCGATGAAAGAAAACAAAAACAGTAATTACCAATCGCTTGGAGTGTTGTTGATATTGAATGATGTTGTGTATCTTCATGACAAGCACTACCTGTTGAAAATGCTACTCGATCATTTAATTTATTAACTAATTTTTTAGCATTTATTCCACGAAAAGTTAAGCTTAATGTATTTGATAAACATTTTTCATTTCCATTACGAATAATAACATTTGCATCATACTGATTAAATTGATTAATTAATCCTTGATAAAGTCTATCACGTGTTCGTTTCATTTGTTCAATTCTTTTATTTAATAAATATTTATTTGATATTAATTGGCAAGCTGTACCTAAACCAATAATAGCTAAAACATTTTCAGTACCTGGTCGGAGACCTTGTTCATGTTGTGCACCATAAAGAATTGTTTCTAATTTAATTCCTTGACGAACATAAAGAGCACCAATACCTTTTGGTCCATGAAATTTATGTGAACATATGGTTAATAAATCAATATCAAGATTTGATACATCTACTGCAATTTTTCCAATTGATTGTGATGCATCACTGTGAATAACAAGATCAGATGAGCCATATTGACGACATAAACGAACTATTTCTTCGATCGGTTGAATTGAACCTATGAAAAATAGATAATTTAAATAAATTTTTCATAACGATAAAAATATCACAACAAACCAATTTCATTATTACTATGCATTATTGTAACAAGTTTTGTTTCAGGCTTTAATAATTGCCGAAAATGTTCAAGGTCAATAATTCCATTTGAATTAACTTGAACAAACGATACTTGAATATTTTTATTTGAATTTTGTAAATATTTAATAATATTTATAACAGATGGATGTTCGAATGGACTTGTTATAATATGTTGAAATTTATTAAAATTTGATTTAAGAATTCCATGAATAGCTAAATTATTTGATTCAGTTCCACCACTTGTAAATATAATTTCATTTGAATCTGAAGCATTAATACTCATTCGAACTTGTTCTCTTACTTCATCAACTAAATGTCGAGCTTGATTTCCAATTAAATGCGAAGAACTTGGATTACCAAATGAATTTAAAGATTTTAAATGATGAATCATTGATTCAATAACTGATTCATGTTCATGCGTTGTTGCATTATTATCTAAGTAGATCAGATGAGAAATATCTCTATTTTGCTTATCGAAAACATTATCGTTTGAGATAAGCGCCATGTGTTCTTGCTATTGATTTGAATATTTGTCGTTCTAATATTTATAACATTTATTATGACAGTTACGCATATCGGTGCTTTTCTCTTCTTTTTTCTTGTTTTCTTTTCTTTATATAAATAGTGACGTGGCAAATATTATAATGAAACTGGTTAACATAGAATTAACGGTGACCGTTCAGTTCGTCGCATAAAAATATTTTTCGTTCTGTTCGTCGCAGAAAAATATTTTTTGTTCTGTTCGTCGCAGAAAAATATTTTTTGTTCTGTTCGTCACTATCTATTTGCTTGACTTCTCTTAATTAATTCTTTTTCTTAAAGATGTGAAATTGAACAATTAATTTGTCTTTATTTTATACATTATACATGACATAACGATGAAAAATTTGAGAACAAAAAGAATAACTAAATAAAAAATATTTAAAGAATAATGTTAGTGTGCCGATATTGATGGCACGCTTCGATGATTCTCCTTCCTTCTCTTTCTGTTCTCTTTCCATTGTTCTAATGTATCTCTCTCCTGTCTCTCTTCTATCTCTCTTCTATATATACGTGCGTTATGTATGAAGTTGTTACACTCTGGAGATGTCCGATGACACAATACACTATCATGCCGACGTGCATAGGCGACACTCTCTAGTTTTGTCGTTACACTCTGGATATGTGAATAAACGAATAAACATCATTGCCGCGAGTGGCTGTAAGCTACTCCACCTCTATCCAGTTTGTCAATACGATATAAACTCAACAGAGTCCAACTTATCGTTACAGTTAGCTGCCATATTTTTTAAGAATTCATCCAGCCGAGATGAGTCGAATGCATTGACCAGCCGAGTAATACGTTCGTCCAATCTTCGATAACAGGCTTTCTTCGTCTTGATAATATGACCTTGGAGAATCTTTGCCATGTTCACTTCGAATTTCGATTGTTCACGACGAATCTTCTCTGTCAGTTTCACGATGTTTAGATGGCATATTGAGACACGATTAGCAAATGCGTTGTGCCAGCCTTCCACGGAATTGTTGGAACGAGGTGTAGCAGTGATGACACGATCATGAATATTCCATAATTTGTGATCAAATAGAGGTTTCTTTCGACCAGTTCCTAAGAACATCGAATACATTTCAAATTTTTCAAGAATTAAGAAAAAAATAGTCCTAGTCGAACATCTTGTAAGCAAGATTTTCAAATCTTGGAATCGGTAAGTAAGATCTTATTAAGATCTTAAAAAGATAATTTGTATGTACATATCTTGGTTGTATCAGATAAATCTGTACCTAAGATCTTGCCAAGATCATGGTAAAAATATTGTGTACTATTATCGTCTGATAAGATCTTGAGCGAAACAGAAAGCGACATCATTAGTGTATTTACATGCTCTCTAGTCATTCACCGTTTTTTTAATGCATACACAGCTGTATATAAACAGCATGATTGAACATGCGAAACAAATTTTCACATTCATTTTTTTCTCAACTATTTCTCGATCGATTGGATTGCATAGTTGTCGATGGATCAAAAGAAAATTATGAGTAAATACAGATCACCATATTGTTTTGTAATATATCAGTAATCGATTAGAGTGTCAGGGAATGCTAGAATAAGTTCTCCCCTTGCTATTTTCACTTATTTCAACTGAATCTTGTTCGAAAAGATTCTCCATATGATTCTCAACAAACGAATCCAATAGAAAAAAATATGAAAACTTCATTCTAGCAATATATTATTGTATACAAGGAGAATTATCTAACTAAAGAAAACACTTTTCTTTTTATTTGAGAAAAAAATAAAATAGATCTTTAGGATGCTCACCAAGTTGAAACACATGAATCACGCATTGATACTCCAGTAAAATTTTAGTATTTGCTTTTATGGGATTCACGTTCATTTTTCTAGAGAATCAAATGCTGAATATGTGATAGTTCATCTTTTTCTTACTGAGAATTTTTTCTTCTTTCAACCATCACTAACTCTCTGCGCTGTTTACTGTAAAAGTCTTATGCCTTCTTCATCGAATATCAGTATAGATTTTTTTAACGTTTCTTTACAGATGAAAAGACTTTTGGCTCTGTATAAAACGAATCATTACTTTTCGTCGAAATTCTTTAGAAAATTTGCATCGAATTTTGTATTCGGGTGAAACGCGACTGTCATCTAGTTTTGTATATATTTTTCCTTGTCACAATACGTCTTTGTAAATGTATACTTAGATTTTGATGCTGTTTAATTCTTTTTAATTAGTATTGCATCTTTGCAGTCGAAAGCTTGACATAAAATGAAATCGTTTATGTAATTACTTTGAATTTCTCTCGTTCGAAATAATCAAATTTATCCTTCAAGTGTATCGCTAGAAAAAAATAAAATTATGTAATGAAATGTGATTTTAAAGATTTACTGTTAAAAAAATATACTAAATAAATCTATGATGAATTTTACAATTAACTTAGATTGTGTTCTTGCCTGCTGTTAAATTTACTCTTCATATGAACTTTGCAACATTCCATTCTGTTCTTCTCTTCCATTTTCACAAAAAACAAATATTGACAATTTAAATGTAAATAAATTGATTGGATTCTTGTTCATTAGATCATCATTAAAACTTCAACAAACTGCCAGGAATCCATAAGAAATGCTGCATAACATTCTCGAATCAAAGTTTTTCGTATGGGAGAATCATACATTCTTCCAGTGACTACTGTGTTGCTTTTCCATCATTCATAATAATTTGTTTCTAGCAGTATCACTGACAAATAAGATTCAATGAAACGATTGCAGCATTCCGCACCGATCATAACTTTTGTTAAACGGAATCGATCACTGAATCGAACTAAAGTAAGATTTGAAAACGAACCTTATTTTATTTGTTCCAAATAATATTTTATTAGATCGAGCCCAATCCAATATCAAGTCAACTCAATGAACGTGTGCTACCATCGCGTACAGAATCAATAGCAAAACCAACTAAAGTGCGTAACAAACCCAGCATCGTTTCAGAAAGCTAAATATCCCTTGCAGTTGATGAATATTCTTTTCTAACATCTAATACGAGACCTTCTCCTAAACCATATCCTACAAATTCATTTGATTCCTCAACAACTTCTAATAGGACTCAATATGGTGGTCGGTGGAAATACGATTAAAAGTAATAGTAATAAACTTTTCCAAATTCTACAATCTATTTTAGGTTACCTTCCAGCAAAACTAAAATCATTTTATTACTCGTTATTTTCTTAGGTGTTTGTGCTGCAATTATTCTTCCACCTGTGCTCACAATGGTGATATTTTAGAGGAAAAAAACATCAGGTTAGATAATTATGGTTATTCAAAAGTCTTAGTTGGAGTTTTTTTGTTATTGTTGAATAGGCACATCTCGCGCAGACTTGAAAGTTTCATCATACTCAAATATAGCGACGTGTATTGGATCTGAAACTCAATATCCGATAACATCTGGTGCTGTTCTATATCCATTCGATGGTAATACCCGAGATGCATTCTTACTGCCCAGCTATAATTACGGTGCCTACTCTGGATCTGCGATTCTATTAAATGCCACTCAACAGCAATATATCAGCATTCCATTCATCGATTTCAGAAATACTAGCTTTACACTTGAAGTGTGGGTATTACCAATAAATGCCGCAACAAATAGCGGTCTACAAGACGAATTGCATATTTTTGGACAGTGTGATGGATATCTTACATGTTGACTATTAACTTTTCGTTCGGGTCGTATTCAATTAAGTTTTAATTCCTTGACAATAAATGTGACTCTTACTAGTTCAACATTGATCCCGTATTGGAACTGGATACATGCGGCTATTCAGTGTTTTATCCAGGTTTTTCATTCCGGGAGGGCGAATACAGTTGTCGGGAGGGCAGACAAAGTTTTTGTAATTAATTGCTATATAAAAGTTATTTATTTCATTTATTCAAAAACTATGCAAAGACTATGCAAAGAACGAGCAAGTAATAAATATATCGCGAAAAAAACCTATCAACAAAAGATAATAATCAAAAGTATAAGAACAGTATAATTTAAAGTTCAATTATATAATTTAAACTGCTAAACGACGAGGTTTTACTTTTTTCTAATAATTGATGATTTCGTCTTTCATTTCTTCATTTAAAGTATTTGCGCCTTCCATTGAAATTCTCATCAATTGATCGACGTGTTTAGTTGTTAATCGATTTCTTAGTTTTGTAAGAATACGGTTCATTGTGGAGAAATCTCTTTCAACTGTAGCCGTACTAATAGGTGCAATAAGAAAGATTTCTGCAGCTAATGATAATTGTGGATAAATATCTTTTAACATGCCATCTTGAACAAGCTTCATACAAACTTCTCGTTGCGTCATAAGTTTACCACCTTGCCTTTGGGTTAATAAATATGTACGAAATGTTTTCCATTCATACATTATTGATTCGTCAAAGTCACTTGAATAATGTTGTTGGATAGTACGTATTTCTTCATCACCATAATCTTTATTGTTATTCATATTTTGCATATCAAATATCATAAAGCAGTTAAGTAAATTGAGAGTACTTTGCTCAAAACGAGCTTGAACGTTATTAATAATGTTTTCAATAAAAGGAAGAATTTTTGTCTTGAAAACTTCATCAGTAGTTAATTGTGCATTTGATATTGATAATCTTGAATTTCGAATTCCAGAAGACACTAAGGATAATTTTTTAATTGTTTCAATAATATAAATATAATCAATTGAACTGTAATCTTTCAGTTCTTCAAGTCGAAGCATAGTTGACGATATAAAATCTTGTAATTGTTTAAAATCTGCTGATTTCGTTTGAATGCATTTTGATAAAACAGCTAACGTATCTAATATTGGTTGAAGTGTATGAATAATAAATGCAGTTGCTTCATTTGATAAAATATTATAAAGACCTAATGCTTCCGCACTATCTTCGTTATTTTCATTGTAAATATTTTATAGTGTTGCTAATAATGATTGATAAGAATGTACAACAGATCTTACAGCTAATGAATTTGAAAGCCAACGAGTATCACCGGGTTGAATTAATTTAATATGATTGTTCTTAAAAATACTTTGAATATCTTCAAATAAAGTTAATCTTACCGATGATCGATTAATAAAATTGACTAATGATTTAAGTGTGGATAAACTTTTGCAAATATCAGGAATACTATCTGCAGCAGATATTACAGCTAGTTGTAATGCATGTGCTCGACAATGAATAAATAATATTGCAAGATTGAATAAAGCACGAAATTTTGCAGCAACACCATTATGGATTCCGCTGAATACTGCAGCACCATCAAATGCAACAAAGCGAGTTTTTGTTAAATCAATATTTTTTTGTTGTAAATCCGTTACGATATAATTAAAAATAGATTCTGCATCTTTATTTTTTATATGTAATAAACTTACGTATGTTTCAGTTGGCTCACCAGTTGTTTGATCACAATACCAGATACAAATACATAAATTTCCGTGTCTATTAATGTCAGTTCCTTCGTCGGACATGATACTAATAACTCTTGCTTGCTGTATTTTTTTAAGAATGTTCTTTTCCAAAATGTCGTTTGTAGCTTCAAGAAGTTCAGTAACAGATGTTGTACTATTGTAATTAGCATTTTTTTATGGCAATTTTGAATAAAACCGGCAAGTTTGGAACTATGATCAAGACGACTGATCAATTGTAATAATGGTTCGTATAGCGTTGTGTGTGATAATTCGTTTTTAAATAGAAAATAAGAACAATCAAGCAAATCACTTAAACGATCTCTATTTTCCTGTTTTTGTGCTTCATTTACCGTAACTATTTGATTGAGAACGGAACCTTCTTGCTGTCGAAACTTGTCATTGTCAAGTGCAATTAGATGATATTCTGATCGAGAATGTTTCATTAATCTTCCATTATCACCTAGTGCTTTTTTTCCAATTAATAAATGGAATTGATGCAAACACACCTTTTGTTTTTTGTTCCATGTTCCGGAATAATGGTGTACCTGGTTTCCAATAGTTGCGGCATAGACGACAAAATCCTCCAACATTTGGTTGATAATAAAGCCACGGAAATTTCTATGAATACCATGGTTTGTAAGAACGTGTTTCAATTTTATCATTGGTTGATGTTGAACCTAATGCTAATTCAGAATTATTATTGACGGATTGAGTATTGTTGATGAATGTTTTACTTGTAGCTGAGTTGATATCGATGGATTGGATATCACTTGTTGTTGTATTGTTGTTAATGGGTTGAATATCACTTACTGATGTGGTGTTAGCAGTTAAATGATCAGGTTGACTTGCAATGATATTTGATTGAGTCACATTATTTTCATTTTCAACACGATTTTTTTTGTTAATGCATTAGTTTCATTATTTTCTTTCCTTTTTAGAAAATATTAATCGAGCAAATTTTGTTTTGACATTGTTCAGATTCAGACGATTTTTTAATTATGATGTAGCTTTAAAAGTGAGATATAAAATAGTATCGAAATATGACACTTGTGTCAAATAGTAAAATGAAAAGAAAACATATGTGGGTGTCTATTTTAAGCGTTATTGATTTCATGACATTGTCCGATGCAACATTAAAGTAGCCCATTCAATTAAACAGTGTTATTGGATTATCCAATATATGTAATACAGATTGTTCTGTTGTTTGATTCTTAATGAAATTACATAGATTCACATCTTTTCGTGCAGTATTATTCATTTGATAGAAATGATCTGATGCGGTCGATGTTTCATTTGGTTTTGAAAAACTAGAGAAAACTTGCTGTAATCTCATCGCATTGAGAGCAACGATATTCAAAGAAAAACACCCGATCTGATTGAAATTCATGACTTATGATAGTCAGATTGTTTTAAGGAAAATGAATTTGTTCTATTTGAACAATACTGTATTTATTAACAGTTTCTGTAAAAATCTTTCACATAAAATAGTTTTATAGAAGTTATATTGATTTTATTTTTTTTAAACTTTTATTTTTTTCCGGGGGACAAACGTGGTCTTCGGGAGCGCAAAACGCGCCGTGGGGGGGGGGGGGGGGGGGGGGGGGGGGGGGGGGGGGGGGGGGGGGGGGGGGTGGGGGGTGGGGGGGGGGGGGGTGGGGGGGGGGGGTTCTTGTAAATTTGCTTTTAATATTGGCTGATCGTGAAATAATAAACCAGATGCATTGTAAACATTAATATTTAATTCGAGTGTTGGGGCTGTGCCAGTAAAATATTCGGCTCACGATATACTTTGTTCTTCTTCTGTATTTCCCTCGTATCCCTTGTTGAAGTTGAGCCACAAAATGCCAACTGAATTCGTTCTTGTTTCGTATTACTATTTAAAAATTAAAATTCAGTTGATTGTAAGGATTTATTGTATGAGTCTCCTATAACACCATTCGTAGATAACTTCAGAATATCCTGTTGAAAGTCAAAATATGTACTAAGAAAATCATTTGCTAATCCTTCTAATGCATATTTAATGTATCGATTAAATTCAATGATTTGTCTCATATTATTCGATTTTCTTGTTGATTGTGTACGAGAATATTTTGGAACTACATCTTCAGATAGTGTTGGTGTTGTCTCCGATAATGCCATCAAATCTGTATAAATGAACGATAGTGAAAGTTCTTTACATGAAATATAAAACATAAATTTTTCAAATTTAATTACAAGAAACAGAGTTCTGTGAAAACATCTTGAAAAAAGTAAAGAGTATGATCATCTTTGATCAGACTCATACTCTCTTATTGTGAACTTGGGTCTTTATCTAAACAGTTTTCAAATCATAAACATCATCTGCCGATGCTCACAGTTTCTTATTCATTTTTTGTCTATTGACAAATTCATCGAGCGTTCCATTCGAGAAGAAACCACCTAATAAATATTCATCATTTCCTTTGTAGAAAATACTTTTCAAACTGATATTGCCATGGTTAATATTTACATGTTGTTTTCTAAAGAGTCATATTTCGGAAAAAACATACAAAGACTATGATCTTCGTTTTCATAACGATACAATAAAGGAAGAAAATGTGAACAGTCTAACTGTGTAAATTTTCGATGATAATGAACTTCTAACGTTTGTAAATTAGAAATATTATTTTTGAATTTTTTAACAATTAAGTCTTTCTTATCAACCCATACAGCTGAATAGAGCTCACAAAAGCTATCATCAGTAATCAATATTGATTCCATCAAATTTACTTTCGGAACATGTTCATTGAAAGCCATCAAATCATTAGCAATCATCAATCGACCGACATTCAATAAAAGCAAGGTACTAGTCTAGACATTGAGCGGCATCTATTAATATTATTCGTAATTGCTGCCTTCTCTGCACAACGAGTCTTTATGATTTAAGAAAGAAAAAAAAGTATTTATTTAAAAGCTTATTCATTAAGAGCTATCATTGTATAATAATTTCATTATTACTTAAATTCTCATCTGGATAACGCTTAATGATGTGTCGAGAAAAGCAGGTTTGAAATCTTTTAGGAATAAAGACTTAATTAAATTTTTTACTGCAGAAAAAGAAAAATTGAATCTTTCATAATAATTCATAAACCATATTTTCAGATAATTTTGTTGTTTCTTTTGATTTCATTATGGTAAACGTTTATGCACGGTTATACATATGCATGATACTAAAAAATGAAATTACCTTTGGTTATTTCGTTTGTCTCCATTAATCATTTTAACTGATTTTAGGCAAACAATCTTCCACGTGATATAACAGCTGCACAAAATGAAATTGGACGTTTACAAAATCAACTCAATCATGTACAAATCTCTCTTGCTGCATCACGTTTTAGTAGAACTACTGATAGACAAGAATATAATAGACGAATAAATGAAGTAGCAAAAAAAAACATAATTAATATACGTATGTGTATATATATTTAATTTTAAGCTGAAACAAAAACTAGAACAACAAGATGAAAAACTAGAACAGCAGCAGGAAATGATCAACAATTTAATTTCAGTTAATCTATGCACAATATCTGTAAATATACATAGGAGATCTCTTTACTAATTTTTTTCCGTTTGGTTTCTAGTTATTTTCTTTGGTCGTAATTTTCGGTATGAAATATTTTCATACTTCAAATTAATATATGTGGTATAGATTCGTTGTATAACTGACACACGAATTTATTTTTTATGAATTGATTCAAATTTATTTTCAATGGCTAGTAGGAATAAATGTACTTGAACAATATTTATAAGCTGGACAACAAAAATTTGTGTAAATATCTTTAGGAACAAAAAGAAATTCGTTTCACTTTATTCTGGTTTTTTGGCTAATTGAATGAATATTTTGGTATATTAGTGAAGGATCGATATTTTGAAAAATTTATTTAATTGGTATACATAATCATTTGTTGTGCAGCTTATTCAGAAAAACTCTATGTTGCTGTGTGAATTAATGGATATATTTTTCTCTTCCCAGGTTGATCAAAACGGACTCGTTTACTATCTGTTTATCGACGGTAAGCGATGTCAAAACGGTATATTTACAGCAGTAAATAGACCGTATTTACCTGTAATACCTGGTACAGTAATACGGCACCGTAAACGGGACTGAATTTTCATGGTTTACGGCTATTTGTGCTCCGTACTCTCATGATAATACGGTCCGTATTACTGCGCCAGATATTACGGCAAACTTTTGCCCGTAAAATAGTCGTAAAGTAACCGCCAACGGCCGTATACGAACCGTACTATTAGACCTGGGTTGGTGAAATAATCAAATATATCTGTAACTTGTTGATAAAAAATTATTTCCATTTGATTCGTGGTGACTTGGTACAAACATATTTACGACCAATTCATTAAAAAAATAAAATTTTTTTTTAATGATTGTGCATTTTTTTGTGATTAATTTATCAGATATTTTCTTTTTCGGTGTTTATGCTTCTGTTATATGAAAACGGTAATGACCGTTATTATTTTGTGATCAATTTACGTATCAGAAAGAAAATAAAATTTATTATTAAGTCTTTTGTTTATTCACTTTGAGAAAGATAAAGGAATATTTTTGCTTTTTTTGTTCGACATTGTTTATATATATATATATATATCAAACTAATCATGTCGACTGAATTATCGGAAAAATAATTGTTTGGCGAAATAGATTCTTTTCATGGAATTTAATTACGATGAAAATCAGTTGAAGTTTGAATCGGTACTCAAATCATGTTTTATACGAGCTAAGGAAATTCTTTTTTTTCCTAAAGGAAATATATTTTTGCTTTTTAAATTATTAAAAAAGAAAAATTTTACTATAATTGTACAGTTAATAATTGTTTCAATTGAAAATATGACTTAAATTTTAATTATTCATAAACAAGATAATTGAGTAATTGTCAATAATGCTACAAATAATGAGAAAAAGAATGAATGAAAAATAATTTCATATGGAATTTTATACAGACATTTTTCTTAAAACTTTTCATAGAAGCAACTTATGTTAAAAGTTTTAAGAAAAATTTTTTGCTTTTTAAATTATTAAAAAAGAAAAGTTGTACTATAATTGTACAGTTAATAATTGTTTCAATTGAAAATATGACTTAAGTTTTAATTATTCATAAACAAGATAATTGAGTAATTGTCAATAATGTTACAAATAATGAGAAAAAGAATGAATGAAAAATAATTTCATATGGAATTTTATACAGACATTTTTCTTAAAACTTTTCATAGAAGCAACTTATGTTAAACTTCGTTCAACGCATGATGACGCTCAACCAGTAACTTTTAATGGAACAAAGCCCGGCATTCCTACTGATAACGAACAATTAACAAGATAAGGTTGAAAATTTCCAATTAAATTTATGCTTCGTTCATTAGAACCTGAAATTTTAAGAAATAAAATTAATACAGTTTTGTTTGTATCTAGATTGCCTAAATAAAATAAAAGATAATTTTTTTCCTTCACGTAATCTGAACTGAATTAAAATAGGATTATGTAGAAAGTTTCACTATATCATTACCGAATTATGATGCATAATTAACATTAGATCAGTTTATACCATTGTGAAATATTTTATAGATAAATAAAAAGTATTTATTAATCAATGAAATATAATTAATATCACTTTATTTTCCTTTCTATGTTATGCTTTGCTTAGCATAAATTATACGCAAATTAAATTAATTTAGGTGTATGTTGCTATATGTCGGAAGAATTCGATAAATAGCTATACTTGAAAAGATCATATGTAACTTTTAACACATATTGATTACACTCGAAAAACATTTCTGAAATATGAATTAATAAGCTTTTACTGGAATGTTTCATTTAAGTAGATGTTATTAGAAGCTCTAATTTTTAACAAACTGTTTGGAAATAGAATCATAATATAGTGTTTCCACAGTAACATTTTTCTGATATAAAACAAAAATGTAATATATATGCATTCAATGTTTAATTGATGATTGTATATCGAATCTCGTCAATAAAAAAATAGTAAAATATGATCAAATTAGAAGTTTTATTAGTACTATAGATAAGGTAGTGGTTCTCACATATATATCGATTCTATCAAGCACCATAATACAAGATGACTCATTTGTTTTTGCTCTTTTTCTTTAGTTTGCTGTATTACTATCAAAAGTATTTAAGCTCTATATGACTTGGTAAAACATTTAATACTTTATCTTACTATTAGATGTTTTTCTTTAATTCTGCGAGTGATTATTAAATATTGAACGAATGAATCTTTCTAACTTGATATAGCTTGAAAGAGTCAGTAGTGTACAAGTGTATGAAATTTCCACAGTAGAATTTAGTTTTCTTCTCCAATTTAAACAGTTTCATTTGATACTTCGTTCAATCGTAAGTGGACGGATCTTTTCCATCAAGATGCACTCCTCACCACCACCAAATCTTTCCTCAGCATGTATAAATTTACTAAAATACAAAGTAGTATTTCATTTTTATTGATATTAAAATAAAACTGGTTAAGAAAAAGAATCGAAATAGCTCAACATAAAACAGTCTTAATGTTTTCGAATAGTACTGTGCAAACAACTGAATTTTAAATTTTACTGACGACTTGAGATCGTACGCGTATATTTGTGTTACCAACATGACAGATAAAGCGAACGTTTTAGGTACTTCATTTTCTACCGCTAATTATTGAGTCATTATAGTAGCTAGAATATTGTTTTTTTTTATCAATCGATAGAGAAATTATTTCTCTTGCCAACCGTGTTAGAAAAAAGGTTTTTACTTTACAAGATATGTTGAGATATAAGAAATGGAACAAGCACATCTATTAAGACGTTTTTTTTATCAATCGATAGAGAAATTATTTCTCTTGCCAACCGTGTTAGAAAAAAGGTTTTTACTTTACAAGATATGTTGAGATATAAGAAATGGAACAAGCACATCTATTAAGACCGTTCGATTTACCAGCATAGACTCTAACTTATGATAGAAAATACTAAGAAGAACATGGCGTATATTCTGTTGAGATACTAAAAGGATAACTCCCTTTTTTTCTAACTGAATTTCAAGTTGAATGAACTCATATATAAGAAAAGAAGAGAAACTCTTAAGCTGATATATTTTCATCCAATCGGGAGATGTTATAATATTCTGTATATAAATTCTAGTTAATGAAAATCACCATCGGTGCGTCAGTTTAGTCCTAGTGAAAGTAATATCAGCGAAGTGCGGTCAGTGGTCAGTGCTCAATATGCCGGTGACGTCAGTTATCATTAAATTGATACCGCCCACCCCTAAGTAATAGCTATGAATTATCCGTATGTGTTGAATACTTTACTCATTGTAGAAGTGACTATTTCATGACACCAGTGTTTCATTATTTATAGAAAATGTCTATTTTAACGTACTATTTCGCTATAACATTATTTAAGATATTCACAAACCGACGAGATCAATGTTTCTTATCAATCCATTCTTCTTTCTCAATAATCGCATGACACCATCCTTTTCACTGCATGGAAACTGCTAAACGTTGTTTATTGACAGATGGTGTTTCATATTATATTAGTCATAAAGAAAGAAAAAACCAAATGCGCAAATAATAAAAATGACATGTCTGTCATATAAAACAACAACAACATCGAAATCAGTATTCTTTATTTCCAACGAAAATGGTGTTCGATACAATTCTCTACGATTTACTTGAAGTCAAGCCGAATGCTACACAAAAAGATATCTCAAAAGTAGGTTTATTCAAATAATATCTGACTGATATGAATTTTAATTTTAATCGTTGAGCTATATCTTCGATGCTAAAACCCATTTACCAGTGAGATTTCATTTCTATTTATTAGGCTGTCAGGATAAAATCATTGGAACATCATCCAGACCGTGGTGGAAGTCACGAAATGGTAAATATAGTCACATTTTAGCATCCATTTAAACTGTTTTCTTCGCCACGTAGATGCAAAAAATCAATGCAGCAAGACAAATATTGACCGATCCAGATAAACGAGAATTGTACGATCGAATCGGATGGGAACAAATGCAATCACATATTGACGACAACGCCTTTCCGATGCCAAGATTTTCTGGAAATTGTAAGTTACTCGACAAAGCAGCAGCTGAATTTCTACATGAATATACTTGTTTATTTTCAGTTTTTGATATATTCAAACAGAAAAAAGAGAGTTATATAAAACATTCATTAAAGTATGTAAACAAATTGATTTTTGTTTTCTTTAAATAAGATTGTTCTTTTTCAGAGTATCTCTCGAAGAATTGTATTCGGGTGCTACACGAACAGTGTCCATCGATCGCGATATTGTTTGTGTCGAATGTAATGGGTATGTTCGGATATATTTTCTTGACATCGATTATCATTTTCTACGGTTTCTTCTATTCATAGAACTGGTTGTCGTGATGGGGTGCCATGCGTATGTAACAATTGTGAAGGAACAGGAGTTGAAACACTAATTCATGAAATGGGTCCAATGATTCAACACATACGATGCGCATGTTCGTTATGTAATGGTGATGGTCAAATCATTCATCCGGAAAATCGCTGCAAAACTTGTGATGGCAAAAAGCTATGTCAACAGAAGAAGGAATTGGATGTACATATTGCACATGGAAGTCAACATAGCGAAACGATCAAATTTATTGGTGAAGGAAATCAAACCGTAAGTTGTTTAAAAATGTCCTTTTTGCTATTTTCGGATTATTTTCTATTAGCCAAATGGTGAAACCGGTACAGTATATGTTATTCTCGAACAAGAACCACATGCAACTTTCACTCGAAAAGATGATAATTTAATAATGAATATGGAAATCAATCTTACTGAATCATTGTGTGGATTTCAACGTACAATTACACTATTGGATGGACACAATATTCTTATCAATCATCCTCATGGCAAACCAATTGTACCCGATAGTTATCGTTGTTTAAAAGGTTATGGTATGCCAAACAGACATGCACACACAAATGGTGATGTGATTATTCATTTCGATGTAAAATTTCCCGAAGAGAATTTTATTCAAACTGAAAATCAATTGAAAGTAAGTTGTTTATCAGCGAGTAACTTGTGGTAAATTCTAAATGAATTTCTTTTTCTTTATCTAGCAATTGGAAGAAATTCTTCCACCAAGAATGGGTATGAAATTGGAAAGTACAGAACATTATGAAGAAGTCAAAATGATGGAATATGATTCGTTTGAAGAGAACTCTCATCATGTTGATCCGAACCTCGATGGAGAACTAGAGGGTGTCCAATGTACAACACAATAGATTGATGACAAATTTTTCTCATTTTAAAATGCATGAATAAAAATCATCCCTATTGATGAATATCTTTCAAATTGATATTTCTTTGGATATTGAATAAATTCATAAGCTTATTCAGCAATCTTTTCCGAAAGTACATAACCGGAGAGGACTCGCAGCAAAACGCCTAGTAAAAACAACTTGCTATAAAATTATAAGGAGAATGAATGCAAATCAGTTGATAAGTTGAACGAACAAGAAACGGGAGAGTGCTTGAGAAAGTTTTATTTTGTAGATATTATTCTGTTCGTTAAGATTTTGTCATATGAAGAAACGAAGCATGACTCACTTATATTTTTTCCTCACAATGCAAGATAAATTGTAAGAATACCGTGGACCATGAATGCTGTGATTTTGAATAAGAAAAAATGTATGAACAGTATACTGTTTATGTGGATGTGGGTGTGACTCTTTTCTTTTTCAAAACACCCTAACTTTCAATGAGTTATGTGTAAATAAATTAATAACACTTAACATAAGCTCATCAAGCAGTTCTTTTCCTGAATTCATTTGAAAAGAAAAAAACTGTAAATATTTCACACCGATATCGTCAGTTCCTTTTTAATGCAAGCGATAAGTAAAAGGTACACATTATATTTTTTATTTATAACTTTTTCTTTTGTTCGTTCGTTTGTTTCCTTTGATAGTATTGTTATGATGAAAAATTTCAACTTATTTAAATTTCTCTTAATTAAAAATAAAGTAACGATTACACAATGTACAGAAAGTCAACAAAAATTTCAACATTAGTATGTAACGTCTAATATGAAGATAGCAATATCTTTGTTTTTCACTTTTATTCATGTATGTTTGACTTACTTGCTGATGGCGCAATATATCCGTATGGACTTTATTGCAGTCGGTATTTTCTTTTCACAAGGAATAAATAGTATTTTCCCACTTCGTCAAGTTCTTATCTTTGTATATAAATAGATTTGTGTGCTTGTTTCATAGTTTCTTACGGTATAGATGACTTCTAACACATGTATCGTACATTCTCATAAGAATGTATCTAAATTTCATACTGCCACTAAACAACTTCGTCTTGAAAGCTGGTTTCCTGCTGATGTTTATCAACAATTACTCACAAAATGTTGTTCATGTAATGGAAAGAGAGGTAAATTTAATCAACTAATACATTTGTGAATGAAATTGGGGCAGTATATATTCGTTTTGATTTTCAATTTAGGTTTGAAGACAATCGATCTCGAAGTACTACGTAAAATATGTGACGACATAATGTTGTCAGCGGCTTCTACGCTCAAATTTCGATTTTCATCAAATATGAGCGAGTTTGTTAAATTAATGAAGTCAAAAAAGTGTATTTGCGATCTAATTGCTATCTAAATATTTAGATTAGTGTCAATGGAAACACCGGAAGACAATTCTGACGAAGAAGTGACCCATAATGAAGATAGAACTGATGAGTTAGACGAAAAAATATCACAAAAATCGAATTCGACAATTAATGCTGAACATACCCGGTCGCCAGTTCCGAGGCTCGGCTCCGTATATTTCCGACCCATATTCGTCGGAACATACCCGAGACCTCCGATGTATTGCGGCCAACAGAATCCTGCCTCTATGATCCGGTGACGTCCGATGTTTTACGGTCGGAATCATCCGGTAACTCTTGACTTGGATACAGAAAACCAACATAAATCGTCCAAGCAAAGAATTATAAAACAAGACTTCTCAAAAGGTACGTCACTTATCTCATAGGGATGAAAATGTGGCAAAATTTGAAAGTATGTTCTGGAATAAAATATTAAACATGCCCATGATAAATGCGAACAAGTCACATAGTCGCTATTTTATTTTCCCTTTCGCTACTGCCCATTATGAATATAGATATTTTAGTATCATCGTTCTTCTATTGATAATGCTGATAGAAATTAAGATCAGTCAAGTACTAATTCGCCTATTGTTGCTTGTTTTCAGTAGTACGAGGAAAAAAGTCATTATTCTTATTTTTTTTAAAGGACCCCGCCGGATAAAAAAAATTTTCTAGAATCGATTTCATTTTTATATAGTATTGTAGAGCTCGTTGAGATACATCAAATGGTATACAGGAAGTCAAGTTTTCATAACGATTTTGTGTAGTTACAGTCGATATACTACCTATACTGGCATATGGTACTAATAGAAAATGTACACTCCTATGATCATCTCTAATGAGTATATACATATTTAGTTTTATAATTCAGTTCGATACAGTTATGAGTGATGCTCACTTTTTCATATTTGATAGTTTTCATCACTACTGCTTTGCTACTGAAAAGAGTCATCTTCTATCGATGAATAACATTTTTTCACCAAAATACGCTTTACTGTTTTCAGTCCTGTGCAGAAGAACAATGTGGTAACAACGTGAATCTTTTCTAGAGCATATCTGTCACTGAGCTCTACATATTTGATAGACCGAGATTTTCTGAGCTGCAGGGGCTCGTCGGTAGTCTTGAAAATAGTGGTAAAAAATCGGCTATTTTCTCATATAGAGGTCCCAGTACATAGACAATATTCCAACAATGTGCAATTGAAGTTCTGAAAATTTTTATCCATCTATAATCAGCACGCATTCCCCAACAATTTGATGCCAATAGATCCTTTTGAAGTCGAAAAAATGTTTTTCACTTTTACCATCCTGGAGGAGGGTACAGGAAAACGAAAAATATGGTTTTTGAGATAAAGAGGATCTATTGGTAAATTCTTACAGGGTTTCAACAGTAGACGTAGTATGTCTGATTGAAATTGAGTTTTATAAAAGAAATGTCAAAAATTATAGGTCTACTATTTATAACTCGCACCCTGTACCCCCCTCCAGGCTGTAAAAGTGAAAATTTTATTTTCGACTTCGAAAGGATCTATTGGCGTCAAACTGTTGGGGAATGTTTGCTGATTACAGATGGATAAAAATTTTCAGAACTTATATTGCACATTGTTGGAATATTGTCTATGTACTGGGACCTCTATATGAGAAAATAGCCGATTTTTTACCACTATTTTCAAGACTACCGACGAGCCCCTGCAGCTCAGAAAAACTCGGTCTATCAAATATGTAGAGCTCAGTGACAGATATGCTCTAGAAAAGATTCACATTGTTACCACATTGTTCTTCTGCACAGGACTGAAAACAGTAAAGCGTATTTTGGTGAAAAAATGTCATTCATCGATAGAAGATGACTCTTTTCAGTAGCAAAGCAGTAGTGATGAAAACTATCAAATATGAAAAAGTGAGCATCACTCATAACTGTATCGAACTGAATTATAAAACTAAATATGTATATACTCATTAGAGATGATCATAGGAGTGTACATTTTCTATTAGTACCATATGCCAGTATAGGTAGTATATCGACTGTAACTACACAAAATCGTTATGAAAACTTGACTTCCTGTATACCATTTGATGTATCTCAACGAGCTCTACAATACTATATAAAAATGAAATCGATTCTAGAAAATTTTTTTATCCGGCAGGGTCCTTTGTCATGTTACTATGTACCTATTCATTTTTAAGATATCTGAAGAGTGTTTTAAGCAAATATGAAACGTTATATACTGGATTGAATCTATTTTATTTGAGTGTTTAATATATCCTCATCCTTAGATCTCCTCACTAATTCCTTTACTAATTAGTTAAACAAACTTCTAACCAGAGAAAAACCATTAAGTCTTATTTTACCATGTTTATTTTAGCGAAGACTCCTACGATAAAAAGAAATGAAAAAAAAACAGATTCAACAACAGAATAGAAAAACTACTTCCATAGGGACGAACTGATCAACACGGCAGTGAAGCGCTACTGTTTTTCAGTATTGCAGTTGCAACACAAACTTGAATTCCTTTCTACCATAGCAAACTAAAATCAAGAGATCATCACGAGTAATACTTTTAATAATTCAGCGATGATTGTTAATCCGATATTAAGCACATTTCCTGCTGATCAGATCAATATTCAACCATACTGGATTGTCGTCCTTGGACTGCTCGTCTCACAATTCTTCCAACGAATATGGCATCAATTCAAACATCACACATGGTTCACAACCCTTGAGATAGCTGGTCTGATACTGATATTTCAACAGCGCTTATCAAATTAGAGTACAAAAGAGAAGTGGGCTTCTGCTGTTACAGTCCAGCCGAATCATAGTGGTAGGACGATTAACATGAGATTATGCACAAAAAATGAATTAATCTTAATGAGCATCCTCTTCGAATAAGTATCGCAGCTTCGTTGGTTCTGTTTTGTGTTTAAATAATCGATTCTTTAGAATAACGCGTACGAGCTAAGCTAGATAAACCCACTTCACATTAGATTCAACTGAAAATTCTACAACGATATTAGGATTATCTTGAATTTGATCGAAAGGAAAAATGTCGAAAGTTAAAGATGTCAAAGCTGAGGCGATACTTCCATACATTTTTGTCTTTGTGAAAATGAATCAGCCAGTAGACTTGATTAAAACAAAACGTTTATTATTAAATGAAGAAGACTGAAAGAAAACCTAAAAGGTTTTTAGGAATGATAGTTGATCCATCTTTAAATAATATTCTATCTGCTTGATTAAAACTTCCTTTTTTTACCACAATTAAAGATAAACGTTTAAAGAGTTCACATGCTGTAATGAGATAATTGCTATACCTATCATACAACGTGTTTATTCGACTTTGTAATGCTGTTGCCCTTGTGTCTTTCGGTTTCGATGCACCAGATGGTCATTAAAGTTTATACCTTCTTTTTTCGAATTAATGAAATATCAATCATCGTTGATGCTAGATATTGAATCAGAGGGGGACTCTCACTTTTATTTTGTTTCTCGAATAATGAATGATTGGAGATTCTTATTCGTATTCTTCTTTGTTCATTTATTTGTACTGAATGAACAATAGTGATAGACGAATGATAAATTTATAATAAGATAAGTCAATATTCGTCGTGAAATAATGACATCTTCATCACACACCTTTCCAAACAGTCTTGATTTAAATTTCCCTTTTTTTACAACAAAGTTTTATTTCAATGTTCGTATTTTCGACATTCTTAATTCCGACCAAGTTCAAGTTTACCGATATTAGAACATATATGAGTGAATCATTCTGTCATTTCGACGAGTCTCATTCAAAGCATGACAAAATGGTTTTCAGGTTTGAATTTTACATTTCAACGAAAGAAAAATCTAGAAAGAAAAAACTCAGGATTATTGCTCTGTGAGATATACCATGTCAAATATATAATAGGATTGTATGAAAATCTCTATCCACAATGAGGCTTTCATTTATGAAGAAAAACGCTATTTTCTGTATAGTGACATTTAGTAATTTTCTTTTTACGTATACTGAATAGTGGGAAATATTTCTAATAGATAGTCTGTCGATAATCTAAGTTAAAATACTGGCGTTGAAGATCTGATGGTTCCAAGATCTTTCAACTGATTAAAAACATTGTTCCACAATCACGTTAGTGACGCTAGTTCAACATGAATAAATTCGGTAGTAACAATTATTGAATATATTCTTTTCCAAATCTCACTATGGTTCTTCGCTTCTCTCTGAAATAATATTCTAAAGGCGAGCATTATCTATCAGCGGAATACGCCAAAAGTTTCGAATATTACTATCGGATATTCGCATATTCTTGTTAAATTTTTACCAATTTTAAGGTCTAGTGGCATTCTCCAAGAGAGAATCAAGTTTAGAGAATCAGAATGATACTTAGCATTCATGATCTAGTGTTTCGCCCTTCATTAATTCACTAATAATTTACATAACTTGTTGAAAAAAGCGCTTAAAAATACTTTATTATCTTTTTCTCTTACATTGTACGTTGTCAATAGGGGGGACAAATGGTGGCTTGCAAAGCGATAGAGATCGTCTCGAAAAGTTACGTAGTATGTTTGTTGTCGATTTTTTCGATGCCATCAGCTGTTTCATGACATTCGATCATGCTGTCTGGTATTGTGTAATTCAGTCGACATGTAACAACTCGTCATCGTCAATAGCAACACCCTGGAACTGCTACAATACTCTTGGATATCGTCTATTCAGCTGCATTTTTGTTTCATATTTTAGTACACTATTGGACTGTGCTTACCAAGCATACGTACTAGGCTTTTCCGAAATCATAAAAACCGATGCTAAGCGAGGCAGCTTCTCTTGGATAGTGCATTACGCTACGTTGATTGTTATAGCTCTGTCACTTATATTCACGACTTGCATCCTGTTGCCTTTTGTTATTACAAATCTCTTCCCAATGCTGGTCATCTATATTTGGACGCGCATAGTCTATATTGAATTTTGTATCTATTGGGTGTGGGTGTGGGTCTTTAGAAAAAAAAGATGGGTACTTACATTCACACTCTCAAAATTTCGTTATATTTTTTACGTATAGGTATTTAAAGTTTCAGAAATTTTAAGCACGAAATCAAACAAGAAAATTAAGAATCACAGTGAACAGAATCTATGACATCAATAGGTCTATCGTCATATAAAGTAATCTTCATGTTCGGTCGAAATCCACAATTCTCATGGGCATATCCACATTGATTGCTCACTATTCTCGTAGAATTCATGATCAGGTCAGTCGACCAATGTGTATGTCCGTACACCCACAAACGAACAGGATCAACACAATCTGTATCATGATCGTTAACGAACGCATCCATTAGGTCAGACTCTTCATCTTCTGTTGAACAAGTGTCATGACGGCAAGGTGCATGATGTGTAATGATAACCACATGTTCCCCATTGTTGCGTGCCTTTTCAATCTCTTCACGCAACCAAACAAGCTGTTGCGTGTGCCATTCATTAGTATCATCCACTGTGATTCGACGTTTTCTTGTGCTTTTCCCATCTTTTGTCTCAACCCTGATCGAAATTAGACTATAATCGTTGAGACATCGACCTATTCTACTAGCGCTTTCTCGAGTAACATGAGTCCAGAGAGTAGTGCCGAGTATACGCACACTATTGGGAAGAAGATAACTTTTGTTATGTAAAAAATGAATGCGAGAATTGAGTTTATCGAGTTCTTGCAGTTGTTGAAGACGGCCTTCCTATTCACCTTGGTAGAAACAATGGTTTCCAGCCACAAAAAAAGATATGTTCGAATCTTTGGCACAGAGTAAGTAAGAACGTTTGTAAAGATGGCACATCTGGTCTTCCAATGTCGCCGGCGAGTATTAGAACTGGTGCTACAACTGAAAATTCGGGAGGAATTACATTGTCGAATTCCAAATGCAGGTCACTCATGAGCATTATCTGAAAAATTGCTTTGCTTCAGATTCGGGAACTTTCTTTGCTGCTTGATTATCCATATGTAATTAGAAGAGTTTGAATTCTGAAGAGAGACGAACAATAATATTTTTGCTAATTATTATCAATTCCTAAGGCAAAACTTTTCTTAATGTTACATAGTTTATATCTCATTCGAATCTTAGATGCACAGCAATATACTTGCAAAATCAATACGTGAGTCCAACAACAATGAGGAAAATATGTGATCTCAAAGGTAAGACTTGACGAAACGTACTCAAAACTTTGGTTCGATTGAAATCTATTCGAGGAATCACTAATTTTGATCGAAGGTACTTCCCTTTTTTTCTCTATGAATGCTTCTGCATTCATTCGACAACTGTGTTTCTGACACGCTTGCCAGTGTGCAATTTTGCTGTGCACAATATTTTGATGAAATAAAAGTTACACTCTCGTTAAACACACCTTTAGCACTTTGAAAAAAAGTATTAATCAAGTTTTTATCGACGAAGAAAAATTATTGATTTTGAATCTGATAGAATCACCATATATTTACTCACATGAGAATAACCAAATTATTATTTCTTCAAGAAGAATGAAAAAAAGCATGGGAGACCTTTTTATAGTTATGCATGATAAGTGAAGATGACTATTCATATATACAGAATAAGAGAAAAAGAACGAGGGCAATGATGTTTCTACGACAACGCCATGACGCTACAATAACTTTCGCAATTTCCCTTTTGCCAGCATCAACATGAGTCATGGGTGACTGTTATGATTCGTTTTGATGTTATGAATCATAAGAGATAATGCAGCGAGCTGGAAAGACCACAGAATGAAGAAAAAGATAACTCGCCGCGGGACTCGAACCACGTACCTTCTGCTATCCGGGCAGATGTCCTCGACTAGTTAGGCTAGAAGAGACACTTTATCTTCGCCTTATGATCGGATATGGATCAGATCATAACAGTGACAAAAATTTTACTAATTATGTATGCGCCAAAACAATGATTTACAGCCTGAAATGCTTCCGACCGAGTGTTCTATACTTTAAAACAGCCTAATTTACAATATGCAATGTAACAAATGAAAAATGGATAATGTGCAACTAGAGGCGTAAGTGACTGTAACCTATCTAGAGTCGAACGGCCTCTATCAATTTTACCATCGGACATAAGTTCAAACCGGATATACATATATGTTCCGTCACCAAATAATTGAAACTATGGTTTATAATTTAAGATCTTCCGTTTGTAATTCTCTTTTTTAAAATTCTATTGGCTTCATCCAGTTTGTAAAGCATACAGAGGAAACAGTATTTTGCTAATGGCTATAAATGTGTCATCCACCAAGCATTTCAATTTAATTTCGAGAGTCAAACATAGCTGACAGTCGACCTCTATCTAATTGTCGACGGTATTCTAAAAAGAATTTATACTTGCTTAGAAATTTAAGTATACCATGTCAATTGATATTAATAACTCGCAATTGGATATTGACAATCTACTTGAGCGGCTGCTCGAAGGTCTGTTCAATATTATCTTTTTTTGATTAATACTCATAGTTAAATTTCCCTCTTTTCAAAGTGCGTGAATGTCATCTACCTGACAAGTTTGTTCAAATATCCGAACAGGAAATAAACCTCTTGTGTGAAAAATCGAAAGAAGTCTTCCTCAGTCAACCAATGCTTCTTGAACTCGAAGCTCCTATCAAAATATGCGGTAATATTATTTACTAGTTCTGAAGCTATCAATAGGTTAACATTTACAAACTTGGAATTTTCCATGGAAATCGATTAATCCTAGCAAATGTAGTTCTGTATATTCTTTCAGATCGCACACTGAATGCATATTGTAAAGATCGGCGCAGACATAAAAATTGCTCGTTTAGATGTTTCAGAATATTTGAATAACACGTTCATTCGGGTATTTTTCACGAATTATCTTCGTTAGGCAATATTCACGGTCAATATACTGATCTGCTTCGCCACTTCGAATCTGGTGGCTTTCCACCTAAATCCAACTATCTATTTCTTGGTAACTATATTGATAGAGGTAGACAATCTTTGGAAACAATTTGTCTTCTACTCGCTTACAAAGTTTGTTGACTTTCTGCACAGTCTAGATCCTATACATTTATTTTATTTTTATTAGACAAAATATCCTGATAACATTTTCTTACTAAGAGGAAATCACGAATGTGCCTCAATCAATCGTATCTATGGGTTTTACGACGAATGTAAGTATTGATCACATTTTCTACTACAGATACAGTGGTAAAACTATATCTGAAGGAGTTGTTATCTCCTGATATTCGCCTAGGACCCAGCGAATCTTATTTTGATGTTGCACATGCACAGAAGTAGATCGAGAGTTTTTGACAATTGTTTACATCGATATCTATAGGCAAACGACGGTACAACATCAAATTATGGAAGTCATTCAATGCCGTCAGTTCAATAAACTCTTTTTCGCTGATAAAAATGTTTGTGCATTATCTGTTTAAGTGTTTCAATTGTCTTCCAGTAGCTGCTATTGTGGCCGGCAAAATCTTTTGTTGTCAGGGAGGTAATACTTTTTCTTTCTTATACTCAATATCTATTTATTGCTTTATTGTCTGAAGGCCTTTCACCTGATCTCCATAGCTTAGAACAAATTCAACAGATTCAACGACCGATCGATGTGCCCGACGCTGGTGAGCAATACTTTTAATTCTTTCTACTTTGTTTTGTACTCTAAGAACTCACTGTAATTGCATTGATGCTGTTAAGTTGTATAAGACTGAACAGCAAAACAGATAAATAATGAGAAAATCGAATACGTCGATCATTTTCATCATTATTTGATTTGCGTCGCCTAGGTCTTCTTTTTGATCTACTTTGGTCCGATCCGGACAATGACTTGAAACGTTGGAGTGAGAATGACGCCGGTATTTCGTTTAGATTCGGTGTTGATATAGTAAACGAAGTAAGTTATTAAACAAATCCTTCTTCAGTCGTTTTTTTTATAAATGCTACCATATCAGTTTTTGAATCGACATAAGATGGACTTGATTTGTCGAGCACATCAGGTAAGACAGTCTAAACAATTTTTTGTATATTTTGCTTCTTGTTAAAGGTCGTCAAAGATGGTTACGAGTTTTTCGCCGATCGCCGATTGGTCACTGTCTTTTCAGCTCCAGACTATCTTGGTTCATTCGAAAATGCAGGCGCACTCATGTCGGTCGACGCGAATTTAATGTGTTCTTTTATGGTATTCTGCGTTTCTTATTATCAATGGTCAAGAGATAGTTCTTAGACGGTTATCAATTCTTGTTCCGACATGACCGCGTCTTAATTTCATCTTGTCCTGATCGAAAATTCGAGATAGATTTTTCAAAAATAATATGCTAATTCACTTTTTTCGGTTTTGATCCAATCTCAAATCGGTACTCACCTTGTGTTCTTTCTTTTTTATAGATTCTTCATTCAAGTAGTGAGCAAGCTAATGAACAAGACGATAAGAATCTAAAAGCGGACTGTCAAGCCCAATCTGTCAGTGACAATGTGATCAATCCATCTGTGACGAAAGTGGAAGGTTGTCAAAAATGTGTGAGCTGGGCTGACATGAACGACAGTGCATCCCCTCAATAATGAATACTACACGTACTTTACATAACCAACACATATTCGCTCGTTTCTGTGATTTATAGTCTCTAAGTGTCACATAGAGAAAAATAACATTTATTAACCTAACTTGATGCAATTCACTTTTTGTTCAATGATTTCTATACGAACAGATAAATGCTTTTAGTAATATTTAACATCATCCATCGATAGTGATCAGTGATTTACAGATAGTCTCAATTTTGAGTAAACAGAATAAACACTTTCAGGACCAGCTTCCTTAATAAAGAACACATTTTTCAAAAGCCAGGGGACGTGTTGAGACGTGAGAGTGTGGGTCTTGGTGTGAAAAGAAGACTCATAGTCACACCCACACTCAAAACTAGATATGTCTCTTGTCTTCAATAGAATCTTTCCAAAATTGGCCGTCCCTCATCCACAGTAGTCTGATAACTCTCTTAATACGACATCCAGACAAAGTAGCTCCATCTTTGCACCTGCTTACAATAAATTTATTATGAGCAAAATTTTTAGAAATATAAATGTTTTTACAACTAAGAATGATTTAGTTGAACTCGAGTTGAAAAATAAAACGGCTTATTATGCGTTCTCGCCATGGATTCGTTGTTGTTTTTTCTGTTCATGTGCCGCATTTTTCAGGGCTTTCGTGGCTGAGTGCAGTTGGCGGACACCGAATGAAGAATGCTTCTGCCAACCACGAGGAAATGTTTCGTCTTCAAAAAACAATTTGGCATCTTCAATGCTGATGCCCCCATGTTTACCCGATGAGTGTCCAAGGACTGAGAATTAGGAATTTCTCATCAGTTTCCCTACAGTTATTTGCATACTAAAAGTAAAAATATGGAATATTCACGATAATTTTTGTTCTTACACTCATTTTTACTTGCAAAATTGTGAAAATCAATAATTTCATGCAAAAATTATTTTTAAAGTAGCGATATCGCGACTTTCGTGAATGGTGGAACTGTGAAGGAACCGGTAGTTGGTTCCCATTTCCTCTAGGAATTATCACAACGACACTGGCAATTCCTCGGCACATTAGGAATTCCTATCTCTCAGTTCTTAGGCACTGCTGGAATTGTTCGCTTTGCTATCCACTTTGAAGTGCAAGCGAGCAACAGCTACATCATTCGTAGTCAAGATTTGCTATCTTCGGAAAACGACAAAAAATGTGTTGAACCGTTCTTGATTGAAATTGCCCTGTTGATTGTTACAAAGGGCTGCGCACTGTAAAAAAAAACGTATAATAATATACCCTTAAAGGGTTTATGATACGTTGCACTTTCATAAACCCTTCAAAGGGTTTATTACTGTTGTTCCATTCCCCCAAAAAGGGTTTATTACTTTTGTTCCATACCCAAAAAGGGCTTATTACAATTTTCATTCAGACAAGCGCCTTAAAAAACGCGTTAACAATCTTTCAGAAAAAAAGAATCCAAAAACAATTGAGTAGACTATGATTCTTTTTCGTTTGTGTTTACAATGCGGATCACAACGCATTTTTTTGTAATTTATTGATCCGATTAAAATTTTCGGAACTTAATGCGTTATCCTAGGTTCGATCATGAGATGTATTGGTTGATAGTCCAAGATGTTATCCATTCGGTCAGTCGTATGATATCAATATGAAGTAAGAAATGCTACTTAAATCGAACGAAACTTTATAGGAGCCTGAAGATGATATAAAGTTAAGCGGAACAAATTGTTATTACATTTTTAATTGTCATAAAAAAAATTCAAAAAAATATTTTGCATTTAAAAAATTATTTCTTTGGAAATAAAAATGATTTTTTTACATATTTAAATAAATTAGGAAAAAATTGTTTTCGAAGTATATTTCCTCAAAAAAAATTTTAAAAAGATTTAAAAACGTTTTGCTTCATTTTTTCAAAAATTTTCTAAAATATTTCTTATTTTTCTAGAAATCTATAACGTATATATTTCTCTTAATTTTATAAAATTGTTGATCATTTTTTTAAATCTTTATAAGTGCATGTGTTGAAAATAGCACATATTTGTCTGGAGTGATGTATAGGGTGTGAGTCGTAAGAAATTCTATTAGGAGATGTAGATGCAAAACGCAGGAAATCATAAATACGGCGTTTTTACGAAATTTCAAGATGTTTTAACGTTTTATAACATGAAAGCGTCAATATATATATTCGCTGTAACGCGTTTTTTAAGGCGTTTGTCTGACTGGATTGTCCCATATTTCTGAAATCGATGTTCATAGTTCTTTTCCATATATAGTTTCGACGAATCAAAATAGAAAAAAAAAGAAATCGCTATTTATAAAATATTTTTATAGTTACATTATTTGTTTGATGTTGAATTAAAGGTAGAAAAATACAAGATTTATAAAGACATATGTGAAACAATGTATTCACTTTGAATACATTGTACCAATGGACGAAAACAAAAAGAAGGAAATAATCACAGAGAAAGTTTTAATACTTCCGTTTTCATTTTTAATTTTTAATGGAAATAAATAAAAGAAAAGATATAAATATATAAGTAAATCACCCTTATTCTCCATTAGCTGTGGCAATTGCTCTAAATTAAAGACAACCTTGAATTATTTTTAAAATGTTATTACTTGCATTATTTTGAGCTTATTTTCAACCAAGTAAAGGAAGAATATAAATATATTGAAGTAAAATACCTGCTTCAATTTGTTCTCTTGGATGGATGTAAAGTCAAACTTTTTTTCTGAACACCAGTGCGAGTTTGGAGTATATCCGCAATTACTATAATATCTTTCAGATTGATGTAACTCAAAGTTTTTGTATGAAATTGCTCATGTGAAGCCGTCTGATTTTTATTTTTAAACAATGTGTGGATTGGAGTTTAGCTCGAAATTTTTCAAAATTTATTAGCGAAATTAGCGTCTCTATATCATACCGTTATGTTTTACGAAACAGGTACGAAATGAAAAGTGCATCGATGCATGAATGGCAGCATTGTGAGAAAATGATTGGATTAACATTTTTATTATATTAAATTGTTTGAAGTGTCCTGTGAGAAATTTTCATGGTATATATATATATATCAGTTGAAAAAGTGTAATCCTTTGAACGAAGAATAAAAAACCCTTTTGATGATGGAGTAGAACAATAAATCCCTCACCGTAGAATAAAATACCCTTTTTAAGTAAGTAATAAACCCCTTTCTCTAGACCGTACAATAAAATACCCTTAGTACGAAAGTAATAAACCCTTTTATTGAAACCGCATATTAAAATACCCTTGGAGATAAAATCATATACCCTTCTCCTTAAATCTCAGATTAATAAACCCTTTTTTTTCTTGTATCATCTTTTTTCATATACCCTTCGTTTCATAAACCCTTCAAGAGTTTAGCACGATTTATAGAAAGGACAAGGGTTTATTATTCTACTCTTTTTTTTACAGTGTAGTCTCCTAAAATGAGCTAAGATTTCGTACATCATGTACTGAAACTTTCATAGTTTCGTAAAATGACCTAAGGTTTCGTAATATCTCGACAGACCCATTGTTGACATCGTGTCTCAAAAAAATAGTTCAGACCTTTTGATACGGAGCCACCGATAGTTTCCTTAATAATCCAAAGATTTAGTATTTTTTTGCGCTGAACTTCTCGACAGTTTTTATATACCTTTATAGTTTGGTACATTTTACACGAAGCCCCGGGTAGTATCGTTGAGCATGCGTAGGATCTGTATTTTTTGGCAGCAACTCTTCCAATTTCCTGGTCGGCCATACGATTTAGTGCATTTCGAAGAAAACGCTTCAGAGGCTCCAACGTTATTCGAAGGTCTCGTACATTTCATACTGAATCGCAATGGTTCCGTTAAATTTTTTTATATATTTCCAATACAAACACGAAAGAGTAAATGTTTCCGCACCATACGGATAGTGGTCTTACTTTCTTTCAATCATCCCGAGTTCAGTATTCACGTCAGATTTGGATCTCATTTAGTCCACTATAAAGAGGCTCCCACCAAAAACATTAAAAGTTTCAACCTTTCCATGCGCGCAAGTCAAAACAATGTATCGTAGTGGCTGCCTTACTTTAAGAGCTTTATCTGTTTCCACGACACTTTCATTTAGGTTATCGAGGCCCAGCAACCCGAATATGCAGTTAGTTTTCCCCGTCGAGTTCCCATTGGTCAGAAAATCGGTCGCTCCCAGAGCCAAAAGTTGTAGAGGTACCTTTTTTATTTCAAGTTGGAGCTAAATTCTGAGGTAAGCTTGCAATAGGTTAATGAGGTCCAGCAACCCGAATATGTAGTTAGTTTTCCCGTCGAGTTCCCATCGGTGAGAAAATCGGTGCATCGCTAAGTCGAAAACTGTAAAGGTAGTTTTTTTATTTCAACTGCAGGTAAAATTCGTGGATAAGTTTCAGATGTTGAAAATTAATTAATATGTTTTTTTATATTATAGATTCACTCATATTAGGATTTTAAGTAAACTTGATTCGGGGAAATAAGACAATTTTTTTTAGGTTTTTTATTGATTCCTCGAAAGATGCAATGTCGGGGTAAGTTTGATGTTATGAAGTCTCATAAATTGGTTTAATTTTTTGTTTTCTAAGTTGATCTATATGTGGAATTTTAGGTAAGCTTGACCTTATGAATTTATTAAATTTGTTAATATTGTTATTGTAGGTTGATGTGTGGATGCGGTTTTTTGGTAAGTTTCACCTTTTGAAACTTCATCATTTTTTTAATTGCAGGTTGATTCAAGTGAGGAAATAAAGGGGTAAGTTTAAAATTTTGAAATGCTTGTACTTATTTTTTTCTATTTCTATTTTATAGATTGTTTCAACTATGAAGATCATCGTTTGGTTTCATTTAATCTTCGAGTGCCGACCGCGGTAAGCATACCATTTCCAGTGTTTCTCAAAACCCAAGAATGACATATATTCAAATCAATCAAAAGGAAATGAACATAGTCTATAGAGTAACCGTTTACATGGATATAAGAAAATTGCTCTATAGACGGTGTCCACTTACGTTTGATTGATTTGAATATGTAGCGTGCTTGGATTTTGAAGAATACTGGAAACGGTATGCGTACCGCGGTCGGCACCCGAAGATTAAATGAAATTTGGCGGAGCGGACAATTAGAAGAAGGTTTCGAGCAAATCAGTTTGTACGAAACCATTTTTGAATTACTTTTGAATGGTTTTGTACGAAACCTTTTTTCTGAATTGCTTTGGATAGGTTTTGTACGAAACCATTGCTACGGAACCTTTTTTTAAATTGTTTTGAAGAGGTTTTATGCGAAACCTTTTTAGGTTCGGTAGAAAAACTTTTTTTTAGAGCGTGGTTGGCGCGTACTACTAAAGTATTATGTTCGAACCATGGCACTATCGGGCATAAAATAATCTTGGATAACTCACTGATAGGGGTGGCACTTTATCTTCGTTTTACTTTGAAAAAGTAACGTAAAGTAAAATTAGAAAAAAAAATTTTCATGGATAGATAAAAAAACCAAACCTTTGCAACCTTAGTTTTTCTTGTAAAGTAAAAAATACTCTAATTTACCGAATAAAGTAAAGATAAAGTGACATCTCTACTCACTAAGGGCTGTTTCCCTCGGGTTACCCGTACGATAGCATACTGTCTACGTTGTGAAACACAACGACTCTTGCGTTTAGTATGTGGTTAGTCAATGTGAATTAGATGCTCAAGCAATTCAGTGGAAAAAATTTCAGCCAGACCGGCCTTCCATCCAAAGTTAGAACTAGTCGTATAATGGATTTTACAGCTTTCTCAGGAATTTGATTATACTGCTGGATAATAGATATAGAATATATAGTGTTTAGAGGTGGATAAGGATGTTAGAGCCGAGGAAGGGCAGGCGTAGGCACCCAAGTACAGGTGGTATAGAAGATATAGGAACTGTAAGTAAGTTTCAATACATTCACAATAAGATTCGCTTTCTCATCCCCACTCCTTTTGGAACTTTCTTCCCTGCACCCACACTATAAAAATATCGTAGAATACTAAACCCTACCAAAAGAGTATATGAGAGTTCTAAACCCTTAACCGTATATTGATTAACCCTTTTATCGTTTATTATCAGCTTCCTGAACCCTTTAGGGGTTTATTAGGCCTCCTAAACCCTAAAAAAGGGTTTATTACACGCTGCACTTTCCTAAACCCTTAAGCCCCCGCCCCTTCAAAAATTGATTCCAATAATGGAACATGGTATAATGCTGTAATTTAGTACGGATGTTAGTGTCAGTGAGTCATGTGAGTAAAAAAAATTTCAGCCTTCTATCTCTTTGTTTAGAGTAGCTATGATGATTTCAATATGCGCATAAAGCTTATTTTAGGGATTCTCATACCCTCAAGGAAATTCTGTCAAAGCAATGTCAAAATTCAATTCAATTTTTTTTATTTTGCACAAAATACTTAGGGCTAGAGGCTCTCGTGGCTCTTTTTTACGAATTTCTTTCTTCTTCTATTTTTAAGTTTACATGCAGTTGAAAGATTTCTAGAAATCAAAAAAAACCTAAATTTATTTGAAGTAAAGCATTTTTTCCTTCATCTAGTCTTTTTGAAAAAATGGCCACGAGGGGCCCTAGCTGGAAGTGTCAGCTGTAAAACAAAAAAAACATCTGGCGTTATCTCTTGATTAGCTAGAAAACTTTAGGAAATATTTCGTGAAACCCCTATTTTGAGAAACTTAAAAACAATCTGCTGATACATTTTCTGAGCAACAATAAACCTTTAAATGATATAGACTTAGACACATCATGTATCATTTATAAAATGAGAAAGTTCATTTCTGATTGGTCAACTGTTGACTAATGAAGCGTCGGCCAAAGAAATGGGTTTCGGATTCGAATTCAGGGTCCTTAATAAGCTATGGCAAAGTTCGACCAAAACGACCAAAAGTCTTACAATGGGAAGGCTCGTTTCTGATTGGTCAGCTCCTGGCCAATGTAAGCTCGGCCGAAGAAGTGGGCTTTGGATTCAAGACCCTCGATAACCTATGACAGAGTTCGACAAAAACGGCCAAAAGTCTTAAAATAAGATAACTTCTTATAAATGTTTTTTTGACCCCAATCAAGCAAGATCACAAACGCATTTAGTTTTTTTCATATGATCCTCCTTACAGTCGAGGGAAAAACTACTTGTAAAAGTTAATTAAACGATCAATGATGCTTTGCGTAATGTTAGATATGGCGCCATCTATATCTCCATTCGGCATTTCATCAATGTACAAAAAAATTTGCAACACTATTTCGTTCGGTTCAGCGAAGATTGACTACCAGAATTGTATTTACGAGTGAGCCAAATAAGATATTTTAGTGAAAAATGTTTTCCGTCTCAAAAAATGCCTGGACTCCTCCCCATCAGCTATTTTTAACTATTTCGCCCTGCGGCCCCCTCAGGCTAGTTTTTCGATGGAAAGTATTTTCACTAAAATAAATGTTATTCGACTCAATTCTTTATGCTGATTCTGAATATCATATGCATTTAGCTCGTAAACAAAATTCTGATAGTCAAATTTGTGAAATACAACTCGAATCCGTAGCATTTTTCCAAGAATTTTCGTCTAATAAAAAATTTTATTCTGCCCAATATGAGCAGAATTTTATGGGACATCTTTCTGTACCAACATTTTTCTAGTTGTAATAGCCTAAATTTCTGAAATTCCAGCAAAATCTGAAAAAAGTAATTTATAGTAATAAAATTGCACTAAGATGGAAGAATCGCTTTTTCTCTGTGAGTAATCATTCAATCATAGAAAAAATTTCCGGGTAAATGGAACTCTGTTTGCTCTATCGAATTACATTAATATCGCATGAGAGATTGTGGGTGTAGGTGTGGGTCCTCTCTTTACTATCTTGATGGCTGTGGGTGTGCGTGTGGGTCTGAGTTCCTTCTTTACCAACACCCACAATCACACCCCACACCCCACACCCTTTTTTGTGTTGTATCTTTATCATCGGCAACTGGCAAAAAATATAACTTATTTGATCAAAACGATCTGTTTTCACCATTTTTTTCGACTACTGTTTGTCCTCTGTTAAAGCCATAGTTTTGAATAGAAACGAAAGACGTGAGTTATTGTTTTTCTTCGCCTTTCATCGGTTTAGAAATGCGACGAAGAGGATGCTGACTATTTTTGTTTCGTTTTTTTACGTGTGTGTTGGCGTTATTGCTTCCTACGACTAGTATTATTCGTTGAAAAAAGAGCAAATGACATTTTCCCCTTTGTGTATAATTCGATTTTATTATCATCAGAAAATGAAGACAACATTCAGGCCATTCATAAGTCATTTGTTTTTTTTATCAATAAGTCGTGTGTTGAAATTTTTAAAAAAGTGAACACACTTTCTTGTCATTGAATACATGGAGAATTCATCGTGCCATTTCTTATGCATTAAAAGAAGAAGTTTTTGGTGAGAAAAGTAAAGATATAACACAATCTGATTAATTAAGGAAAATCACATTGTGCAGTATTGATTTTTCGTCATTGAGTTTTCAGCCCTCCGACCCTATTTACAGAAGATTTAAAGAAACATTACAGTTGGGAATTTTTTGTTTCGAAAGGACCTTGATTACAATATTTGCATCATATATATTCTTTGTTATATTCAGATATTTGTTTTTAACTTCGGCAATCGCTTGTGTTACGCACCAACCGAAATCACTATGTCTGTTGAGTCAAATTTCGATCAGGACATGGTCGATGAACAATCAACAATCGACAAGAGCGCTAATGCAGTCTATTATGTAAGGTTTCTATAAATTCAACTTTCTTTGTGATATATGAAGTATTCGTTAGGGAACATCATTGGCTGATATTCCAAATATCATCCGAACACCTCCCATTCTATCAGATATGCAAGATATTCATGATCCTGACCACGTATTTTTGATCAAAGTAGGACATTGACTAAGACCCAATATCGAATACACATGAACATAGTTTTCTTTTCAAATAGCCATTCAAATATGATCCATCGAATCCCGATCGTGAACCGGAGCCAATTCATGGAATGGAGAAATATATGGATGCATGGGATGACGATCATGTTCGTTTACCATGTTCATTAGGGAATGTAACAGTGAGTTTAAATAGCAGTATCGCTAAATATACGTGACACAAATTTGTTTGTAGAGGGATGGAAGGCATATATGGCCAATTATTCAAAAAGCGTTGGCACAACTTAAGCAGAAATGTGATGAAAAAACAGTGACCGTCCACGATATTAAAGTGATATACTATTGCTTTTGCTCTCGTTTACACACAAATATTAGTATTTAGACAACAATACAAGAGAGCAATGGAATGAATTTCGAAATACGCTGTCTAAAACAGTTAATTAATCAAGTAATATTACTTAGACAATGGCTCACATTCTACCAATGTTATTATCACTATTAGGTATTTTCTGCTGAAGAACGAGCGATCTTTCTATATACTATTCTTCCGAAAATGATTTCTCTTGCTCTCAATGTTGGCACTATCTGTGGCCAGGTTTTATAAGAATTTTTTTTTCTTTTGTTTTATTATAACTTATGCGTGTTATTTTCCAGCCACCTCGATTGTTACGACAGGAATCTAATCGTTCTGTCACTATGTCTCAACGGCAGGCTAGTTCCTTATTAGCTTGTGGGTTTTTCTGTCTTTTTCCTGAGCCACATAACAGACATTCAACCTATCAGAGTTTGAATTTTACACAGTAAGAACTCGTATAGAAGCTTTTATACCGGGAAGATTTTTTTCTCTTGTGCTCTGTTTGTAGTCTTCTGAAAAGTGGAGCACCATGGAAAATTGAAAAACTCAAATGTATTTTACATTATTTTCGACGCATTAGTGAAGATAGTACGTGAAGATGACTATTTTTTTTGTATATCATTTTGATCATAACTTACTGATATTATACAATTAGTGCCAAAAGGTGTTCTCACTTTTCGACGCTTCAGTTTTCTCAAAAATTCGGATCCGAAATGGATTGAATCTCAAGTACCACTGAGCAACATTCACATGATTGCAAATGCAACTATCGAAGATCAACATGGTTTTTTACAAGTTGACTTTGCGAATGAATACATTGTATGTATAAAAAAAAAGAAAACACGGCATTGCCCATATCGATTTGTTGAATAACTACAAAACAATTTCCTAGGGTGGTGGTGTGATGAATGAAGGCATTGTTCAAGAAGAAATACGTTTTACCATTTGCACTGAAATGCTTGTTAGTGTGCTGTTTTGCGAAGTCATGCTACCCAATGAATGCATCTATTTGATCGGTTGTGAGCAATTTGCTACTTACAGTGGCTACGCAGATACATTCAAAGCCAAAGCAACGTTTATCGATAAAACACCGAAGTAAATTACAGAAGAATTTTGTTTCTTTATCAATCATAATGATATAATTGTAATTGTCGATTCAGAGATAGCTGGGGTCGAAAATTATCTCAGGTCGTAGCTATGGATGCAATTTACTTTCGAAATCCAATAGATCAATATACTATTAGTTGTATGAATCGAGAACTCTTCAAAGCATACGCAAGTTTTCATTTGCCGAAATCAATGAATAACTTTGCGTTCGGCATCGCCACTGGCAACTGGGGTTGTGGTGCATTCAATGGCGATAGACATCTCAAAGGTATGAACTATGAATAGAATATGAGAAAATTATACGATTTGTTTCGACTAGCAATCATACAATTAATGGCTGCTTCTGAAGCCCGCCGCCCACTTATCTATTGCTCGTTCCACGACAAACACTTAATCGAATCGTTTTGGGCGATATACGAGTATTTACAAGAACAAAAAGCAACTGTTGGCGATCTTTATCTTTATCTCAACCAATATTCAATGCAGCACGCTCAATCGACATTATTTGAATTTATTTTTAGTACGCCCGTATCGTCATTGAAGAAAAGCTAATAATTATTTGATTTGAATGAAAATATCAAACTGATTCTATTTCATTGAATACTGTCGCTTGATGACTTCCATATGTTCTATTGATTAAGAATACATCTATTTCAAGGTTCTATTAGCATTGTAAAACTCCTAAACATGTCGAACATAGATTCAGATAGGAAATCCAATTGTGGCCTTTTCTTTTCATTCTGAAACAAGTTACGATAATATGCAATTTCTAACTGACGTTCATTATTTGCTCAGTTGTTTCCCGAGTATATAGTGCCGTAGTATAAAATTCATCAGTTGTTCATGCCGATCCTTAACTCGATATAAATTATTTTTTTTATATTTCACTGATCAGTTAACGTAATAAATAATAGGTTCGATTTCGTGGAGATGACGCTCGTAATCACACTCTCAACACGCGTTAGACTATTATTTACATAATTAGTTTCTTTTTTGTTTAACATCTCCTTTTTATATTAAAAGAAATAGCGGATAATATATTAATTTGATTTGATTTGATTTATTCAATCAGTTATTCTATCCGATTTATTAATTATCTTGCACAAAAATAAATAGAAAAGAAAATCGCAACATTAACTGTAATATGTATAATACACTGCAGAAAGAATTAGAAATAAAATGAGACTCATTCATAGACGAACTACGTCTCAATATGAATCAGGAAAAAGGAATTTTTTCTTAACGTACGAAACACAAAATAGCGCGCAGCTGTTCAATAATTAAATTTAAAAAAAAGACGAAGATATTGTCCCCTTTAATAATAAACGAAAGACCGGTAAAATGAATCGATTTTAACAATAGAATTTCTGTTTCTCAAGCTGTTTGAATATAATTAGCCGGTACATAGCCACGCTGTCTTGTATCATTCACTTTTTCTACATACCACCAATCATCATTACCGCCATCATCAATACGACGTAAAATTCTTAATCGATCACCAACAAGTAAAGAAAGAACACCTTCACTTGTTGATTGAAAATCATACATTGCCATATAGATCTAAATAGGAAATTTTAGAAGAATGTTGTGGTTTTATGATATTCATACTCGTTCCTCTTCGTTTGATCCGGACGTAATTGAATCATCAAGATCGATTGAAGCATAGTGATGACATTCATGCATTTGATTTAAATAAATACGTTCATTTTCGGAGTCATTGGAGGAATTTATTAGTGTGGGCTGTGGTTCTGTGTTAGCTCGTCTTAGTACAGGTTTCGAATTTACATGGTGAGATTGATCATAATTAAATGCTGGGTTCGTATGATGAGATGATCGTGTTGGTATTCCTATATCATGACGAAGAGGAGTTGGTGGCGTATGAGATATAAGACCGGATCGATCGTCGGATGATAGAGAAATAAGTAGCGAACGAGGTAATGAACCACGAGTGACTAAAGAAGAAAAATATCGATAGAGATTGAAAGAAAAGGAGAAATAAAATTTTCCTACTTCCATTATCGACAAACCAATTTGAATCTTTCGCATTCACTTCATTGGAATTAACGACAGCAACAAGATCACCCTATTGAAATGAATGAAATTCTTTTGTTATTTACTAGTACTCCTCTCTCATCATAAGTTAGAAAAATAATGAAAGTTTTCTTTCTCATAAACATTTAACAATCTACTAAAATTAGATCGAGATATGGTTCTCCCGTAAATTGTATTTAGACGTTAACTTTCGATACAAAACCTGTTCTCACTTGACTACATCACATATAACAAGAAATATCATTGGTCTACGAATTCCATTATATGAATTAGTCATTGATTTTGAATAAAGTAGAAAATACTATTCATGTATTAATCCTGCGGATTTCTTTCAGACGAATACACTTTCTGTTTTGAGTATCCAATATACAAAACAGAGTTCACCAATCGTGGCAGTGTCACAAGGCCAATAAATTCAATTATTCTACGCATGATATTTTGTTATGCAGTCAACCGAAATTTCATCTGTCTTGCAGTTCACGAAACAATTACACGATAGTTTACGGCAGAGTACACGACTAGTTAACTCAATATAATGGTTTACGTCAAAAATCAAACTTACACTTCGAACAACTATATCCATTGCTCGATTATTTGTTGAACTTCCATAATTTCTAATAACTGTATAAAGATCTTTTTCCGGATAACGACTCCTTAGTAAACGTCTGATTTCATCTGTTTGTATGTTTGAATCCTATTGATTAAATAAATCAGTACAATAAATAAGTCAAATTCAGATTTAGCAAACCTTATTACTATTATAAACGCTACTGATCGAAGACATTCGAGTAAATGATAAATTTTTTAATTTATCCGAAAAATTTTTTGCTGTTATTGTCAATTGAAATATTTGTTCAGCTGCTGAACTATTTTTCGATGTAAATCTTTCAACTATTTGTAACCAACTTAATTGTCCTGAACTAGCTGGTGATGTTGTCTAGACAAATACAATAAACAAATAAACAGTAGCACATGTTTTTGTCACGAAATGTAAATATCCTTACTTGATTAAGTACATGTTGAATATTTGTTTTCATATGTTGCATTAAACGAAGATGTCCGGTGATGAATGCTTTCAAACATAAAGCTAATATTTCGCAACTACGTTCATATAAAATAGGTAATTCTTCTAATAATTGACTGTTCAATGCTTCATAGGTTTTCTTAGCAAGATCAAGTACTTGTTTAGCCTAGAATATTAAAAAAATCCAAGTTGAGAATAACGATAGAAAACAAGCAGCGGTTCGAATTTAATACTTGTCTTGACTGTTGATCTTTCGCTTTTTCATAAGCAGATTGTGCACTGTCATAATCTAATAGTTTATCATGACGTTTACCGATTAAATTCGATGGTAAAACAAATAATTTTATTAATGTATTTATTGGATTGGCAACACATGATTCCATATGATTACACTAACGGATAAAGATTAAAACAAAATAAAAACTAATAATTTTAATCAATACGTACAAATTCGGTAAAAGCATTCTCCAGTAATGTACGCTTCGATTGCACAAATTGTTGAGCTAAATCAGGTATTTTATCCGATAATAATTCTTCAAAATCTTCAGCAACATTAACTTCTGTGACAAAAGTTTCCTAGAAAAAAAAACGGCAGACGAATTAGTTCATTTTTGAATATATCAAACTAGTTAAAGATCAATGAAAATATCACAAAAGATTTTGATTAATCTAAGAGTAGCTCGTAAATCTTAATAAACTTTTTAAGATCTACACTTTGATCTAGACTGAAGGTTTCTATTGTTTGAATGGCATATCACAAATAAACACTACTTAACATAATATTCTCGATCGGATATCCACGATTCTGAAGCAATTAAGTTTTGTTTGCTACTGAAGTAGTTTTCAGAATTAAGAATAACCTATTAACCCATGTTACAAAAGGAAAATTTCCAGTATTCGATAATACTTAAGAGCTTTGAGCCTTTTAATTCAAAGATAGATTGTGTCTAGTAAACATTTTGTTCTTGCAATGAGAAATATTTCTGAAACATTTATTTTGCAAAATGATTCTATTCATTTTGAGTTTATTTTACTACCTTAAAACAGCTGCATCTGTTCTATCCACCAGGAAATGATTTTAAAACACAGAATTTCAAAAATAACGAAAAATACTCAGAGTTTTGACATATTGAAAACGAAAAGATCACTTTCCTCGTAAGTGACTGACAAGTTCAATTTGACACTCTTTGTTCTCTATCGATTTAAGTTATATAATAAAAATTTTCTGCTAGTAGATCAATTTACCTTTAGTGCTTCCATACAAGTATAAGCATTGCGAACAAATAATCTTAGAAATTTATCAATAGCACGAAATCGTTGTTCTTCAAAGTTGAACCGTTCATCGATTGTATGTGCAGATAAACCAAATGCACTTGATAAACGCATACTGATTCGAGCAGATTTTTTTCTCATTGTATGCATATTTAATTTATATAATTTATTTGTTAGTGCTTCGTCTTTTTCTCGCCGTTGATATTTTGAAACTAAACGAGAACAACGTGATAACTCTTGTTCTTGTACTATGCAATTAGCTGATGATAATCTCGGTAATGGTAACATCGAAGTAGCTCGTCGGAATGTAGTGACATGATATGGTTCCATATTATCATCAGTTACATGAGTGTTACGTCTACTTTGTACAAGTATAAAACGTGTGCGTTTCGCCAAGGCCATTAAAGTGTTTGTGACGACAAAACAAAATTTATGCAGGGTATGAGCCGATCAAATCGAATATACATGCGATGTTGATCGTATGTATGTAGGCGATTATGCAAAAATGTTTGTACATTTCTCTCTCTTTTTGTTATCATTCCTATTCTTGTCGATTGAAAGCTCTTTCTCTTTCTTTCGTTCTTTTTTTTTCTCGTTTCGTTTGTCCCTGGCTCTTTTCCTCTTTGGCTGTTCACAAGGACATCTTACTGCTCAAAACAAACATAATATGAATGTGCTTGAACAAACACATATACACACATACACACACACACACACAAATGCACATACCAATTTCTTTCCGCCGTTTGTGTTCATTGATAAAATTGACCATCGATATTAAATTTGAAATGGCTTCTTTTAGCTGCATATAATCGATATGATCACTACCAGTATTCTACCGTGAAATAAGATACAGGGAAAAAAGACGAGATTAATTTTCGTTTTTTTAATTAAAAAAACAAGATGAAGAAATACTTTGAATAATTCATTTAATATAAGCGGATATCGAACAATACGTTGAATTGGACGTAATAGAAGAGCAGAGACATCAAAAACACTTGGCTTTTGAAGACGAAGTTTACATAGACCATCTTGAAGATATTTTTGAAGTTTTTCATCGTTTCCATACTGAACAAAAAAGAATGATGTCGCTTCGTCCATTTGAAATGACTGAAAATCTCACTTTACGCAAATATTCATGCACCCATTCGTGATTTCTACAATATTCCGCATAAGTATGCTTCAACTGATCTATTAATCCATTAAATACTAGGCCAATACAGCAATGTGCATCATCGTTCTGTTGACTTTTTGAACATTCAAATTCAAGTAGATTAAGAAGACGATGTGATACATCATTTATATCGTTTATATTACCAAACAGGAGTTTTTTATTGATACTATCCGGCTAAGAATTCGAATAGAAAAACTGATTTTTTAAATTAAAAATAAATCTTACACATGAAATTGCATTTGAACCAAGAAATGTTTCATGTAGTAACTCAAGATCACGAAGATAATCTCGTTCGGTTGATAATAATTCACTAATGGCGTGTTGTCGACGACGTTGAACAATACTACAAGTAAGAGTCAATAAAATCAAACGCTCAATAAGATTTTGTTTCTCTGAATAAAATTAACATAGAATAGAAACGATACAAAATTTCCTTCAAATGAATTATGAAAACTGTATGTGAGAGATAACTTATTCTTGACGTAAAACTTTATCTATTCATTTTTCAGATCGTATCATTGTTTGTATCCTAAAATACAGCTATGGTATTTTACATCGTATATCTAAACTGGCAACTTGAATGTACTTATTTCAGGATAGAAGCAAATCACTAAACACAGGAATTTTATTAAGATTTATCTTGATGCCTAATCTCAAGTTGAAAACCAATAGATGAGTATCAATGTAGGGATATAACTGCGTAGAATGAGTTTGCATGTCTTATCCTGAAAATCATTGAATCTTTTCATCATCGTTTTACATCCTACTCAAAAATCTTTTTATTTACTTTATATCAGTTTTATCAACTTGTTCATCAATCAGTAATTGATCTAGAAATGAATGAACCAAAAAAAAAATATGTATAATAATGTAAACAACTTTTTCTATTCTCACTATGTAGATTTTGCAATTCAATATCGAAGAAATCTGTTTTTGTTGATGATGTTTCTGTATCACAACTATCACGTGTTGATATTGTTTCTTCATGGTTTGAATTCTTATCAAATGGATTGGATAGTTGTCGATATATTATCTATTCGAAATATAATTCAAGGTTATTATGTAAACATATGATAGAAATTAATTCACTTGCCTGCTGTTGTTCAGTTTTAATTTGAATCGGTGGCTTTGGTGCTGGCCGTGTCGGACCTCTCAATGGTGGCATTGAAGGAATTGTCGGAACGAATAATGGTGGTGGTACCGGTGGAGGAGAAGGTGGTGGCAACTGTGGTCGTAGAGAAAGACGCGGTTTAACGGGCGGCGGTTCATCAAAAGATGAAAGTGACGATGTTGTTGATGGTGTATGACACACATTTGAGAGATTTTTATTTGATGTAAAAATAAATTGATTATTAGCTGAAAATTGATTTAACGGTAGTGATGTATAAAATGCTTGAACATCGAGAGTATTGTTATTGTTATTTGAATTTATATAATTTGACGTAAATGAATATGGATATTGTGGAGAATAAGTTATTTGCGAAGAATTATAAATAGTTGGCAGAGGAGGCGGTGGCGAAGATATCAATTGAGCTAAACAAAGAAAAATAAAAGGGTAATGTTGTTATTAGGTATGCATTTCGTCGTTGAGTATAATGAAAAAATAACTGAGAATGTTTACATACATGGATGCCATGTATGAGCATAAAAAGGATATGTCGATATCGGATAATAACGGCAGCAATAACAAGAATCCATAAAAGTGTTCATTTTTTTAAGAGTCGCAGTTTTTACTTCTGATGTTCATTGTCAATTGTATGTATATATATATATATGTATGCTTCTATGTTATGTATTAGAACTGAACAATATTTCTATACGTTTTGCTGGTAGGTAAATGAGAAAAAAAAGAAGAAAAAAAGGAGAGAAAGAGAGAAAAAGGGGGGAACCGTCCAGGAAGAAAGGAAGGCAGGCACGTTCGAGTAGATCTAATGCAATCATGGATAGGGCCAATACAAAGAGGAAAAAAAAGAAAAAAAGAATCCTCTGCACACATTATAATGTACATATCAAACTCCTATCATTCTTGTTCTGTTCACTTCTCCTTTCTGTTGTGCTGCAATAGTCATGTTCATGTTAATAGTTGCAATTATCGTACATGTATAACTATAGCCAAAATCAAAGAATATATCATACGTTCTATAGAAATAGAAAAAATTGGAATAAGATGACGCAAGATGAAGGCGTTCTTTTTTCTAGGAACTTTTTTTCTTTTTTATATTTCAGTATTTGTTTATACAATGAGATTGCATAATAGACATATATATATATAGAGAGAGAGAGAAAGGCAAAATAATACAGAACATTTATTACCTACTTGTATTTATACTTCGAGCTAAAGACTTCCGTTACGTATAGTAAAATAAAACGTATTAACACTCACGTTTATAGTTGGTCGGAGTAAAATATCGAAAACATTTAAAGCAAGATGACGAAAATCTTGTTCCATTACAAGAAAAATTTTTCATCAAACTGTTTTTTATTCGACGAAAATAGGATGATGAAGAGTATTGATTAATATTATTGTTTGCTGCTGTTGTTGTTGTTGTTGTTGAATTGTAAGATGATGAACGTACACTTGATTGAGATAAATGTATGTCCGAATTCATTATTGACTGTATATTTTATTTCGATATATCAATGTTTGTCAAAATGACAAATTTTTTTTTTCTTTTTCAAATGTATTGCGAGTGTAATAAAACATTAATTACAAGCCATGTCCTGTCTCTCATTGTTCATATGAAATGATGCGGTCGCGTTGTCAGAAGGCGAAAGGTGAACGAATGAGTGAGACAGAAAGAGAAAAGAGAATAGAAGGAAAAAAACCTAAAGCGTAAGACAATGTGTACAGTTCTACTAAGCTAGTAGCTCATCCAACCATCACTATATACTCACATACACATTAAAAGTGGATGACCGATGTTAGGAAAGCAAAAAAAAGAGAAGAACGGATTGAGACAAAGTGATTAATAACACGTGATAGTTTGATCTGTTTTTGTTTGCGTTATTTTGAAGGTCAAACTGGACACAATTAGACGGCTGGCACGTACGTACTAAACTGCGTATGTCTCGTCTATTATTTTCGACGTAAAACAAAACACGAAGGAAGTGTTTAAAAAAAATGAATAATCATCTTAGTTCTGTATTAGATTAGTATTAATGCATATATATTTATATATATATATATTATGAGGGCGAACATAAATAGACGTTTTTGTTGTATAATAAAAATGTAACAGCTTACGGTAATCAAATAATCAATAAAGCAGACAGAGAGAAGTGTGTCTGCAGTAACAATGAAATACAGGAGAGAGGTAGAAAAGACAAAGAAAAGGATATGAACAATAGTCTTAACAAGAAACAATAATACCTTTAGGGAATCATTCAATATGAGAAGAAAAGTGAACTATATTAGCGTTAGGCATCTTTCAGCAAATTCATCAGATCTATTAAAATTACTTATTTCAGCCTATTTCTATACTATTGATTTTAAAAGATAAATATTAATGCTCACCTGATTGTGTTTTATCATCTTTCTTCATTAATTTATCAAATTCGAAATCGACAAGTTCTTGAATCGAATCTAAACCTTTTCTATTTCCTTTTTGATATTCATGCGATTTAATACTCGGCACAATTAAAAGATCATTTCGATCATTGTCAGTTTGTCGATCATCAATAGGCTCAACAAATACGCGTCTAACACGTCCAATTGAATTAAATGCATTTTTAACTATTAACCATTCACTTTGGTTATTATCGCCTTCGATAATCGCAAGAATTTCATCTTCAAAACAACCTAATTCATTTGGTCCACTCGGTTTAATATCACAAAGCACACGCACAAATTTGATTGGACTTCCATCGAATGATAAAAGATCGTTTTCACTAGACGATACTTGAATTTCTATACGATACAAAATATTTTTTTATTATAATGCTTTTGTCTTTTTCTTTCTATGGTCTATACCGTTTTGTTTCGCACTGTTTGAATTCGATTTTACTAATGTAACAAATGTACTTGGAAAAATGCCGACCGGTCGATAAGTAGTGCCAGGTAAATTAAAATGAAGTGATCCACGAAACCAGTCATTCGGCAGATGTTCATTAACAATTAAAAGGTCACCTATAATAAAGTCATAGAGTATTTCAAAGCCTTTTGATTTTTTTGTCTAGATATACCTCGACGAAATTGTAAATCTCCTTCATGATCTGAACGATAATCGGTATGTGCTATATATAATGATTGACTATTATCAATATCTACTGTTGGAAGTTGTTGAATGAATTTACATGGTACGAGACCGATTTTACCATTTAATTTACCGCGAGTCCAATTCACATCAACTTGTTCTAATACCTGAAATAGTCAATTTCATTTATAGAGAAACCTACTCTTTAAATTGAAATCAATAAGCTTTTCAGTGCAGCTCGAAATCTTAATTGTTAATAAGTATTGCTCGAGCGGAACTCCTGTCATTAATATCGTACTTTCTATTTTACGAGATTAAATTTGGAATAAATCTATCCATCATCACAGATTTTTGCTTTCGTTTTTCTTCACAACTTATTTTCATTGGAAAACTTAAAATCCATATAAATGAATGGATACCTAACTTGATGCTTAATCATTCGTGAACATCATAAGCTGTTTTTGTCTAGCACCTGGTTTTTAGCGAAAAATTTTAATAATTTCCGTTATTTTCTGCATGAAAATAGACCATTCTTTTTAGAGGAAAAAACAGGAAATAATTTTTTCTATTTTCTTTGTCTATGCTTTTCTGATCACGCATGTCGAACAATCCTCGAAGGAGTTCTTTTCAGTAGCCAATTGAGTTTTTCGTTCGGCTGAAAAACATGTGCAGTTGTAGTGACTTTATTCGAGAGTTTTTCACATCGTTAAATTAATCATACCCTTTCTCTTCATAAAAACTACGGGCATGGCAACAGAATAAAGTCTTCTACAGAATTTCCCGTTTATCAATAATCTATTCTTGTTTACATCCAGAAGTACTCTACTCTTGTGTCATCACATTTTCATGTGATTTGAATGAATCTGGCTGCTGAAGATCGATTTCTAAGCTACGGAATGACCACAAACGGTTAAATAAAATACTGGTAAGTATATCTTTTGATTTAGACTCTTTTTGTTTTCTCGTTGATATATTATAATTCATGATCTCTAATTGAAATCTCAATATGCTGAACAAATTAAATATATTGAAGCGTGAAGCATAACCGCAACACAAGCAGTGAAGCAATATATATTTAAAAAGTGTACAATCTGATTGCATGCTGTCTCCTTTTTTTGCTATTATTGAATGTCATCTCGAATGATATAGTTAGTCGGCGGAGAATTTTCATGCAATCGAGATGTGTTGAATTTACCTCAATAACATCATCTACTTGCAATTCAAGATCACCAATGACGCCTGTTTGATATGGAAATATCGCTTTGGCATAGCTCATTAAGTTTTTATTAGTAATCTACAAAAAGAAAACCATTACATAAAAAAAAAATAATTTTATTGCGAATCACAGAATATATAAATATATATGTATTTTTTTTCTATTACAAATTCCATTTTCGAGCTATAGTTTGAATTTTTTTATCAAATGCTGCTGATCGTATTGGTGTATCTGGCACATAAAATGGATTGAGTAACAGTTTAACATAGGTTTCATAAACTTCAGTTAGGAAGTTTTTTAAGCCATCTTCGCCTGAACGTGGTAAATGTTCGTATAAGAAAAGAAATCGAAGGCCGCCAGCTGTGACATATGCTGAAACAATCCATTCATTGAATTTATCAACTTGTTTTAAATATGTTGTTGTATTACGCCACATAGCTTCATCGACAAGATCAAGTGCAGCATGTGCTATAAATTGATTTAAATGACGATTATCTGTTGTTGTTTGTCCACTCGATCCACCTCCTAATTCGATTTCATAGACAACTTGATCACTGTGACCAACGATTACGAAATAATAACTTGACGATGGTGACGACATCTGAAATACAATCAAATGGAAAACAAACATAAGTTTCTAATTTTATGGACAAAAGAAAAACGAAAGAAGGAAGGACATCAAAAGAACATCTTTTATTGTCTAGCTAGGAAAAATCTTTAGTTGCTTGTAGATAGGAGTGGACGAAGGAACAAAATTGAAAAAAAGAGATAGAACTGATGATTCAAATGTCTTTTAACCAGCACGTTTTTTAAGTAATTGCCAACGCATAGCCACGAATGGAATAGCAACAGCCGATGTTACGTAAAGTACCATTTTTATGGCTAGACTCCATTTGTTATTGACTAGAAGAAAAAAAAGTATGTCTGTTTTTTTTCTACTTATTATTTAAAATATATTTTACTGTCAAATGGGGCGTTGGCACCAGGTAAACATTCTTGGTCCCAATTGTCTTTTAAACGTAATCGTTGAGTTAAACTAAATTGTCGGCGACCGACTACGCGTGGTACTAATGCAAGACCGGAACGAAGTGATGCCATTGGTATGCAATTGATCGTAGTTATATCTAAAACGATATTTTTATGACACATATAATAATGAACATATACAAACAAATAGTTGTACACATTAAAAAGGATTAAAAATGAAACGATGTAATGAAACACATTATTCTCAGTTTATTATTGACAATTATTGAGGAGGCATCTGTTGTTGTGGAGGTGGTGGACCATAATCGTAGCCTTGTGGAGGATTATGCATTTGTGGTGGTGGTGGTGGTGGTGGTTGATAATATTGTTGTTGTTGTGGTGGTGGTCCTGATACAAGTGATGGATCATAAGGTGGATTTTGTGAATAACCATATGCTTGAGATGGATGTGTATTTGGATTCCATCCAGCGACTGCGCCACTATATCCATAATGAACACCATTGGGATACATTTGTACTTGTTGTGGATGAGGAGGACCGCGCATTTGTGCCAAAGGTTGTTGTTGTGGTTGGTTAGATGGCCATTGTTGTTGAGGTGGTGGTTGTTGTTGAGACCATTGTTGAACATTGGGAGGATATGGACTGTAATAGCGAGAATCTATTTTTTGATGAAAAAAAATTGTATTAGAATTTAAATTTTAGTTCAAATCATTACCGTATGCATTTGGCTGCCATTGTTGTGGTGGCGGCTGCTGCTGTTGTTGCCATTGAACATTAGATGGATATTGTGCTGATCGTTGAGACATTTGTGGCCGATATTGAGTTGTTGGTGCATGACCATAACCAGGTGGATAACCTCCACCTCCTGGATGTATCATTGGATAACCTTGAGAAGCTGATGTTGGTGGTTGATGTTGCTGCGGTGGAATTTGTACCATTGCAGCAGGTGGCGGTTGTGGAACTTGCGAGATTGCATGAGATGGTTGTTGTGAAATCTGAGACATTACAGGAGGAGGTGGTGGTGGAGCTTGTGATATTGCAGGTGGTAGCTGCGGTGACACTAATTGAGGTGATACAGTTTGAGTTGGTGGTATTTGAGATTGCACAGTTTGTAATGGTGGTAATTGACTTGATACAGATTGAGACGATGGCAATTGGCTTGGTACTGATGGAGCGGCAGATACAGATTGAACAGGTGGTATAGATGGTGAGGATTGCGATTGAGTTTGCACAGGAGGCGGTGGAGGCGTCGATGTAAGCTGCTGTGAAATTTCAACTGTAGCTATAGGTTCTGTCTTCGTTGTTGGTAGTGCCATTGGTTGAGATACTGCTGTTGAAGGTAATGGTGGCAGTGGTGGCGGTGGTGGTGGTGGTGGCGGCGGTGGTGGCGGTTGTAATTGTGTTGATGGTGTAACAGTTTGTTGTTGTTGTTGTTGTTGTTGCTGTAGTGCAAGTAATTGTTTCTCTTTTTGTAATTTTTCCATCGCTTCATGCTTTTGTAGAATTTCATTGATTTTCTCTTCACTCAAATTCGTTGTTGATGCGTCAGCATATTCATTATGAAATTTTTCGTTAGATTCTAAGAATCTTCGTTTCTTTTCAGCATGTTTCTCTTCTAATTCATTTAAATCTTTTTCAAATGTTTCACGATGTGTTTTAAGTGCATTCACTTGATGACGTAATGTTAATATACGATCAACACTAATATTCGATCGTAAATCTGGTATACATACTTCATTACATATTTCATGTAATAAACGTTGATTACGTTGAAAACGTGCAGCAGCCATGTGACGCGCAGAAAAAGTTGTATCATCTCCTTCATCATCGTCTGCTGCTGGTTCAATTGTAAATGATGAACTATTAATACTCTCAGGTGGAATACTATGAGTTGGTTGATTAGGACGCATATAAGGTGGTTCATGTTCATCATAGCCACGCATATTTTTATCTAAAAGTAAGAAAATTTTATTGAGTTAGACTTTGTTTTTCTTTCTAAGATATACGCAAATAAATACCATTAAGATTGCGTGACATAGGCCAAGCTTTTCGTGTATAGCGAGATGAATAAGGCATTGTATTTGATTTATCCATTGGATTCATACTGATAGAGCTTGATTTTAAAGTTCCCATCGAATTACTTGATCGCATTGACGAAAGTGGAACATTCATATTTGAACTCATAGATGTACTTGGTGGATTACCAATAGATACGGGACCATTAGTTGTTCGTTTTAATAATAGCGACGATGCTGATGCTGGCAATCGAGCATTAAATCCAGGAGGCACGTGTGGAGAAGCAAGAAATGGCCCTGCATTTTGAGACATTTCGAATTAAATAATTGTCGTGACGTTTTGAAGGCGAATTCAGTGTTTCTAATAGAAATCTAAAACAAAAAGTCAAATGACACTTTCGTTTTGCTATCACAGTGCAAAATGATACTTTGTTTTTCAAAGCAAAGTATCACAAAGTATCCAAAGTATCAATCACTAAAATTAAAGTAAAAATAGAAATATTTCATATCTTTTTATTAATATCAAGTTTACATCGAATATACATATAAAGAATAGCATCTGACTACGTTATATAGACAAATCATTTCTCCACTATTTCATAAATAGGTTAAAACAAATGAAAAAACAATCACACAATAAATATCGTTTACTATTCACTGACAAAAAAGAACAATAATTTACTATGTCAGTCACCTGTATCTTCATGTTCATCATCTTCTTGCTCACGTCCGTCTTCTTCTTCACTATGCATGTCTTTATGATCATTGCAAAACTATTGATTATCAATTGATATACTAAATTTGATGCGACAACTATTGCACAACCACCGGGAACAGCTTTCAAAAGGATCCACCCAATCGAATTCGTCATTTTGATGGCAACATCGTATCACTTGATTTTGTGTAGGGTCATTTGCTGAAACTTCACGTTTACACCCATTGGCATCTACAATAGAAAGGCAACGGCTTTTGACAATTCAAAAATAAATACGAAAACTCACATTTGCTTGCATTCGATTTCGGCTTCTTTAATTTTTTGTTTATTTGTTGTAATGACGTCGACAGTTTTTTTCTCTTGAAATCAACAAGCTTAGTTGATTTTTTTGGTTCATAATCAGGTGGTACATCAAGCAATAACTTGACTTGTCGAAATCGACGATTATGTTCTCTATCGTTCCAGGATTCCAACGCTCGTTCAATTATTGTTTGACAACGTGCACTAAACGGGCAAAAATAAACAGAAAACAGTATCTCAAATTGTATTAGTTGATAATATTACCTTCTAAGATCATCGGGCAATAACAAACACACGTTCATTAGTACGTCCAAAGTGGAAATCATGACTCGAGAACGACCAGTAGTTTGAATACGATTGGCTGTCGAATACTAAAGCATAGATATTTTTCAAAACTTCGTTAGTGAAGCAACTACTATAGTCACAACTTACCCCACGGTCACATTCAGTCGAATTGGTTGGCGCAATTAAATAAATACTCAATAAAGCAAGTAAATTCGTATTTTCCTCGAGGAATCGACTATTTACTGATTGTTTTAATAATAAAAATTGTTGCCAAAATGTTTCTTGTAAATTCTTTGATGAAGATCTATCCATAAACTCACTCAATGGTGGCTTCAATTTCTCCCATTCACTTCCAACCGCCTTTGTATCGATACCAGGAAAATCTTGATATTTGTTTCGAATAGAATCTAACTCTGCTCGACCATAATTTGGAGAATCAATATCTGCCTTGTGCTCAATCAGGTATGCTGGATCGAAAAGCACGGACATATTTTCCAGTAATGGTGAAAGAGAAAACCGTTTATCTAGCTCTATTATTAAACGTTGAATATGTGCTGTATACATTCTTTAATTAGATGTTGTCGATTGAATAAGTTGATTTTATACGCACCATACATTTTTTTCTGTTACTTTTATATAATCAGCCAAAGCTGGTCCCCATACTGGTGCAGATTGAGATATCCATTTAGATATTAAAGATTTGTTTTCTTTGATTTTTTTCATTAAATTGTAATACGATATTTTATCATATTGCATTAACTTCGTAAGAGGGCCTTAAGCGCAACACAGCAAAATTCTACTCTAAACAATTAGACTTGAACTTGCCAAGAGCACATTCGTGTAGATCATGATGGAAATGCAAAATAAATAGAAAATCGTCATTCAAAACACAATGGAACAGCTCTTCTGCTGCATCACAATCAGAGACGTGCACAGGGCATAATTTTCTCTCCTGTCCTGTTGGCTACCTTGGTTCTGGCGGGCGGCAGGGCAGGACAAAAATCTAAATCTTATTCTGTCCTAAAGGACAGGACAAGGCACCAGGACAATAGGACCGTCCTGCCCTGTGCACGTCTCCGATTCAAATATAGCAGCAGCAACACTTCATAAATTTAAGTAATAATAGCAACAGCTTATAAATTCAGATAACAATAAGCAACAATTTATAAATTCAAATAGCAAATTATAATATTAGATTAATTCCAATAATAATAATAACATTAGATCAATTCGAATAATAATAATAATGGCGACAATTGTATTGTGATGTGATTGAATCAGAAACCATCTAAGAAATGATAAAATTAATCAGAAGATGTCAGAACAAGAAATTTATCTCGACTGAAAAAAGAATAAAAAGTTCGAAGTTTGCATCCAATGAAAAGAAAAAAATGAAGAAATTTTCAGCTAGTATCCACTTGATACTTAGTTTTCCTGAGCAAAGTGTCCATCAGTGTCAAATCAAAATCGCAAGGGTCTTGGATATTTTGTAACAAAGGCGGACCCTTGCTATTAGAAACATTGAGGCGAATAGTTAGGAAAAATAAACAACTTCCCAATAAACTTTATCCTCGCTATCATCGATGCATTGAAAAACGTTGCTGCTAACGACAACAAATCTTTTCCTTCGCTCATCTAAGACAACCAATTGTTTTGTAGGACTAATGTAGAGGTCACTTGAATACAGTTCTATTCATGATATTATATTCTTTGCCTTCGGTTACATGTTATTTTTACTTTTTATGGATGTTCGTAGCTCGTTTTCTTTTTATTTCCTTATGTGCACATCCTCACTTTTCAATACTAGCACTTGGTTTATGTTACTTACTTGAGTGCGATTGTCATCACACTTGTATTAAATACGCGTCGACTAATCCTTTCTCGATAAATGAAGCTCGATTGGGATCGGAAGGAATGCATGTTGCGTATTCTTCCTAATCGCCTCTTCTTCTTTTTCTTCTCTCAATTATCTATCTAAAAAATATCCCAATAATGTAATAAAAAAACAAAACGAATAGAGTGAACGAGTGTGACAAAAAAGAAATTCCATTGATCTAAGTAAGTATGTGTTCATTGATACAAAAAAAGATACTAGTTTAAAAAAGACACCAACTGACAAGTAAGCATTTTTTTCTTATTGGATACAAGCATATTGATTTTTCTGTTTTTGATACCTGATACTTTATCCTTTTTCTACTGATAGTGTTGTACAAAACTAATTATCAAGTTTTCGATCGATACGATAACGATTATCATCTAAGCCACTGAATGTTCCTGTCATGAAAGGTAGCATGTTTAGATTTAAGCTGCGAATATTCATATTTTTTGCTATTATTATTTTTCGCTTGAAATTAATAATGATCAGCAACTGACTGAACGATGTCACTGGTCATTGAACACTCTCTTTGCTATGTCATCGTTGTCATACAACGAATAGAGAGTATAAATTCCAGTAAAAATTCTCTGGAAATCTTTAAGTATAGTTAGTCGCTCGCGACCGTTTTTATTTTTATCTTATATGATTGCCGTCGACGAAGCAGCAGCAGCAGCAGCAACAGTAACAAGGAGAAAAATAGAACAAGAAAAAATAGAATACAATGATTAATCGAATAAATCGAATGCTCATGCTGTTCCGTTAGTGTTTCTTATTTCTTTTTTGATTTTCACTAACTATCTATATTGGCGTGAGTATACGTTCGATTAGACGAAATAACGATAAGTTACTTTATGAGCAAGTCAAATGTTGACAATGCTAGCGGCCAACTTGTGTGATTATGATTGATTGATTGATTAATAAATTGTGTTCTGTATGCATCATAAAACTAACGATCGAATTATTCAGGACGAATGCAACATATAAAACCCTAAGTAATAGTCAGGGCTAAAAGTTAGACCTTGATAGAAAATACAAATAATTATTATATATGTACATGCGTATTTATCGACGTATTATGTATACACACATACATACATACACGGTTATTCATCCATGTATTCATCGAGAATGCCATTGAAGGATACAATGAGAAACAAGTCTAGAATAATGTGCTGCGCAAACATCTAATGATATGTTGTTACGAATATATATATTTATATTAATATGCTCGTTTGTCTAACTGTTTGCAAAAGTGATGATATTGTTGTTGTGTTTGTTTATCAGAGCGGCTACGGCTGTCTCTGGGGTGTTTAACTATGGCAAGCACTTTGATTTCATAATTAGGACATTAATTGAGACATCGTATACATTTCTATAGTACCTATATAAATATTAGATATGTATCTTGATTAATTTAGAACATGAGCATTTTTATCTGTGATAAGCTCTTGCCAGCTAATTCATTTACGAAGAAAAGCATATAGAACAACAGGCGCAAAAAAAGGACTCAAGTATCTTGTATGTTCGATGACAAACATATGGCAATACTTATGCTTCTATTAGTGAGTAGCACTGCTGTTACTATAATTTGTACTAGTGCAGTATGACGTCATTCACTCATTTTTTATCAAAAATAAAACTTTGATAGGCATGCATGATGCAAATTATGATTAATTTTCTATTATGCATGTCGACACATACATTGCAGTTCACGTGATGAGTCTCACGTATGGCCTCATACATACAAATTCAACAATCAAAATTATCGTTAACCGTTAAGAGCCAGCAACACCACTCGACTCTAGTCGATGTCGAGTGTATGAAATAGCAAAAACGACTAAACGAAGAAGAAAAAAAGAGAGAGAAATAAGAAAAAAACCTAGAAGAAGAAGAGAGAGGAGGAGAAGCAGAACAAGACGACGAAGACGAAGAAATCAGTTCATTCGCTTGCTCTGGTTGAGCGTTTGACGACACCAACAACGAGATGGATAGAATAGAGGGAGAAGAAGAATAGGCACATGTGGTTTGAAGGTTGTCGTTCTTGGTGAGAAGACGACGATGTAGCTATAGTAGTAGTAACTACAGCAGCAATGGTAGAAAAAAACGAGACTACCGGAAAATAATCGTAATGGAACGCACACAGAAAGGTTTCAAATCCTTCTTTACGACGCGCGCTCGATGCAGCAGCGCACACACATACACTATTGATTGAAATATCTTGTCGCTTTTCTTCAACCCACCACGAGTTCTTGTGCTCTGTCCTCACGCGCTTGTTCGTCGTCTTAATGTTCTAGCTCGCATAGTCTTTCTACGTGTGCTGCTGTTACTGACGGATTTAGTGCTTCTCTGAATTGGCACTCACCAGGATGGCTGTAGAATTTCTTGGCTCTCCATTCTTCTTCTTTTTCTTCTTCTTCTTCTTCTTCTTTTTCTTCTTCTTCTTCTTCTTCTTCTTCTTCTTCTTCTCCTTCTTCTTCGTTTTTACTTTTTAATATTCTCCTGTCCATCCTTAATATCTAATTTACACGAGTTCATGCAAACATGTGCAAGTACATTGATCGGTAGTTGTCTGCTCTCCATCTTAATTGTTGGTCTAAAACAAGAGCCGATATCTCTCGTTCGAAATTCTTTATGATTTTCAATTTTTTCTCTGGTTTTTAACTGTTTCTTCTTTATCTTTTAAGATACAGATATACTTTACTAGAACCGACGTGATGTTGATAGAACACGACTATCTGGCTTTTCATTTTTCTTGTACAAGTTAATGTTTTGTCAAATAAAAACAGCAATCAAAACAATTCATCAACACACTGTGCATTGTTACAAGTGACTTGGCTAGGTGCGCATACGCGCACAGTAGGTTTGTATAGTTAATTAGCAAATATCAATATTTTCATTCACGATCTTGTTTCTTCCATCTTCACTCTCTCTGGCTCGTTTTCTTTCTTGTTTCTATACAATTAACATTAGTCGTACACTAAGTTAATGCGTATAGAAAAAAAGCGATGCATCTAGTCAAGAATATGAAAGAAACGACTTAGGAAGAAAAAGAAAAGGAAGCTACTCTATTTCATAAATTAGCTAATGGTAAATCAGATGAACAAAGTTATATTCAATTATTAAGAAAAGTTCAAGCGAACTACCAAAATTTAGATATTTTTCGCTTCAACATAATCTCCTAAAGATAAGCCAGATCAGCACAAAGAGAAAATCTTCTTTAGTAGCATACAATGTCAAGGCTAAGGTCTTTAGGTTGGCACCTATTATTATTCTAGTTGTTTGCAAACTAAAGATGGGTGCTGAAATGAAAAGTAGCCTTGAATAGTAAAATAATTGCAGAACATATTTTATATCTCATTAGTTTTCATGTTGATAAACAACTGACAGGAATGTCCCTAATGAACTTGCCGATCTAAATTGAACGAATGATATTCCGATAGACAAATGTTGTAGCTAATGATGTGAAAATTTTCGAAACCATTTTTTTATTGACCTTCAATTGAAGAGAGAGAGAGAGAGAGAGAGAGAGAGAGAGAGATTGATCAAATATCTACTTCTCTCGTTGCGGAATCAGGCATCAAAATAGAATTTTTTTTATGTACTTTTTTCAAATTCAATTAATGATATATTAGTAACTGAGAAAATTGAGTTTTAAGGCGATGCTTCAAACTTTTGATAAGTAGTGCATTTTGCAGACTGGAGTTTGTTCTATTGAATGAAATCTTCCGGCCTTTTGTGAAATGTACTGTGTAAATGTAACAACGTGTGTAGGTCTAAGTATTCATTTATTGATGATTTTCTAGTTATATTTTTTCCTTACTGTACAGTAGTATATCATTTACACAATACATTGTTGAGAAGATCGAAAATTCTCGTTCAGTATAATGAATTCTACTTGTCAAATTCGTTCACTATTCTTAAAAATTCATTTTCTTTTCTAATGAGATATATAAATTTATAGTAAAAACATAATCGAAATGTTTTGATCATTTTTACAACGATGATATTTATTATTCATTAATATCCTATCGTTTATTGAAAACTTTTCTTTGTTTGTTATTTGAGAATACTGTAAGCTCTCTTTTGTTTTATTCGACTACTGAAAAAACAAAACTTACATTTGAACATCTATCCATGTCTATCTAATAACTAACTAGATCAAGAATAAGTGGTACCTAGAGTTCGTACTTGTAGTTACTTATGTCATGGGGGGGAAAAAATCCTTTTTCTTGTCTTGTTTCAATTGGAAAGAAAACACTCGAGTGAAAAATGTCACAAAATTTTTTTTTCTTTTTTCTTTTTTTCTATATTTTGATTTTACTTTCTAGGTTAATCAATAGAAGATTTTAAGTAGAAATAAAAATGGCTAGTGTAGCTGCATGGCTTCCATTTGCTCGGGCAGCTGCTATCGGTTGGGTTCCATTAGCAAAACATCCTTTACCACCACCACCATTTCGTATTTCAAGACCTGGTGTTTCACCATCGTCACCATCAACATCGACAACATCAGCTACGACAACAAGCATTGGTGAACGACGTTGCGATGAAAAAATTATAATTAATGTTAGCGGTCGCCGTTTTGAATGTTGGCGTTCAACATTGGAAAAATATCCCGAGTCATTATTAGGTTCAAATGAAAAAGAATTCTTTTATGATGAAGATACACGCGAATTTTTTTTCGATCGTGACCCTGACGTATTTCGTGTCATATTAAATTTTTACCGTACTGGCAAATTACATTATCCAAGACATGAATGTATTGCTGCGTATGATGAAGAATTAGCTTTTTTTGGAATTTTACCCGATATAATTGGTGATTGTTGCTATGAAGATTATCGAGATAGAAAACGTGAAAATACTGAAAGACTTATCGATGATCGTCTTCATGAAGATGATGATAAAATTCAACCGAAGCCGCTATCATCACGTGAGAGTATGTGGCGTGCATTTGAAAATCCAAATACATCAACTATGGCATCCGTATTTTATTATGTAACGGGGTTTTTTATAGCTGTTAGCGTGATTGCAAATGTCTTAGACACAGTAGCTTGTGGCCCTGATCCTGAAACAGGCTATTCAAGATCGTGTGGTGAACGTTTTTCTCGTCAATTCTTTTGCCTTGATACGGCTTGTGTCATGATTTTTACTGTTGAATATTTTCTTCGTCTCTATGCGGCACCCGATCGGTTAAAATTTGTTCGATCTGTTATGGTAAGTAAAATTAATATTATCAAAAAACAAAACAAAACAAAAATTAGAAGTTCTATTTTTGTTTTCTCTTCTTCTTTAGTCTGTTATCGATGTTGTTGCTATTATGCCATATTATATTAGTTTATTTATGCCACATAAAGGAGAAGTTAGTGGAGCATTTGTTACTCTACGAGTGTTTCGTGTGTTTCGTATATTTAAATTTTCACGTCACAGCCAGGGTTTAAGAGTATTAGGTTATACATTAAAAAGTTGTGCCAGTGAACTTGGCTTTCTATTATTTTCATTAACGATGGCAATTATTATATTTGCGACGGTTATGTATTATGCCGAGAAAACTGTCGTAAGTACGAAGTTTACATCTATACCGGCTGCATTTTGGTATACAATTGTAACAATGACAACGCTCGGGTACGATAATAATTGATTATTTTCTATGTCGTGAATGCTCTTTCGTTCTATTAAAAAAGAAAATAGGAAATATATTTTTTTCCTGATTACGAGAAGCCATAGATTTGAAAGATCAAATAATATTTATGAAAAACCCACACCCAAGATAGAAATCACTTTAACATTTCTAAGATCTTTGTTAAATTTTATTTTTCGTTTCTAGGTACGGTGACATGGTTCCAAAAACTTGGTAAGTCTTATTAAATAGAAATATTCTATTGATTACAAATCAATCATTATTGTTATAGGGCAGGCAAACTTGTTGGTGGTGTATGCAGTTTAAGTGGTGTACTTGTCATTGCTCTTCCTGTGCCTGTTATTGTATCGAATTTCAGTCGTATTTATCATCAAAGTCAACGAGCAGATAAGATGAAAGCTCAAAGAAAAGCCCGACAAACACGTATACGTTTAGCACGTAATGCAACAAGTAATGCGTTTGTAGCAGCTAAAAGACGTCATGAACAACATTTTGACGATTCGAATGCGTCTGGTGATAAAAATATTGTTAATCCATTCGAATCACAACATCATCATTTACTTCGTTGTCTAGAATTAACAACTGTATGAAGAATTCTTTTTTATTGCTTTGCGCAATTTTTTTATATATTTTTTTTCTCTTCAAGGATCGTGAATTTGTTGAAATGGGTCCAGATATGTTAATGAATAGTGGTGGTGGAGCAAGTCTTGCTGCGGGTAATAGTGCTATGGCTGGTTTCACAAATTTCGGTTCACGAAGTGGTCGTTTTCTATTACATCCTCGAGCATGGTGGTGTTGTAAATCGCGACGAAGAAGAAAAAATTCCTGCAAATTCAATATCGTAAGTTTTAGATGCAGAGACTGTATGATTAACGTGTGAATAGAAAATAGTTTTGTGCTTAGCTGAATTGTGTAGACCTCATGTCCAGTAGTCTATCAGTAGTTATGAAATGTTAATCAAGGTGTATTTTTAATCTAATTATTGACATAATTATTTGTTGCTGCTGTTGAAATCATTCTCTACAACTTATTTTTCTTCGGGACTTAACATTAGAAGAATCATCCATTTTCTAAATATTAGACTAACAGTAGGATATTTATTTTAAAAACATAGTCATTATCGTAATCCATTTGCTGCGGAAATTGCTCAATTATATATATATAGTAGACTTTGCTATTCTTAACTACTCATTATATTTTGATATGATCTTTATTATTGAGGAAGATGTTAGATCTTTTTCTTATCTATTATTTTGTATTCTACAGCAAATGAATTCTCTCTGGTACTACCCATGTAGCCGATTTTATCAAATAATGGACATTGCAATGCATTATTTTACAATAGAAATGCAATGTATGCAATTACATGGTAATGCAACCTATTTAATGCATTAGGTTTTAGAATCATGCATTATAATGCATGAAACAGGTTGCATTATCATGTAATTGTATACATTATTATTTATAATTCATTATAATACATTGAAAATTTCTTACTCGACACTTGCTACATAAGATCTATTAAATCAATATCGCAATTACCATAATTGTATCTCTGTGACTCTGCACATCTATCCTCTAACTCAACTTAACCCCTTAACTTTCATCAGCCCTCTTATATATATATATATATCCCATAACGTATCATCTTGACCATATCGACAAGAATCTAAAACAAAGAAAATTAATGAACAAATAAGTTTATTATTATTAAATTCGAACTTACCATTTCGATCATAATCGGTATCAATCTAGAACATAGAAAAAAGAAGTAGAAATAATTTTAATATTGAATTGTAACTTACCATTTCGAGCAGATCGATAAAAATCTAAAACAAAAGGCAATGAATAAATCATTTTTTTATTATTCAATTCAAACTTACCACTTAGATCATGTCGAAAGCGAAAACAATTTGAAGAACGTATATATGACATAAGGCTGTTTCAATAGTATTAAAATGGTTTCAGATTTGCCAAAACAAAATGATTCATGATCTAATCTGCTTGATATTGTGAGCAGCTTTAGCTCACTAGATACATCCGAAACTGAGCAATGACAAAGAGTGAAAACTTCTTTTGAGAGATTTAAGGATTGTGATTTCTTTCATTCTACAGAATATTGTAAAAGCATGCAAAACTCTAGCAGTCTTTCGTTGCATCAAATAGAAAGTCGAGGTAGGATTTCGGGTTGTTAGTGCACATTTTAGCAATTAAGTAAACTCGGAAACTCTTCGGGTTGCCAGAAGAAATATTTTGGAAACTGAAAGGATAATCTGATATAACTCATCAGATTTTGAGTCAAGTTTTCAATAGTATAGATTTCCATTATCGGGGAAAAGGGATTCGAAAACTACTCTTAACGCTGTAATTCATGTTACATTTTTATTAGTTCGTTAACTTGTGCGACTCTTATTGAAAAGGGCTTGATACACAGAAAGCTGTGGCAAATCAAACATCTACCTGTCAAATCACGTTTGCAACATTTCTTGTACGAAAATAGTGAATTTTCTAATTTAAAAACATTACTCTAAATAATACTTTGAAATGCACTGGATAATAATGCGTTATTAGAAATTTCTACATTATTCTAAATAATGCATTGAAAAGCCAAAACATAGTTAACTATAATGCATTAATTCATTTCTGAGATAATGGAAAATAATGGATCATTTTCCCATTATTCATCCATTATCGGCTACATGGATATTATCAATGATTTTACAATAATACACTGTTAATTGACTGATAGTTGCAGACTCGGATCCTGAGTACACTGTGAGAAAACAGAGTTCAATGAAGTCTAAAATTAAAATCATCGCTGACGGGGTTTTTGTTTTTCTTAAATATAATCTAAGCAACTATTGGCATGTGTGTAATCACTGATCATGAGGGAATTTACTGGTTTGATAAAAGATGCATTCATCTCGTGATAAAATAAGCAATTGTACTTCGATGTAGACTAATTGCTAATGAAACTAAATTTTCAGCGTTAACATGAATAGATGAAAAAAATTTTTTTTTTTTATAAAATTAACATTCATTATCGGCAACTCAGGATGCATCCTTATTAGCAAAATCTTATTTAATTAAGAGTACTCACGAAAATTTGATTGCTAAGTGCTATTATCCTTTGAAATAAATATCAGTAGATTACCGGGTTCTTTTTTGAAGTTATAAAAAATTTTGTTACCAAAATTGATTTTGACATAATTCTAACTACGATATCGAATTGTATCATCTGTCACTACGAACTGTTAATCATATACTTTAACAAAAGAGCTTGGTAGCGCAGCCCCTTTAGGACTAAAATGTGGAACTCATATACGATTTTTCGCCTAATTTACTTATGCACAACACGTGGTGTGAAATGTGCTGCAAGAAAATCGATCGGTAGAAAAAAATGTCTTATTTAGTTTTCCCCTGCTTGCTAATATCTGTAATGCAAGGTGGTGTCTGTAAGTGGGTGGAGGGGGGGGGCAAATGGCAAAAATCTCGCTTTTAAACTTACACTCACCATTTTCTTCGAAAATATATATGAGTTCCACAAAAATAGCCTTCGGAAATCCTATTTTATTTTCATAGGACTTCTCCGATATAATGTCGCTATTAGTTTTTCCTGCGTGACGTCATCAGAACCTACACAGGCTTTTAATTAGTCGATCTTGTTCTTTTCCAATTGGTTCGTTAAATGTAAAACATGATTTTAATCAAACATATTTGTTACTTCAATCAGAGATGTACTCACAGCCAGTGAGAGACTTCCGGGAGATTTCGGCCCGCTTCAAAAATATTTTCCTAAGCTAAAACTTTCGAAAATTGAACCAATAAAACCTTCAGAACATATTTCATTGTCATGACCAAACTTCCGCTCACAAAATCTTATATTTAACACTAAAGAAAAATACTAATCTCTTTTTTTTCTTGTGAAGGAGCGCAAAAATACTAATAATGCGAACGCCAGTGGAGATGAAATCGATGCAGAAATCGGCGATTTTCAATTACCATTAACGATAAATCCATACAATTCATCAACACTATCTCCAAATATTATTATTCCACCACAAGAAATGCCCTATCAAGGAAATTCAACTTCATCATTACAATACAATGTTGTCCTTCATTCCAATGCCAATGAACCATTGTTACCGGCGACAAATCGTTTCGATCTAAATCTTCCATTAGGCACAGTTAATCGAACCCAATTAAATCGTAAAGCAAATAGTTTAATGGCAGTTTATGAACATAGTTCAGTGAATGATACAGGAAAAGGTGAATCGGCATCGAAATCTGATACATATCGTGCACGATCACCATCGAGTGTTAGTGATTCAACATTTCGACGAACAACACACGTTCAAATAATCGACAAAGATACACACGAAGCAGTAAGAAAATTATTATCGAATCATTTATTTATTTATTCATTTAATCTATTTTTAGGTATGACAGTGAATAATACTCCGCCAATGAAGCCCGTGTTTTCTTTTATTTTTACCAGTATTTTCGTCCTGATATACGCATACTGTGCACAAACGAAGAAAACAAATGTCGATGTACGTCTCTGATGAATTACCTGTCCTATGAGCGACCCCACGTGTTGTTTTGTTACGTTGTTGTTTTATTTTTATTTGCACATAAGAATAATTCAGTCGAACGACAATCATTGTTCAGTAGATGAGAAAAGCATACTCTAATAAAAAGAAAAAAAAAAGAAAAATCGTTTCTTTTTCTTGTTTGTACAAGTATATCTATATTTTTTGTCGTCCTATTTAATTAACTGATTTTTCTTTTTGTTTAAATATGTGTTTATGTGCGTATGTATGAGTCTCAAGTAACGAGACAAAGACCAGATTTTATTCTTTTTCTTTGTTTTACAGAATAATTAATGATAAATAAACGAAACCAAAGCATTTGTCTTTATAAATATGCAAGTTTAAGATTTTTTAACACGTTTTCTCGTCGGTTTAATGTTTGATTTTTCTTCAAGATTTCTTTTCCTTTTATTGGTTGTGGTAGATGCAGTGCTTTGTTGTTGATCATCATCTTCATCTTCATCATCGTCGTCGAATTGACGGCCTTCATTTTTATCTTTAACAAGTAAATTATCTGTGGTTGTTGGCGATGCAGGTTCTTCAGATTCGACTTTCGATTGAGATTTACTGGACGATTTGGTTCTACTTGTAGTTTTGGTTAATTTCGATTTCGTTGTTGATGATGGGTGTTGATATTGTTTGAGATGATCAGGATTTTTTCGATAACATTTTTCACCGTATGGACATTCTTCGCGTGCATCTGGTTTTTGTAATGATGATGATGATGATGAAGGTTGCTCATCATCATCGTCAGACCTGGCAATTTTTTTCCCGGTTTTCCCATCACGCGATGGAATGACTGAAAATAATATGGAATGCTGCTTCGATAATTTTGTTGTCGGTACAACTTTTTGTTTGACACTAATCGGTGTTTTTGTCTTAGCTGCTTCGAGGACATCGTCCCATGTTAAATCAGTGCGAAGTCGAAGAAACACCGGAAAACGTGGACTACCAGCATTTGATAATTCTTGAAATTTAAATGTAATAACTGAACCTTTTTTTGGTGGTTTTCGACGTTGATCCATTGTAAATCCACTACCAACGTCGAATCGTTTTCCATTAGGTAATTGACATTCAAGAGCACCTAACATTCCGGTACAGTTGCCTTTACCAGGTTTATGACCAATAACTAACGCTTCTAGAAAAGAATTTTGTAGAGATGATTTTTCTTTTTTTTATTCGAATATCATTTACCTTCATCATAAAATGTTTTTACTTTCAGTAATGTTGATGAACGTTTATTTTCATAGCGACTACCAGGCTTACGAAGCATGATACCTTCTCCACCAGCAGCATTTACTTCAGCTAAACATTGCTTAAGATCAGCAAGACCTTGACATTTTTTTACGCCGACTACTGAAGCATAACATTTATCATCATCTTGTGGAATGTTAGTTTGTAGCCATTTCACACGATCTTCATATTTTCCACCATGACTTGGTGCATCGAAAATCAAATATGTAAGAAATTTATAATCATCAGGTACGACCTTATTAGCTTGTTTTTTTACAATACTAATACATTTCTGAAATAGACCTCGTCCACACCTATATAAATAACAATTTAGAAAAAAAAAAGATATATATAAATCTACCATATTTCGCCATCTAGCGGTACTTTTGGAAGTGCGGCCTTGAAAAAGTCAGGAACATGAAATAGATTTCCCTGACGAGAATAAAAATTGCTTCCACTCCAATACGCTCTAAAAAAATAAAATAATCCTTGAAAATAAAGAGCATTCTAATCTTCATACCGCACGCCATCCAGTTTTTCACTCATCCACCAATCAGTTGGATCAATATCTTCAGACCATGTTTCGGCAAGAAGTACTTTCGTAGCTTCACTACTCATCTGTTTGTATTATTTATAATATTAAGCTCGGGTAAATACAAGTGAAAGTTCAAACTCGCTTTTTTTCTTTTTTTGAATCAAAGAAACAAAGAATTTTTCTATAACGTATATATTGTAGAATGTTGTTGTTGTCATTGCGGTTTACGTATCAGAATTGTGCAAGAACATTCAAGGTCATAACAGAACACAACAACACAACACACGAGCGCTAGCCAATTTTTACAAGGAGAGAAAAAATTCGAACGACAAGGAGAGAAAAAAACATGTGAAGAATGCATTTTAATGCGACACATGATTTTGTATCACTTGAGCTGTGTCAATCAAATGAATTTATTCAATTTTTAGATATGTATAGATCGTCTAGTCTTCCCCTATAATTATTGCTTTACATTTCAACATCATTCGTCATTCAAAGTCGATGCATAGATTCGAAACAAGCAATCAAACTGGTTGGCCATCGCAGTCCATGGGCGAAATTCGCACCGGTACAGGACGTGCACGACAAACGTCAGGTAAAATATTCATCTAGCTCTAGAGAAAAGAACAAGAATATGATTTGCCAAGCACTCATCATGCGTCGAGTGACCGTGTCACATTGTGTTGAGTTATTATTATATGTATGCATATATTATGTTCAATAAGCAAGCCAGTATTTGATATCAATATATGTTGAATGCATTGCGTGCAGACACATTTTTGTACACAAGGAGAGAAGAGAGAAAGAGAGAAAAGGACTAGAGAATAATTGCTCGGTTATTTTTTACTCATATCAAACTTTGTATATGTCATGCCGAATCGATCGAATTTCAAACAATTGCAAACAAAAGGTATGATAATTGGATTGTTAAAGTAGATAGCAGAAAATAGTATTAGTTTTAAGATTAGAAAACTATTTAAAAAAAGTCAATAAATAGAAAGAAATCGTTTTAATTTGTTTGATATAATCTTAAAGGGAATGATTGATAATCTATTATGTTATGGCGTAGTTAGAGTTCTGAATAAATTTGTCGAGCTAGAAATGTATAGAAGTTCTGATTGTTTAATAATGTTTTAGTCCAAGAATATATTTCTAATCTAGTATTCTCTCATCAAAAGAAAAGAACAGTGGAATTTGTTTTTATTGATTTTCAACATAACCAATTGAATGATTAGAATTTCTTTTTGAAAAATGTAAGAGTGAAATCTGCATATTTTATTAAACACATTCCTAGTCTTTCTGTTCTTGGTACTATGATATAATACAGATATTATATTGCTCAGAATTCATACTTTTATAATCAGAAAATTGAGATAAGGATGTATTGTTTCTAGACATCGAGCTAGTAAACTTGGATTTCATGTACACACACGAAGTGCCATGCATTCAGATTTTGCATGGCAACGAATTTGACTCAGTGGGAGATTTTTCTTTCCAGGCAGTATAATGAAGTTTGATGTATGCATTATTTTATTCTCGTTTCAAAACATTCCTCTTCTCCACCGATGGTAGCTGGTTCGAGCTACTGCAGCTATGAATTTACTTGTGTATGACATTAATCTTACATTTCTTTGAATGTGAGAACCTTCCTTGATAGAGAGCTCGGATTATTATTTCATTAGAATAATAAAATTATTGGTTTCTTCCATTAGGAAAAAGAACGTTTTGTATACCTACACGTTAGATAACAGATAATATCAAGGTCTAAAAAACAAGATCGTTTGTTTTTTAAAAACAACTAAACGATCGATGCACCACGCATTTTTCTATTACCAATCAGTCAATAAAAGAGAAAAGTGAATCGATGCCTTTAGTGAGCAATTCACCGAGCTTCTAAGTCAACAACAACGACTTTTCTTTATGTCTGTTAGCCATGCGGTTATTTTTATAGCCAAAAATTTATCTGCAATCGAAAGAAAAATATATATAATCAGATGAAAAATAAAGTCGTCTGTTTTTCAACGTAAAATATTACGATATCTCTTTAATGATACTACATGTTTTGAAAACTAAAGATTAAGGACACTTCGAAGCGAAAAATATCAAGAACACATAAACATTCGTATTGCTTTGCGAAGAGTAAAAAAGCAAGTCATTCAAACCTTGACATGCTTCATTTTTATTTTGGCATATAAATTTGCAACATTTTAAATACGACAGGAGAAAAACATGAAGGATAGAGTTTCATTAAAATATCGATTAAGTTTATTGAAATATCCAGATAAACAAGCAGAATCTCAGATGTTGTTATCGTTCTTGTGATGATTCGAAAAAAACATCATTCTGGTTGGCTACGCATTGTGAAAGTCTACTGGCGCAGAAATGCTATTGAATATATATTATAAATTTGATAGCGCGAGCACAGCTGTTGTCGCGCAGTTGACACAAGAGATGTTCTGCTATTACCCTTATTTATGATTTAATAAATACTTGAAAAATCTAAACACATTCTCGTTCGTAAACGATATTGATTCATCGGTTCGATTCGAAAATATTTTTTCAATTTAAACTTTAATTTTAAAATTTCTATTAAACAATTTACAATAATAAACGGCTTAATTCGATCCTATTCATCAAATAAAGAACCTACATAGACGATTAAAATCTTTTGATTATCAAGTTTTATTTGTTGATACACCTTATTGACTTAATAAGAAGATATTTTGTAGGAAATTTGAGCAGAGGATAAAAAAAAAAGTTACTCATGCTATCATATTCAACGCAAAATAAATAAATCGGTTAGTTGAGTTTTAAAAAAGGTCAGGGTTACTTTTTACAGCTCCAATCGTTGATTTAACGTGTGTCAGAAGTAAACAAAGAAAAAATGTTTCGTGGGCAATATGAAAGGAACTATTATAAAATGTCAGATATGATCCGTACGCGTTATTTTATGGCCTATAAAAACATGAGTGACTGACGCCTTCAAAGGCAACGATTGGATACTGACAATGATGCTAGCATAAGTGCCATTAGTCTCTCGACAACAGTACGAAATAAATATCTAGTCGACTTATTTTTTCCTACATATTTTATGAAAGATGAAGCCAGTCGTTTATACAATTTCACAATATCATTCAGCTCCTAGAGGTGAGTAGATACAAATCAAATTTCATTCATTTCCTTCTATTAACTAAGTATATAAGAAAGTAAAGATCATTTTTATTTTGTCCTTCTACTGTCTGTATGGATTCTATCCAAGCTCATTTATTTCGATTGATATTCTTGAGAGTAAGAGAGAAAGATTAGAATAAGATACGTTTCTCGATTGTCAGTTGTCATTATTCATATCGATACAAAAAAAAATGTTCGTCTCTTCAGCAGCAAAACAAGTCTATGTTACTCATGCATATCCACCGCACATACGAGGCACACCAGAATACAATCCATTATACGATGCATTTGAATCGCATCAGATTGCTGCACGAATAGATCCATACGTAAATGAATTTCGACCAATAGCACCGCCAAAAGCAAATATTGCACGAAATATTCATCATGACATTTCAAGTACATACGATAAACCGCGTTCGTATCGTCACAATGATGAACAAAACCAAACTACAAATCAACAACGTCAACGTACGCCTCGTTCGCAAGAACAATTTGGTGAGACACGAATACAAAGAGAGCACAAAAATCTTTGCAATACTAATAATTATTTATGATTCTAACCAATGATTTCTTTTGCACATTAAAAGATTTTGATTTCTTTTGCTCTACTAACTCTTCTCATTTTTTTTTACTTAGAAATTAGACTTCTACTAACATAACACACACAGGGTTCTTTTTCACTTTGTATTAGTTCACAAATGTGTGATTTTGCAACAAACATTTGATAATCGATGACTATACTAATATGTTAATCTTAAAAGTTTAACATTTTTTCCTACTCGCATTTTTATAATCTATCCAATAAACGCAATTAATTGTGTCGTCAAAATTTTTGTTTTAATATTTACTTAGAAGAACAACAAAAAGAAACAGTTATTCAATAGAAGAACATAGCATATTCAAATGACCCATACACGCATAAAAGAAACGATGACATCGAAGGCTAACTATAATAAACATTGATAGGACGACAGGGCTGTTCTTTTTCCTCCTCTTCTTCTTTTCTACGTTTGTATATTTTCTCTCAGCAATTCTTTCATATAGAAAAATGTTTGGAACATAGGGCCGCTTGTTCGTTCGCTCGCTCGCTCGTTCGCTCGTTCATTTTGTTGCTTACTTGCCACATCAGAACAGACGAACTGTCTTAGTCAATAGCCTTTTTTTATTCACATGATGGATAGGGCACAAAGAAAGTCTATTGAAAAAAAATGAATAGATTATGGTCTTTTAGAGCAGACAAAAAATGGCTCGTGTGGAAATAAAGAATCTGTTTTTTCTTACGTTTTATTGCGTGAAGTATAACACGATTCTTTAACGATTCTTATCTTTATTTGTTTGTATTTCATTTCGTCATGTTCATTTATCTATCATTTTAGAATCAACACCAACTAGTGAAGTTGATCTTCTGATGGATCGAGTCGGCGGTGACACAAATGAAAAAAATGATTTAGAAACATGTAAACGTCAAAAAAAGAACAAACTTCGCCGAGTTCTATATAATTTTGTGGATTTTCTTGCAATTTTCGCAAGTATGGTTCTTATTGATTCTGGTTAAAAATCAACAAATCAATATTTCTTTGCTTCTGTCTTTTAGCATGCCTTATTTTTGGCCTTATATATTTGTTGATTAAGCCGGTGCAACGAGGCTTCTTTTGCGATGATACATCCATACAATATCCATTTCGAAATGACACGATTCCAATGTGGCTCTTGGGAATCTACGGAGGTGTTGGTCCTATTTTGATTGTAAGTAATAGAGTATATATTTAATACATCCATCATTCATATAAAAATCAAATATAAAAGTTTATGGGATAAAATCATATTGACATGGATGAAATACGATGATAAGAAAATTGTTCATGTATTCAAATTAATGGTTTGTTAAATAGTATTCGTTGTTTACTGTACTCATTACATGCTTCATAGATCGATTTTACGATTATTTTCCAAAATTTTATATTTTGATAAGACAGCATAGTAGTTCATTAGCTAGTATTAAAAGAATAACTATAATCTTGTTAGTAGTATAAGCCACATTTATATACTCGCGTACAAAACGGAATTGATGAAAGGTCGAAAGCTTATTAACAAATATCATTTCGACATGTATAAAACATACAGAGACAGTTTTATCAATCGTGCTGATTTTTCTGTATCAGATTTTGATTGATATTATTATCGGTGTTTACTTTTCTACGATACATTTTTTGTACATAAACGTCTTCTAATTAGAAATCACAATTTGATAAGATAAGAGTTAAGCTGAACGATTGACTAAGCAATCTTAAACGTGATAGAAGAACATTTCAGTGAATGTTTACACAAAACCATGGGAAACGATTAATAAGGAAAATCTGTTCGTGTAGTTCCTATGGAATTCAAATGTGAAACACAATGTAGCTACTCGTACTAATTATATAAAGATTGTTTTATTTTCTATTCAATCCTCTAGATACCTATGTAATAAAGTATTAGCTCATAGGCAGTCTCTTGTGGCATATTAACATCTAGGGAAAACTCGAAATATTTTATTATGTATTAAATGGGAATACATGTGTGTGTTTATTTTAGTTTTTTTGTGTTGAACTATGGGTGGTTCGACCCGGATGTGGTGGTGTCAATGCAAAGCAACGACGAAACGATTTTTTTAAAACAATTTTTCATACAATATTTCTATTTGTTCTTGGTATTGCTGTTTGTTTTCTTATCACCGAAGTTGGCAAACGTAAGAATAAAAAGGAATGTTCAACGATAATTTTAATCATTTGTCTTTTCAGGTACAATCGGTAGATTGAGACCATATTATTTAACTATTTGTGATCCTATTTGGGCGAATCTCAATTGTACTAAAACTGTAAACACAGCGAGTGGCGTTTTTGCTATTCCGCAATATATAACCAATCATAGATGTAATCCAGCTGCATCGGAACATGATCTTCAAGAAGCCAAACTATCGTTTCCGTCGGGTCATTCAAGTTATTCAACTTACGCATTTATATTTTTATTTGTAAATATAAATCTAAATGAACGATTTTTCAAAATTAACAAACATTTACATTTTTTAGGTTTATTTTGAAGCACGACTTGTTTGTCCTAAAATTAAATTTTTAAAACCATTTTTTCAATGTCTATGTGTTGCTATTGCATTTTTCACATGCCTTTCACGTGTTACTGATTATAAGCATCATCCAACCGATGTTATCGGAGGAGCATTGATCGGTTTTTGTATCGCTGTATTCACTGTAAGTGTATTTAAAATCGATAAATTGTGTTTCTTTTTAAACTATATTTTCTTTTTGTTTCAAGGCCGTACGCGTTGGAACATATTTATGGAGTTTCAGTGTTTATTGTGAAACAGAGGACGAAACTGCAAAAGATCGTTTGCCTAAAGAAGAACGTATTAATCTACCTTGTTTAGAATCACAGGCATCAGGTGGTGCACGTTCAAATGAACCCGTTCGATCAGGTACGGAGCGCGAACGTATAAGTAATCGATCGAATTATGATAATGTTGCAGTTACACAAGGATCACAACAACAACGAGTTGCGTCCAGTATTGCGAAGTCGAACATTGGACAACGCGTCTCACCGGGCAGAGGATATGAAGAAGCAAACGTCTAAGTATTTCGCTTAAGATTTCAGATAGAGATCTATCGGCCTTTCTGTAACTATAATATACTCCCAACAAGTTTAACCGTGTGTCAAAACAATCTTAAAATACGCTTAATCGTCTTTAATGTAATCATGTTATTCTTTATTTTATATGTTGTACTACAACAAAAATAATGCTTAATTCAAAAACAAAATATAGAAACATAAGCTCAATCATAATTTCGAAGCTCGCCTTTTTTTTGTATGAAATTCATAACAATTTAATAAAGTAAATGTTTCATTATAAGAGTAGAAAAAACTAATAAGATTTAGTCGAAGAGACATGCACTTCTATAAATTATCATAAATTGAACATTCTCATATTGCATGAAAGATACTGCTACATATTGTGAAACATGATATCAAACAATTGTTGAACTATACATGTTGTAATTATACACTCTTTTTCGAAAAAACTGTGATACATATCGAAGCAACATCTTTGTTCGTGTCAAAATTAGTCACCTGGTTCATTGTAAATGCACTGTTGAATATCGCCAATGGCATGTATGAAGATTACAAATCGAAACATGGTGCAGATTAATGGCTCCTCATATATTTTAACCTTTCAATGCTGGTGCTGATGAATTTTTCAACTTTATCGTACTGCATACTGATTGTTCTGTAAAGGTTAATGACTTAGAGTGACGCATGAGGAATTCAAATTTGACCAGAAAACGTAAATCTAAAGTGCTGTATCAAAGATATTTTTAGTCGGAGATAAACATCAGTCTCATTAATCATATGTGTTTCGAAAGATTATTTGAAGTTTTATAGAGACTAATGCCTGAGAAATATAATTGGGCTGATGAGTTAAAAACCTTCAAAAACTTTTCGTTTCAGTGGAAGAGTGCGTTTAAACGACAAATTGCTTTGAGCCGAGATAGTGTGCACTATATCAAAGACCTGAAAATAGTTTTTCTATCAATTTATAGTTCTACGTGTTCTTATTTCGAAAGTTAACTGGTAATAATATTCATAAATCAAGTTACTAAGCGATTGCTAAAGGTTTCTACTCATCATACAAAAGTTGCCAACGATTAAAACAGCACACCGCGTCAAGTCGAGTTTTTTCCTCACAGTTCTCAAATTAATCATTTTAACTCTAGACCAAATCTTTTATTCCATCGAAATTATACAAAAAAAGAATGAAACGGAAACAATACATCACCTTTATGAAAGAATTAAACAAATGAATTACGTCTGAAAGACTAACGGGTACATATTCGCTTTGTAAATTCACAAGCAGAAAAAGAAACATGAAAAGAAAAAGAAAAAGAAATTGATTGTTCATCTAAATGAAAATGTGATTAATGTCTACGAAATTTTTTCGTTGCTGCAGCCGATTCAACATAAAATGCATGTACATCACCGGATGGATTAATTGTACAACTATATTTATCCGTATAGTGATATTTACCAAGAAAGTCACCATTGAATGATTCAAAAAAATTATAATCTTGATATCGAATTAGCCCAAGATCTGCCAAGCTAATAGTCACTTGAATTGGTGTTCCGTAAGGATCAGGATAGAGTGCGACAAACTATAAATAATTACAATAGAAAATATTTTCATAGAAGATTAATATTAGAAACAAACCGCAACACGATCATCTTCCAATGGTTTACTCCATACTTCAACATTACCATCCAACTACAAAGAATAGAAGAAAAGAATTTCGAGAAGATTTTTCTCTTATCTATTTACTTTAAGAATACGTCTACCCATAGCCCCAAGGGGATCTTGATTGATAGCAATCAGATTTTTATTTAAAATAATCGCTCGTGCCCAATCACTGATTGTTCTTAAGTCAACCGACAGAATAAGTGGTGCAGCCATAATTGACCAAAGTGCCATTTGTGCTCGTGATTGACCTGGACTTAGACCAAAATTTCCAATGACAATCTATAGAAATCATTAATCAAAAATAAATTAAATTAAAATAAACATTTTCTCGAACCATATCTGGATCATTCCAATGTCCGGGACCATGAAATGGTGATAAACGATCTTGATTATCACCAAACCATTGTGCAATTGAATAAACACTGCCCCATGAATCATCGATATCAGCCCAATTTCTCCATAAATTACATGTTTGTGCAATAGCCGTATAGTTTGGCTTTATTTTTGAAAATTCTTGATAGGCTGGCCATGAACACGAATATGCAATTGGAAAACCAGTTGAGTTTAATGCTTGTTCCATAGCTGGATAACCTGTATCGAAATCTTTTATATCAGCATTACAACCATCTAATTTTAAATAATCTACTTTCCAACTAGCAAAAGCTAAAAGAATATCAAATATGATTATTTTTGTTAAATAAAATTTCTAGATCAATCCGTTTACTTTTAGCATCTTGTTCTAAATGTCCTAAAATACCCGGATAGCCTGCACATGTTTCTGTGCCATAATCTTCATAGATACCGAATTTCAAGCCTAACGAATGAACATAATCAGCTAATGCAGGTATACCACTTGGAAAACGTTGGTTATCAGGCTGTAATGAACCATCCTAAAGAGATACGCACATTATAAATATTTTAATTTATTCTATTGAAAATTTACAGGTGCACGCGTTGTATTTAACCAACAGTCATCAATAATGATATACTGATATCCAGCAGCTAAATATCCACCATCAACAAGTAATTGAGCTTGTGTTCGAATTAACTTTTCACTAAAAATGAATCGAAAATTAGTAAAACTGATTTTCACACAGTAAACGATTATTCTGTACTGAAAAACTACCAAGCTACGACATAATATTGAACAGTGATTTCACAAAATACCATCTTCGAAAATTGTTTTAAGTGTCGACGGCGAAAACGTTAAAATTTCTCTATACTCTTTTAAGAGGCTCAGTTACATCGTAACTCTTCATAATAGAAAATCTTTGACTTTCACTATCAAGTGGCGGTAGATTACTGTCCCCATTTTTTCTCTTAATTTACCCAATACATGTATCCGGATATGTTTTACAATCAGTTACACAACGAAATCGTTGCCATGTTAGCCAACCCTTAACAAGAAAATAATCAATGAATAATAAATTTCGCCTTTCTTTCTACAGCCTAGAAACTCTACCATGGGTGGTTGTCGAAGTAAACCATTATCGAGTGCATTGACTTGATGATTATATGAACACAAGTACACAACTAGAAAAAGACATCCGACCACATTCTCTGTCCACTTCATGTTAATAATCTAGAAATTTTAAGAGAATAAAACACGATTGTTATCTTGTCGTCTCGTTCTTGCCCCCTCTATGCTCTGCCTTTCAAGTTGCAAAAAGAAGATAACATAAATGTTGATTATTATTGACCTTGCTCATATAATCGACTCAACATAGTCGCTCCTTCTTTTTCTTTTATCTTCTCGAACAAACTAATTGAGAATAGCATTTGTTTGTTTGTTGAAATTCTTCCTATCAAGAGTGAAAGTAAGCCAAACAGAAAAAACACCAAGAAATGAGAAAAAAAAGAAACATTTCAAAGCATCTTAGATAACCAACACCGATTTCATTTTTGATAGTCGAAAAATTATTTCATGGAAAAATGAAATCATATAACGGTAGAAAATATTCGTGTTAGTGTATTTAAAAACATAAAAAGCATAGCAAATATGTATTCCTGGTCAAACTATTTACAATTAAGAAAAAAAAACCTAATAAATAGAAAAATCACATTGAATTATTGACCGAAAGAATTCGGATAGAAACTATTAGTCTCTTGATTTCCAGTATTAGCATGAAAAGAGGAACTTTGAGCACGAGTATAAGACGATGGCGGTGGATAGTTTGGTAATGGTGGCGGTGGCTCTGAAAAATAAAACGAATTAATAATATAATTAATTGATGATTAGTTGCTTACCATAACTAGGCAATGGCGGTTGATTAGATGGATAATCTATATGAAAATAAAAAACAGTGAAATAAATATTAGTTCTTAAAATGCTTCAATGCAGTTTATTTCAATTGCTATAGACTCTGATAAGAATTCAAATAGATCAGAAAAATCGATTTGTTAAGTTTGATGCATGCAGGTCAGCAGTATCGTATAAATCTGTCTATTGAATCCTTATCTCAGTTTACAGTAATACAAAGAAGTTTATGCTAAACTACGTCGCATCATTTTGAGAATCGTGTTGTTATGAGACAAATCAAAATTTCTAACATACGTATAGGATTGATATAACTCGATGGAGGAGCTGAATATTGTGGTGGATCATAGTGAGGTTCAGTTGAATATGGCCAAGATACTTCTGATGCAGCTGATTGGTCATTATAATCATCTACTGGTGATGTATAACTATTGTTGTCATCATTCCATGGATAATTTGAACTTGTCGGAGGTGGATAATATGAACTTGACGATGGTGGATAGCTGGAACTTGATGGCGGTGGATAACTTGAACTTGTGGATGGTGGATAATTTGAACCTGTGGATGGCGGATAATTTGAACTTGTCGCTGATGAATAATAATTTGCCTCGATGGAATAAAATTCTTGGGAATTATCACTTGTATCATTATATGGGCGAGCACGTTTAGGAAAAAATGCATCATATTCATTGGAATATTGTTCATAGGGTATTGGACGTTTTGTTGAAGGATAGTAATTATTAGTATTATTGGCGGGTGAATATGCCATTTCATTGTTAGGATCAAATGCACCGAAAATATTTTGTGAAGTTGGTGGATTAAAATCGTGATCGTATGGCTCATAAGTACGGCTACGAGGATATGGTTGAGAACGATATGGACGTGATTTTCTTGACGATCTGGTAGAACCAGAAAACGAAGAGGGGCTCTGATCACGAGTTATAGTATCATTTCGCGGGATACTTCCTTGTTTAGCCTAAAACGATAAATAAACAAATAGTCTTATGCATGATAAATGCGAACACACTTGAGTTTTGCCTTGACTGGGTGGGTTTGAAGGAGTCTGGTGGCTTGATCGATTGGAAATTCGATTATGAAGCGTACTTTTGAGATGCTAATAAAAAGATAATCGTAATGCTTTTATTTGCATCGAAGCGCCACAAGGTCTTACTTCAATAAGTTGTACTTTATTTCTAAATCTTTTTGCACATGGTACACATTGATATTCGAAACTATCTTTTTCTGCATCTGATATTGGTATTTTATAATTTTCAAACTTGATATTTATCTCAGCTGCTTCTTTAGCACAAAATTCTATCATGAATAAATAAATAAATAAATAAAATCCAACACGAAAAACAAAGATCAAACCTGCGTCTTTCACTCTTGCTTGATGTTGTTTTTGAGCAAGATGATCAGTTAGATCATTTTCGGAATTCAATTGCATTGAACACACATCACAGTAATTCGACGAAGAAGGATTATTATCTGGAATGATGCGCGTTGATGTTGGATTAGTTGGCTAAAATATTAACGAACATTCACTCTTACTTCTATAGAATATACAACGATGCCATAACAGAACATGTTGTGATAAAAATCGAGTCAGAGTAGTTGTTCAGTCTCTTAACTATTCTCACAAAGGTTTGTTTCTATATAGAATTAAAAATGAGTTTCCTGTAGAGAAGCCACAGTAGTATAATATATTTCGAGCAATAAATCATGTGTCTGAAGGTCTTTTCGGGATATCGTTAATATTAGTATTAGAATTTCCCACCAAAAAAAGGATCACTTACATTGTTAAGTTTTATTTTCGCTTGATGTTTTTTTCCAGAAACATGATTCTCAAACATTTGTTGACTATTACACGAAATATTACACATATTACAATTAAGCGTTTTTGGCGGCATCACAGGCGGCTCAATCTGCGTTTCATTTGCATTTAATTCTGACAAAGTAACATCTGATTTTTCACTTTCATTATTCACAACTACTGGTTCGTGTTTTCTAGCACAGAGTTCTTCATAGGTTGGTGCTTTGTACTGAGGATTTTTCTAAAGAAAATACAATTCAATATTAAATAAGCAACGAAATGCGATTTCTTACATTTAGCATAGTTTTTAACTGTGTTTGATGTTTTTTTCCTTTCATATGAGAATCAAAAACAATTGGACCGCTTATTGGTACTGAACAAATATCACATTGTACGGTCGGCGTTGCACTGGTTGTTTTAGTACTGTCTAATGTCGTACTATGATTATTATTTCTTTTAGATTTTTTCGTTTTTTCAATTGAACTTGTCGAAGCTCTTTTTTGCAATTCTTCTATATCTCCTTGGTCAATTTTAAATGGATCTTGATTATCTTTGATTTCGGGAATATTTTCAAATGCCGTAAACGAACTCATGCAATTTTCTGTTGAAAATGACTATTGAAAATAGAAACAGAATAAATGCTAAGTTTTCGACTGAAAAATAAAATAATCATACCACATATGTATCAACCATTTTAAGAATAATTCAATTGAAAAATAAAAATAAGAAGGTTTAATCTAAAAAAAACAATACTCAATGAGAAGAAATGTCTTTCTACAATCAATTTTAATTTTATTCATTCTTTTGACATGTATTAATGGTGGAAAATAAAAGCCCGAACACCTACAATATTAATTCAAGAGTAGCATTTAAATATAAAAAAAAAAAAAAACGGACGGATTAAATTGAACATACAAATATGCACATTAAGTAACATTCAGATTGTTATTGTTTCAAAAAAACAAACAAAGAAAGATAATCTGATCGAATAGAGAAAATGAAACATCAAAATTCGACACCATATTTATCGAAATTACGAACAATCACATGCAAACGTAAATGAACTTTGCCCATAGATACTGTTCGTAATTTGTACAATTCAGCACTTGACGAAACTAAATCAGGATTCTAAAATATAGAATAATATGTATTTGAAATTGAATTATTTTTGCAAAAAATGATATATATATATATATGTATACACTAATATTAGTTCTTTGATAACATTAGAAATTTCAACAGAACTATGAAAGTAAACCACTGTTCCTATTCAACGCTATGATCTAACCAACAAACTTCTGCCTTCGTTTTTATTTAGATAAACAATTCACTAGTTTCTATCAGAAATTAACTCTGTCGTATTGTCTTCTGTTATTAATCAATACTTACTTTTAACTGAGCGCTACCACCAATAAATTGTGTTTTAAGTTCTTCAATAAGACTACCTTTTGGTCTCCAAGTAACACAATCAATTTCATGTAAACCTGGACTGATGGGTACATGACAAAAGCCATAACTGTATAATTCATTACGTCCGTATACATCCTGATGCCATACTTGTAACTAATAGTTATATAAAAGATAGATGAAAATAAATTATGTGATTCTGTATTCAAAATTACTTACATGAAATTTCGGCCAACCTAGAAATACAAAAAATACGATGAAACGTTATATGTTATAAAGCGTGATAGTCACGGCTCAATAGTTCTTTCTATTTGAATTATTTTTGATATCTTCTGTACTTAGAGATATACATTATTTGTGATTCACTACATATGTTTTTACCTTGTAAGCCTTTTGTAGCAAAATGTAAATCAATTGGATGACACCAATTGGCCATAGGCTCATCTGATGGTTCATCCACCTGTGTTTGACCTTCGTGATCACCTTGTAAGACACGCCATGCACTTCCCATTTGTACTTTCCATTTACAGAACAGACTCGATTCAGGAAAACCACTTGCACCAAGTATTTGTCCAATTACATGAACTTCAGACATCTTTTATATGACTAAGTAGGTAAGATGAATCGAAAACGTAGTTGGCAAGAATAAATAGGCAGTAACGATTCGCATCTTAATTGGTTGCTAGAGACCGACATTATTATCGAATAATGACCTCTCGTTAGATTAAAGATGTCACTAGTTGGTTGGCTGTCAGCCAGATGAGGATTACTGTACTCTATTGAAATGGACGGCTTGAATCCCGTTTGCATATTTGAGTTATCGTTAAATTGTGTCAAACTGTTTAATTGATCGTGTATGATAACTTAAATGAGCTTTCGTTATCCATTTCGTAGTCGTGACATCCCTAATCGACTGCCCCTTACCAATCCAAAAGGAGTCACTAGTAAATCCCCGGGGCACCTTAAGGGATATTCAACTAGAGTTTAATATATTACAACTACTGTTGAAAGAGAAGAAATTGATCGATTTAGAGAGCGATAGGAAACATCAATTTTTGAAAACTTAGCAAAACATCAAGCAAGAAGTTTCTGAATTATCTTGTGCCTGGAAGTATTTTAATTTTGTATGTACGCTTTTGTCTAAAGCTCATTCATCCGTTTGATAATTGAATTACAACAACGGACACTTTATTACGACAATAACTACGTTAATAATCCAATAAATCCCGGTACATTTCGGCCATCACATAGTCTACCAAAACTTTTCTTGTTGTATACACTCGGAGGAAAGTGGTCTATTTAAAGTTGAACATTAAGGATGTAAGGATTCAATAACTTTTTAATCATAAAAATTCGTCAAGCGAATATAGAATATGAAAGTATATACCCAGGTCCAAACGGTACGGCGGGAAACTGTTGGTTCCGGTGAAATTCCAGCAAAAGGATGGAAGCAGTATTCCGGGACCGGTTACGACTTCTTCCCTGATGATTCCTGCAACCGGATGAAATACCAGGATCCCAGTGCCGTTCCCAGCAAGGTTCCTGAGAAGGGCTCCGCGCCTTTTCACGGGAGCAGGTTCCGAACTATATTCCTTCCGTTTCCAATTCGGTTACAACACCCAGATCCGACCGTTTTTATTTCCTTTCAGGAGGCTTAATCCCACAACCGGAAACGATAGGATCTATTCGAGAACGTATTCCTTATAACTACATGACTTTAATATCTTACAATCGACAAATTGGATCGCTCTTTCACAAGAATCTCTGGAATACAATTGTATATTCAATGTTCAAATGTATGAAATATTAAAGAAAGTTACAATTCCACACAAGCACTGATAAAGATTTTGACTCTCTTCCGAACATTGAACTAAATTGGATATGATAGTCATTCTTAAAGCAGTTTTAAGGGGTACGAATTTAACAGCAGTATGAGAACAAGCAGACTCGATACAAAATATCACGTAAGAGATTGCACAGCTCACAGCCCACTGCTGAGAGCAATAGTTGAATAGAGACAACGATAGACAATTGAATTGTGTCTTCAAATTGGAAGATATTATTTAGCTCAGATAATCCGTCGCGACCATGCACAATAATTAGGTAAACGAAACCACTACTGAGCTGATTTGAATTAAATGAATCGCCCGAGTTCAAAATAAAACCGACATCATAAAAATCAATAAATCACACGTCCATCTCTGGAAACTCTAAAAACCGACAAGATACTCAAATCTTATCATTTTAAAGGTCTTCAAGCACACCAACCACAGATACGAACGGAATGTGAAAGATAGGCACAGGAGCAGAAAGACCATTCTCTCCGAGTCCAACCGAGTTAGATATGACAAAAATGAGAGCGCTCAAAACAAAAAGTATTGAAATACTAAAACAGTCTTCAGGCTGCGTATCAGCCAACCTTCACCTACATATATATGCGTGTTCGACACTTAGAAGTTCCTTCACTCGTGCATGCAACTACTAGTAAAGTGCCTTCAAGACTGCCTGAAACTCTTCAAACTGACCCAGCGATACATGAACACCCTGAAGATCACCAATCTATCCACATGAGTGAAAATTCAAAGTTCCAACCCCAGAGGCGCAACACACCTGTTCAGGTAAGTCACAGATAACACTTGGCATACTTTTTTTTATCCCAAAACTTTCTCAAAATCATTCCAACCCCATTTCTAATATTAATGAATGCTAATTGAAAACAAGAATCGACATAGGACTTTGAACTTGTTATATATCAACAAGATCAGTTTTAGTACAAAAAGTACCACGGTTCCTATCTATGTCTAAGTGAAAATAGTGCGCCCGTATATAAAAACTCAAAAGTCAGAAGAAACATTCAGAAGTATTTGAAAGAATATGTATTCACAGATTTCTTGGCACTTGTCTTCACGATAAAGTTACATTGAAACAAACATTTAAGTAATCGGTTCTAATATTTATGAATGATACAGATAATTCGGCCGTTTTACTATTTGATAGATGTTTAATTTTAACAATAAAAAGATGTCTTTTTTCAATATAAATGTTATTTACCTGATTCAATTGTCATCAAAGTTATCGTTTGATTCAAGCGTTCTTTGCCGCACTCGTATTTTCATGATTGATTGCATGTTAATCAACACTGATATCAACCAATCTATACTTGACCATTCAGGCAACGGTTATTAATGTTATTTTTATCATTCTTTATCTTTGTGATGATGTTCATTGCTTTCATCGCTAATGTGCTGCTCTGTTTTTTTCCAGATATATCTAATAGTAGAAGTTACGTTTAACGCCGATCAAAAAGTTCGTCAAAGTGTTTAATTTTTTTTTAAAGACCTGTGACACATCTGTATTCTACTGTTCTAAGCTTGGTGTATCTTAAGTTGTTATTTTCTGTTGTGATTTATCTGTATGGTTTTATATTATTTACGCCTATTAAATAATTTGTTACGCAGTAACGAAACCCACGTAACGGTAAAATTTTTGGGATTTTGAACATCAGTAAGTATCAATTTCCATATAACATCCTATGAATTTCAGCCACCGGATCTTTATTTTGCTGATGATAGCGGTTATAGGAGGTTCACCTTATCGTTTCATTTTGCCTCAGTTTAAAATATCTTTACTTTCCTTTTGCCTTCATGTTTTATTGGTTCGAACATCATTACTCCGTTTTATTTTCTCGTAAGAAAAAAATAAATCCGATCCATTCTTTTGTTTCTTGTTCTCAAGACTCAAGAACAAATGTTTTGATAGTTCCGGCTTAGCATTTCTAACTCATACCGTGCTAGTTGAATCTATTATAAGAATTAAAAGGGCACATTGATCATTTTCACGGATCAGTAAATCTGATTGAGACGGTTTGTTTTTCTATAGATAATTTTAGATAGGATTATTGCCAATGTATTGTCGTACTTTATGTTTAGTTCGGCACTAAATATAGCAAAAAGATTAGAAAAGTACGAACTTAAACTAAATCTAGTAAGAAGTCAGAGTTTTATTTCTCTCAAGCTCTTCTTTCAGTGAAATTCTAAATAACACGACTAACGGATTCAAAATACTGCATCGTTATATATGTCCTCACAGTATTAGAATTAATTCTAATCTGACTAGATCCTCTATCTTCAGATTTCTTCTATGCATCAGATTTGAAAGGATTCGATAATATCTAATGAATAAATTGGATAGCACACCCGTCGGGTCTTTCCCGAGATAATCCACTTTGAACTATAATGAATGCCAAGTGAGATTATACTTGGCCTATTTTTACGGAAGATGTTGCTTTCCGACACAGCGTGCGACATCGAATTCAATATTTTCCATCGCGAGTACCAGGCAAAATTAATTCCTAGGGAAAGCTCAAAACTACATTGCTTCATATATCTGCAACATCTAACAAATTTATGTTTATTGGGGAAAAAACGAAGTACAAAGTTTATTTTTTACGCTTATGAGTGCACATTTATTTATTGTATACAGAAAATAATTGTTTTCCTAGATTGCACATAAGTAAAACAAGAAAATGCTTTTTAAGGTCTTCAATTCATTTTTTTTCTATCAAATGTATGAAATTGTAAAAGTAAAACAAAGTCGTTGCTTTTTTATTTCTAAACAGTAAGAAATCATTGAATCCATGCTGCTGCATGAGCTGACAGAACATCCTTGAAAGTATGACGAATGCGAAATCAAACAATTCAGTTATAAAATATTGTGCTGTTTACAGTCGACACATCGACTTTCTCATCAATCGTTCTTTTTCATGCGCGTAGTATCCTTTCCGATTATCTGAGCACATTATAATATGAATTTTATGCTACTTTTACTCTGCGTCTGCTTTAGCTTTAGGAAGATTTCCTTCCCTTAATCGGATATATGTCTATCAATTTAGAAAAACAAACTGCACGTACTAAACAAAGGCAGAAAATACATGCTTTAGACAGCGTCAGTTAAAAATGAAAGAATGAATTGTCTAAACGCTTCAGCATTCTTCGTCTCTCTCAAATTGAATACAAAACTTTTCATGTCTTCTTTTTTTTCCTCATTACAAGAATTCATTTATTGAATTTAAAAATAAAAAAAAATTATATTTTAACATCTTTCAAAAACAGGAATATCTTCAATTGTAACTGAATATAAATATGATTGATTTCCTTCATAAACTTGTTCATCACGAATACATTTCCATTTACCTTGTGGTAAATAGATATTTAATTGATTAGCATTTTCTTCAAGTACGGGTGCTATAAGCAAATTATTTCCTAACATATATTCATTCTCACAGATTAATGCGTTTGCATCGTATGGGTCGCAGAACCATAATGGTCGAATCATTGGCGTACCATATTGTACACATTCTTCAGCTGTTGATAGTAGAATAGAACGATAGCGTTCCCGTATTTCAAGACATTTATAAGCTATACGAATAACTTGTTCATCATTATAGAGCCAAGGCGGAAAAGAAAATTGTATTGCAGGCAAAAGAACATTCAATTGAAGCCAACGTATATAGAGTTCACGTTCTGGTAAACGTGTTTGAGTAATTGTTACGCCATAACCGTTACCGCCAACCTATGTTCAATAAGAGAAAAACAAAATTGATTGATTTGATTCAGCGTGCAGAAAACAATGAATAACATCAGGCAAGAATAATATTCCTTAGTCATTTAAAATAAGAAGATACGATTTTAATATGATTTATCAAAAATAGCTTTGCCTGAATTGTTCATCAAATTCTGTACGTATTTATAAATCGAAATAGAATTCAACTATACAGAGCAGCTTTTCCTTCACGCGAGAAACATGACCGTAAATGTTTTCTTAGGCTAATGGAAGCAAAATGACTATTACCGGTTGATTAAGTAGCATGCCGCAAAAGAAAATTAGCTCTATTAGTCCATGGTAACATTCACTCGTTAAAGGACTAATCTTTCATTAGCATAGAAATTGTTATTTTGCAACAGATTATAAATGTCAATCGAAGATACTGCATAAAAAACAAAAATCTACGCAAAGCGTACCATATCAGGCAAAACAAATGGATAGCCAAGAAGACTTAAGTTAAATACACTTGGCAATAATGATCGTAGACCATTAACATATGACCAATTCGAGTCTTTATCAATTACTCTAACAAATATCGGTAATGTTTGTGTACGATAACCAACTCGTACTTCAAGTAAACGATTCGTTGCATCAATACGATAGGCAAGCTGTGAATATAAATAAGAATGAAGTGCCGGCGTGGTTACTAATGTTGTTTTATCAGTAGTCATCTGTTGACAAGATGGATTCGCAAATGAGCCGAATGCTGGCAGCCAATTAACTTCGCCAGCATCAAATTTAAAACTATCTATATCATAAAGATTTTGAAGTTTTTGCAAACTTTTTGTATATTCTTCTTGTGCGGATTCCTTAGTAAAATCTAAAGAGCCACCAAGACCATTCCACCATAGAGAAATGCCGGGTAATGTGAAGAAAAATCGTTCGTGAATGCATTTGATTAGATTAATAAAATGTTGACATTTAGGATTAGATATAAAATCATCGAAGACAATTTGTAGAAAAGTAGAACGTTCAATAATTAAATCCAATAATGAAGATAAAATATTCATATTAATTAATAAACCACGACGCCAATAATCAATAAATAGAGATGATTTACAAGATACAAATGGATGAGTCCAAAGTGTAACACGAAAATTAAGTTGTTTTAATTTTGATATCATTTTTTTGGGGTCCGGAAATTTCTTTCGATCAAAATCGTAGGCTCCCTAGAAGAATCCAAAGTTTTTTTTCCACGTCAATCTACTAATCTTCTCGTTTCAAATTGATACTTACATAATGTGGCGTCCAATTATCATCAATACATAGTTGAGAACGTGGAAAATTACGTTTCACAATTTCTTCAGCATAATCAAGTATTTTCTCTGTATTAATATCTTGTTTAAATTGCGCCCATGTTGACCATATGGGTTCAGTTATCATGCGATGATCTGGTGTGCCTATTGGCTTTCCCAAATAACGATTAATCATTGTTAAGTGAAGATCACACATATTCACATGTTGTAAAAGTCTATATTGAAATTTATGTGAAATAAATCTTTTCTGTCGATAGGGAGTTCGATATTCGGATGTTAATTCAAGATGCTTTTTATTCATAGAAACAAATAAGGGTACAAGTGGATCAACAAATAATGCTAGACCAAGTGATGATAACCAATATCGTTCGCAAACATTTCCGAACATATTTCTATTGAAAATGAAAATTTTTCAAAGTTAACCTTCAACAAAATAGGAAATTTTTACTTATATGCATCGTGAGGAATCAATGCTTGAGATTTTGTTACGAATTGATTTATAGGCCAATAGACTGTTTTTTGTGTACCTCCGCCATACCAATAGCCGGTTTCAATTAGATTAAATCTATCATTGAAACAAGATCGATAATTTGGACTTGACCAAACAAATGTATATTCGTGTACGAAGTATGTTTGTTTTGATAGACAACTTAAAAATATGAAGATTTTCATTTCAAAACAAAATTTTCTTCTAACCTTTGTTGTTCAAGGTATTCATGTTTAATAATTAGACAATTCGTTGAATCAACAAATTTAATTTCCACTTGTTCATCGTGTATATCAAATGAACTTATTTTATATTTTTGTCCATTCAATTGTGCTAATTCAATAAGTTGCTTTTCTAATGGAGATATTTGTACGTTGAGTACAATTTTTTCGTCATCTGAGATTTGAAATGATAACGTATGGAAAACAAAGGAACGATTTTGTAATTTGATAGTTATCTGCTGTTTATTTCGAGAACGCTTTCGAACAACAAACCAATAATACCACAAAGCAAACAAAAATATTAAACCAAGAAAAATAATAAATAAAAAAGTTGAATAAACAAAAAGACGAATGCCAAACCATAGCCATTCTCGTATGTCTATCATAATTTGTTTCTATAGTAGTTCTTGTTGTGCTGCTTTACCAAACTTCCTCTGTTTTATTAGTGTTTTCTTATCTCCAATCTTATAAATAAATAAATATACAATCTGTAAAACATGCTTTTCAAAGGGCGAAGTCTTTTCTGTTGTTTCTCTCGTTAATTTAAAAAAAATAAGTTTGGTTCATTATTTTTGCTGCAGACTTTTTTCTGATGTGTATATGCTGAAAAAAGAAAAAAAAACGAAGCCAAAAAAAAAAGAACGAGAGAGAGAGAGATAAAGAGAAAAAAATCAAGGACAAAAAAACGTGTGTATGACGTAATTGTTGACATGAGAGTGAAGCTGTTTCTTTGTTTTGTTTCTCGATGATCAAATGAACAACACACACACTCGCACACATTGATATATTTATATATAGAACAGCAACACAACTGAGAGTAATACACACACAGACGCACACACAAAAGACGAAGTTTAGGTCCCAGGAGGTAGGGAAAAGAAAAGAATTGTGTACAAAAGCATGTTGAAAAACGAAAAAGATGCAGCGGTGAAGATACACACTAAAGCCGATTGAATGATTTTACGTTTGTTTAATCATACAAACAGATTGTTCATGCTATGGATGTTATAGCAACAAGAATTTTTTTCTTCTCATTCGTAGAGTTGTTGTTGTCGTGTCAGTACGTAAGAAGAATTAATGAATTAAAAGAAGCCACTGATACATAGACACACAGACAAATGTATATACGACAACAATGAGGAGAAAAAAACGAGAGAGAGAGAGAATAGTTTGATGATAAAGATATTTTAAGGATGCTCTTTTTTAATTGAATCACCGCCAGTTGCCGTCTGTTCATCGGGATTATTCATACCGTCACTCTCGCCTGGTCCATTAACACTTGTTGTCGTTGCTGCTGCTGCTGCTGTCGATGGTACGGATGATGATGATGTTGCTACTACTACTGGCACAGTTGAAGGTGGTGAATTATTATTTGAACGATTTGTTGCTACAGCAGATTTATCGTTATTGTTTGATGTGACTGCTGATGTTCCTGCTAGTGTACTACCATTTCCGCCACTGATACTTGTTGCTGATGCATTAACTGTTGAACTTGTTCCACCACTCCCACTAGTTGCTACTGTTTGTTGACCTTGCATATGTGTAGGAATTAAACGTGTATTGAGCGATGGATTTATGTTTATTTCTTAAGATAAAATTCATTAGTTTAGATAATTCAAAGAAAAAAACAAAATAGTTCAACAAACCATATTGACTAAAATTAAAAAGCGGTGGTAGAACACCATTGGGCAGTCGTGTCTCAGGGTCGCGTAGTTCATCAAAAAATGCATGAGCACAAGCTTCAAGTGGTGTTAAACGCGTTGCAGGTGTATAATCAAGTAATCGACATACTAAATCAATTGCCATTGGCGGTGTACGATTACGAAAAACCTTCTGCCATGGATGTGCTTTTATTTGTGGAAAACGAAATTCTTGATAATTTGGATTCATTTGTCGAATTTGTTCACGAGTTGGTGTACCTAATACTTTAATGATTTCTACTAGTTGATCAACACCACTTTCACCTGGGAATATTGGTTGACCTAGAAGAAGTTCCGCAAGAACACAGCCCGATGACCAAACATCTATGTAACATGTATAATCGATCGCGCCAAAAATTAACTCCGGTGCTCGATAATAACGTGAGCAAATGTATGATACATTTGGTTCGCCTTTTATTAATTGTTTCGCACTATAATAAGAGAGAAAAAGAAAATATAAGATTGAATTGAAAAAACAAAATGTTTTTTCTCACCTTCCAAAATCGCATAATTTCAATATAGATGTTTCTGGATCAAGTAAGAGATTTTGTGGTTTAATGTCTCGATGACAAATTCCAAATGAATGTATATAAGCCAATGCACGAAATAACTGATACATATACAACTAAATAAAACGGAGATGAATTTCAGATTTATAAAAGAGAATTTTGTTTTTCTAATTTTACTTTGACATAAAGTAACGGAATGGTTTGCTTTTGTTTTGTATAATGTCGAGTGACACGATAGACCGTTTCTGGTATATATTCAAGTACAAGATTTAAATAGACTTCTTCTTTAAGCTTCAAAACAAAAAACGAAGAAAATATTTCACCAAATGAAATAAAAATTGAAAATGTAATTTACTTTGTCACCAGATGAAAAGAAAAAATATTTTAATTGAACGATATTTTGATGATCGAGTCGTCGCATAATCTGCAATTCGCGATTCTAAATAATTTAATGAAACATTTTAAAAATTTCCATTTGGTTTGCAGATTTGTTAATTACTTTAAATCTTTTATCTTGTAAAACCTTCTTTATGGCAACTTGCTCACTTGAGTGAACCAGTTTTGCTTGATAAACAACACCAAATGAACCATTTCCAATAACTTTAGTATCTGTATAGGATATTTCTTCAGATATTTCTGTACCACGACCACGCGTTGCTACTACTGTCACTACTTTAAAACTATTGGCATCTGTTCGATCTAAATAGATGTGATGAGCGAAGATTGAAAAACAAAAATTCTTATCTTACTATCAACTGGTTGTCTACGGGGAGCTGCTGATGCGGCTGCTGCTGTACTGCTACTCATGTTTTGATAAAAATTGGGATTGTGTTTCTTTTTAAAGCTTTTATTCAAGATAGGCGGGTTATAAATTTGAAATTTTGTACAGGAGGAAAAGGTTTAGTTCAGAGAAAAACCAGCTTTTCTCTCATATCTTTTCAATGATACATATAGATTGATAAAAATTATCGGAGTATATTAAATCTACAATGAGAAAATAGAGATTATATTTGACAACTATAAATGCTGTTTTGTTTTGATGAGAAAAATTGTTCAAGTCAGCGTAATGTTCAATAGTTTAGGTTTAATTATTGTGTTGATTACGAACAATATAGATTCGTTTTAAGGAAAACGAAGATAGAAAAGAAATTAAAGTTCAAAAAAGAAACTAAGAATAACATATGTTCTGTTTAGTCGCCATTTTTTAGGCATCAGTTTCCATTGAGAATCGAGTGGGTGTCGTTGCTTTGCTTGTTTCGTCTTGTCGATGGGTTATGATGAGAAAAAGCAGCCATACCGGTGGTTATAAGGCAGCCGAGGTCAACAAACAAGAAATTTTCGTTTTTTATGAAAATCATATTCGCGTGATACCAGTTTACGAACATAATAAGATATCTTTTTCGGATAATTTTTAATAATCTTACATTAGACAAATAGATGGCATTAATACTAATGCAATATATACTTGCGCCATCTATAGACGCACAAAAGTTTAGTATTCTCATAAAAGAATAATGAGCAAAACTGCTCATGTAATAATCAAACGTTATAAATATTTAAATTTTGATTAGAGAATATGTTATTGTAATTATAATAATTAATCATTGATCTAGTTTCAAGCTGTTTTCCATACTGTAAATTTAAATTGATCGATTACTTAAATATTGATCAATGAAGCAATAAAAGCTTGCACAAAAGACTACCATTTCCATTATGAATATTTAGCTCAATAGAATGCCCGAGCTCTGTACGAGTACAAGAAAAATAAAATGCCAGCACTCGCAATTTTCCACATGGCTTAATACAACTTCAAAATATTAATATACAAAGAGTTGAGAAAATTTCCCCTAAGAATCTCTTGTTCTTATTGTTATAAGTTAATTTGAGAAACAAATAAACTTATTGTGAAAGAAAAAATTTCAAGCATTTTAAAATTGTTGTTCCTTGATCACTATGACTCCTTCTATAACATAGATAGATTTTCATAACTTATGAAAATAAGATTGAGTGATTTTGTCGAGTTCAAGTTTTATTAAGTGAAAAATACTCTAGTTCTCTACTCTTCTTTTCATTATTCATAATAGCCATTTGGATTGTAATAACTAACTATTATACAATATTGGAATTATATTCTAGAAAAATAACCGATATTAATGGAGCAAAAATAAATGCTTGAAATATTCTTTTCGCTCTTGTTATCAATTTGAAGTACTCTGCTGGTTGTTTAAGTGTGTCACAAGATTATAATGAAATTGTACGCTTGCACTTAAGAGCCGATGTTCTGTGCATCGATTTAGTTATCGTTTTCTTTTTCTCTCTATTAATTCAATTTGTATATACAGAGTTTCTTTAGAAGGAACTGAACCAATGACAAAATTGAATGTTCAAGTGTGTGTTATTTTTTGCTCCCAGCAATACGACGTGGTTGTGTTTTATCGTTTCGTGTGCCAGTTGTTAATTTAGCATCATCATCGTACGGATTTGGTGGTGCTCGAATGCCACGTGAAAGACGTTGCTAAATAAAAAAAAAAGGCATTTGAGATCAAGCAAACAACAAAAAAACACAATCTATATATTTACTCGTTCTTGATAACGACGTTCATAATAATCCATTTCAGATTCTCCAGTACGTCTCAATTGTGATTGCGCTTCAGCGCCTTTGAAAAGAAAATAGACGGTTGACAAAGTTTCAATGGAAATCTTTATTTATGTTTCTTACTATCAGGCTCATGAGATGCGTGTACACGAAGAATAGGATGGTCCATGGCTGTTATTGGTTGATTAAGAAAATCATCGTCTGGTCGACCTAATACACAAGAAAATCATTAGTTCTTTTTTGTTTTGGAGACAAAAGAAAAAGAACTGCTTTTTCTTTTTTTTACCTCTTCCGCTAGGATCCAATCGTAGATAGCCTTCAGCCAATGAACTAAAACCTGTTAAACCACCCATAGCTTGATAGGGTGTTGCATAACCTGTTGGATGACCTCGTTCTTCTCGCTCTTCTTTTGTTTCAACTAGAGTTATGTGTTTATTTGCTGATTCACCACATGTACATGTAAACGGAGCTGAAAATCCGGTACAATTACAATCTAAATAAAATTTAAAATGCCACTTCATTTGTTAAATTAACAAAAAAGTCTAACTACTCTTTTGACATTTATAAGGCGGTTTGGTAGCATGATTATCAAGTGAATGTTTGCATCGACAATTTGGATCACTGGTACCCGACGCATTAGCAACATATTCATATGCAACACAACGACAGCCTTGCTGACGACATGATATCAGTATCGGTCGTTCCGTAGGAATTTGAGCGAAATCTGTTTTATGTTCTGCAAATCTGAATTGAAACAAAAAACAATAGTTTCAAGGTAGAATTTTTATCTCTATTTGAAATTTACTTATGCCGACAAAGACATTTATGTTGTGGGCCAATCAAAATACAATCCATTCCTTGAGGATTCACCCATGAAACAAACACCCGATTATGAAGACGCTAAATAACATTTAAAAACAAAATCAACGCTCTTATCTCATGAATCTAAATATTATTTTCATAGGATTATCTTATATGGCTCTTAATGAATAGTATCATTGTCGAATTCAACAATTCTATCTTTCATATTCTCGTTTGATATTTTTAACAACAACGACAACAGGACAAGAACGATTCAGTGGCAAGAATAAAAGCAGTAAACACTGAAGCAATTAGCTATACAGTTAGATCATCTCGACGATAGAACGATTGATATAGAAAAAGAAAAAACGAAAACGAAAACGACTTATATGGATCTCTCTAAACGTCTGCAAATAAATGTTTTTCTTATGGATCTAGAAGACTCAAACAATCAAAGTTTTGAAAATAATTAGTCTGAAAACATTCATCTACAATATAAACTATTTAAAGAAAAATTTTTTTCACGCCATTTAAGCTTTTAAAATTCTCGATCTGTTCTCATGTGTGATGGCCTATTTCAAGGTCTTCTCTAGTATGTAGATTACAATGAAAAGCTTCTTACACAACAAGAATAAATCTTTAATTCATAGTGCATTTAAGCAATGTTGCAGAATGGTTCGCATCAAACGCATTATATATTAATAGAATGAATCCAAAGATATCGCATGCAGGAAAATCGGTAGCACAATCAAAAGTAGCACTGTTATTATACATGAATATTTTAACATACCATTAAAAATCTATTGCTGATAACCTAGATCCTCTGGTAAATCTAAATTCTTCGTTCTATATGAGATTTTAACGATAATAAAACAGAAAATCTGAATATATGGAAATTCTTACCATTGGTAAAACTCTTTTCTTATATTGTTCAAATTCTTCCGGAGTGAATACTTTTCCTCCATCGTCATCACCAACAATACTATCAAAGGTGAATCAGTTTATTTTCAGTAATTTTAGAATTAAATGTTATCTATGTCATACGCTCGATATTCAAAATAAGCATCAACATCAGCAGCTGCATTTGAAGGTAAACTAATATGTTCACCAGGTGCACGTCGAGAACCTCTTCCGGCCATTTTAATAATGACTCTAGAAGAAGCAAAAATTCTATATTCTTGTAGCTAAACAACCGACATTGATATGCCTATATGTTGTTTTCGTAAGATGTCGTTGTTCAAAAACGTATCCATTGAAAATAATCATCAAAACCTTATAGAGTATCATAACTCTATGTATGTAAAACTAAGTAGATATCATTGTTTTTTTTCATCTTTAACGTACATCCTATATGCTCCAGATGTCACTTGAAATTACTTTAACGTTTTAATATAATATGTAAGGCGTGCAACACCTGGCTGAAAGAATTCAATCAAAAACGTAAATGTCACTCTGTTCATATAGAAATGTTTACTTAATAGAAATGTGAATTCTCAATGTACAATCATGCATTCAATTTTCCTTTCTTTCATTGACGAACAATCTTATTTATTCTGCATCTAGATTTCGACTATAAAATATTCTACTTGCGTAATCGCAGAATAATCGTTGATGAGTTGAATAGTCCCTGGATCAATTGTTTGCTGTCCACCATAACCGTGTTTACTATAGAAGAAAAAAAGAATAGGAAATCCTATTTTGATCTTTTCATACATTCTATGTCCTTCTTGTCAATGAATGGTTCCTTGAATTGTTTTCCATTTCCTTACTATTATTTTATTGTTTCAAAAATAGTAGCATAGTGTCCTTGTAATCTAGAAAATCCCATTCTGTCAGTAAAAAAAACAAATAAATATTTACACAAATAATGGTGTTTTTTATTTTAAAAAAAAGTTATCCAGAATATGACTAAAATAAACTTGCAAAAACACATAGAGTTGGTCTCATTAAAGTAACTGGACTTATAAAAATAGATCTCTTTCATGGCGTGATGCTTTCTGGAGAATTGTTTTATTTCCGTCCAACCCGTACTATCTAGAATCAAGAACACTCGACTATATTCAAAATTGTCAGATTCATGAGTAGAAGATTTCATCGATGGAAAATGTGAAATAACTTTTGAATGGTGGCGATGGTATTTATTTCGAGCGAGAGTTTTCATCAAAACGCAATGAGGAAAACGTTTTCTATAGCAACAGATTACAACTTCATCGCTCGATAGTGATTTTCATTGGTAGATAAATTAATTATGAAATAACAACATACGAGCTGTTTCGAAAAAGAGACGGAGCAGAAAAAATTAGAAAGCCTCACATTATCTAATTAACATCGTAATCAAGTTATCGTTTAGTACAGTGCAATAGAACAGATTGATGCTTTTAACCGTCGCTCTCCGTGATCTTGTTTGCAATTCAACGAAATGTATCGATAAATAGACGAAACGACTGAAACATAGGCACTAGTGTTCTTTCATTCATTTAAAAGGAAAGCATTACAAACAGGAAAGAAATTCTGTTTTATAATACAATAATTTACAAGACTATTGAAACCAAAGCAATCGATCGGAAAATCTTTTGGTGAAATAACTGTGACAACGTCTATTATAATTAACAGTTTAATCAAAAGAAATATGTGTTGAACATATAATTTGTTCTCTTATAAATTGCTGATAACGCCGACTGTACGCAGATGTAAATAAAAAAAATTCGGAATCTTGAACAAAATATCGGAGATATAACTATTGTGTAAGCCTACTGTCACATTCATCAAAACAACGGTTGTACGGATAGTTCGAGGAAATATTAAAATAAACTGATTACTACTGTTCAAAACATTTACATTTAAACTCTTCATTGATCATAAGTTGTCGTCTATAGCAGGAAACATTCATATCAACAATATAGAATATAACAAAAAACAAAAATGTTTCACAACGTGGTACATAAAACAAATTATATTCTACGATTGATAAGAAAGCAAACTGAAAATGATTTGCTCATTAATTTTTTTGCACATGCATTTCTCTATCGTCATAATGAGTATTATTTTACAGAATCATTCTATCGAGGTTACTTTTAATTTTCTCATCATTGACAAATCATAGAAATTCTCTAGAGATGCTTTTTTTAAGTATCTTCGAGAAAATGTCATTTGATCTTTGTTGTTATTTGAGCTATTTATTAAATAAACAGCGAATAGATATATACAATACAAGCCTACTAAAAATAATTTGCCGAGAGAATACATTGTTGACATGCCGGCACGCGATCGAAAAATTCGATTAACTTCAAGATGTTACTTATCTTATTCATCCAATAGAATTTGTCAATCTTGTGACGACATGTCGACACATCGTTAATATAAATTTAGCATTCACTCAACAGAATAAATCTGTTTTATTGTTCTCTTTTGCAAATAAATTAATATTGAATTTGCGTAGATTACCGTTGACTAAATTCCAAAAGTCGTAGACCGGTTTTACGTGGCAAATTCTTTAATATCGGTTCATTTTCGCTACAGAGTATATCAAATTTTGGTCGTACACAGATATTTATTTGAACAAAGTCTTCAAGAACACATTTTCCTAGGATGCAAACAGTATTTATAATTTGCAATAGCATTTCAAAAGCAAATTTGAGTAAACATCAGATTGTTTCATGAGCCCCAATTTTCTTATTAATAATATATAAAAAAAACGCACACAACGGGAGACTTTATCTGAGAGCAAAGATATATATTTTTTTCATTTTTGTTTGTCTATTTAATGTTGAAGTGTCATAAGCCATCGCTCATGTTTTTTACTATAGTGTCTTCTTGTTTCACCTTTTTCGATCAAACTTAATTTAGCTTCGTGTACAACAGCACCTAAATTTAACTGTAATTCTACCATACGCTTCAATGGTCGGACAATATCATCGAATAATGTTGGGCTATCTTTTTCTGTCGATTTTAATGCATAGGCTATTGTTTCTAATGTTGATGCTGTTTCTTTGGTTGGCTGTGTACGAATAACAAATTCAGATTTTTGATCAATTTTAACATAACATGTTTTTAGCGCTTGTAATTCACTATGTCGATGATAAATACCCATAGCTTCGTTCCATGTACCATCGAGCGCTATGATAGTATAATGATCACTTTCATTAATAACATCGTCTAATAGAACAGCATTTGCATTTGGAAAAAGTAAATAAGTATTCGGATTTGAATATATATCTGAATAATATTTTCCTGGAAATTGTCTTGCACGTACGACAGTTAGTGATGATGGATCAATACATTTAGAGAGTAATTGTACGGTACCCAATGGTCGTTTGATTTCATTCGGATGTTGAAATATAACAACCGATGTATGATTGAGACGAATAGGCGTTGAAGGTAAATGCGAGCAAAGACAAACTAATTCCGGTCGTTCACAACGAGTACATATTGATCGTTTTGGACCATTCCAATCTTTTTCCGATAAATCATCATCTAAGTCTAATAGATATGTTTCGTTATCATTCATCTACAAAAGAAACATGAAACATGAAATAACAAATAAAATGGCATTTTTTTTCAATGCTTAAACAGCACTAGTAATCAAATTTAATGTTCGATCTGTCAAACGAAATAAACATTGGCGAATAATTGTATTTGTCCATAGACTTGATTTAGATGGACCAGAATAGGTTAACTGAAAAATAAACCAAAAAAAACATGAATCAATAAATTGTTGATCATCATGACCTTACTAATATTCTCAAAATCAAGAACATTTTTATTTTTTCAACCCTTTTCTTATCAAACATGTGACCTATGTCTAAATATATGTTTATTTATTGCTGCGCAAGTGTTCTATGTACCCCGAGAAATATCACCTGATTTTACAAAATGAATTTTTTTGTAAAGATAAAACTTTATCTGCAATTAGGAGTGAATCTAGGGCTTACTTTGATAGGACTATCCGGTGAGGACCACGAATTACTAGAAATCGTTTTTAACAATTTTTACGAGTTGGAAAAAAATCTTTTCGAATGCGACTGATTGCTCTCGCATAAATCAAACACTAGTCGTTATATGAAACGTTAAGTCTCCTATCGTAGCTAATCGAGTTGTCTTTGAAAAAAAATCGTAATCTTTAAAGAATCAATCCATTAGAAGATATGTATGATAGGGGTTTTAAAACAGCATATCGTTTGATTTTTTTCTAAGTGCATTTAATTTAACCCTAAGAGTACATTCGAGGCTAGTAAAATCCATGACTGTCGACTCTTCTTTTAAAACCTTTCCGGATTATACTATAAGATTCGATCAATATTTGTCAATTAACTTACTTGTCCACTAATATCTTTTGTAGCTCCCGTAGTTAAACTTCGAACAAATATATGCTTATCATGTATTCTTTTAAGCATATTTATTAATGGTGATGAAAAATTTTCATCATCATTTTCATCATCTGAAATCGACATTTGAGTGATAAATTGTGCTTTCGGAAATAGTTGTCGTAATTTTCTTTGCATGAATAATATTTTGCCATCAGAAAGTTTCAATAAATGACGTAAGATTTGTAAATCTTCAAAAATAAATATATCGGGTGATGCAATAATTTGTTGTTGAATGATTTCACAAAGATCATCGATATTAAACGATGGTTTTTCATTGAAAAATTGATCAGATAATATTGAAAAAAGTGGTATAAACATTAGAGGAGATGTTGATGATATTTCTGGTGTTTTTAACACATTTCCCATTTTATTTTGAACATGTTTCAAATGTGAAAATGGTGTTAATAAACTTATATAGACACAATTTAATGAATTCTTTATTGAATAACTTAAAAAATGTTGTAATAAAAAATTCGAATCAAAATCAAGACTTGTTAGAAGAATCGAATTAGACGATGGACGATGTGTATCATCAAGAAGTGCAGTTAGTTCGTCGAACATTGTGACAAAAAATCGATTTCACAAGAATAAAAAATTCAGAATTTCTGCTTTGCTCGTTATTTGGCAAATCTAGCAACAAAAAACTGCACTACAAATCGCTACTATTCATTTCATTCATTTATACTAATGCATCGATTGTAGCGCCACGTCTATGTTTGCGGAGGGCTTTACTGCTGATATTGAATGAAATAAAATAACTTGAGAAGCTAATTCAAATAAATGATAAATAAATCTTTTCAAAAACTGACGAAAGATACTAATCATAATAGAAGAATTTCCTACACGAAAAACAATTCACTGATATAATTGGGCTGTTCAATATTGTAGAATGTGTTCTGCTGGTATAAGCACATATTATTCGAATTAACTAATATTAGAGATTTGCAGGGTAAATTTTTGTTTGTAAGAAATACGTTGACGAAGAAAATTCTTTTAAATCTTATCATATATTGTAAATCATGCTTATCTTTGCCCCTTCCCTATTCTTCAGAATAGGGTAGAAAGGTTAACGATTCGTTTAGAGATAAGTAAGCAATCTTTCAAACCTACTTCCGTTTAACCGTACAGCATTTTTCAACATATTCTAACTGTAATTTCCTTAAAACAACTATACGATTTCAATCGTAAGAATATTAGAAGCTTTTTTTATTATTAATACGAGTTTTTCATGAAGATTATTAAAAAAATATGTTTTTTAAAACTATGCATATATGATTCAATCAGAAATGATTTATTTTTAATCATGAAATAAAATGATATAGTTTATTTGTCGAACCAACGTTCCATTCATTTACCATAATGTGGATAATGGTATAAGTAAACATAATTGTTTTGATTGTATCGGAGTTCGCAACGACGGCCACGATAGTTTTGTGGGCACGAACAAAAAGCTTGACCATATAAATTATTGCATCGACCACCATTGTAACACCTAGAATTTTGTTATAGAATGTACATGTTTTTTTTCTCTGTTTGTGAAAATAAATTTCATATATCTTACCAGCTAGATTGGCATGTACGAATACATGGTTGTAAACAATTCACACCATAAGTATTTGGCGGACAAATACAAACCGGTTGTAGTGTAAGCTGATTAACAACACAAGTTCCGAAATTTCGACAAGGGTTATTATAAAGACATGGATTGTTCGGTAATGGATTTACTGGGCAACTAGGATTGCCAATAACGTTAAATGGGCAAATGCAAATATATTGCGATGGATTTTGATTTGTTGGCACACATGTAGCACCAGCAGGACATACAGCATTGCCACATTGATTTGGAATTACAGGAGGTACAACCGGCCCAATGTTGGTACATTCCGCTGCACTTTGTGCAACTTGTAAGTTCGAACAAATACATGAATATTGAGCATCTGTTTGAACACACGTGTATGGTGCACAAATTTGTGCCGCCGCTGCATTGCATACTCCCTGAGTATGAACATTATTCACATAAATGGAGAGTATGAGTGCAATAACAATCATACCATTAAAAACTCCCATCATTATACGACTTCTGTCTATTCACTGTAAAATTTGAATGTTTTCGTATGCCAAAACAACAGAATTGATGGTTGTTTTTATAGAGCTGGAAAGGCATGATCTGGCAAGTCAATATTTTCATAGGAATCTAAGTACGAACCTTAACAAATCTTTTTATTAGTAACCGGACATTTGAATTCTTTTGACATCATTTAAAAAAAACAATGCTATACGATATGCTTGTTGTTGTCGCAGAATAGCAAAAACAAAATCGCACAGCCTAAACCTGATTAAGCTGTTAAATATCGTTTAAATATAAGTTAAACGAAGAGTAATTTGAGTTGTAGTGTAATTCATATATTTACTAATATCAAAAAATTCAGTTTCTGCAATACGATAGGAACTATTTAAATATGATTTAGTTATTCTGAATAAATTATTTTAAAACAAAATCAAGTGCATTTTATCCGAAGCTCTATTTTCAATTGAAAAATATTTCTAAACTAGATGTTAAAGTGATTTAGTACTAATGCGTACAAAATATTGTTGTTTTTTTCTTCTTGTTACGCGCAAAATGCCCACGATTTTGTGTGATAGATGAGCGAAAAACATATAAATGTCAGGTTCGATTTTATGTTTACCTGTGGGATTATGATTTTCCTTCCTACGTTCGATCCTATGATAAATGTCGTTGTTAGTGGTGAGGCAGTTATTCATTTTTGACAATTATGATCAGGTATTCAACGTAAACAAAAAATATTTTTGTTGCGCATTTTGGAACTGAAAGAAATTAGTATTAGGGAGTCTTTCGTTTTTAATATTATACAAGGCTCCAGTGATTCATGGATAAAATTTCATTCTGAATTCAAATGGATAAACATAAACCAATAGACTGTAAATATGTATTTATCATTAGGCTAAAGATATCTTGCTATTTAGCATGTTTACCGGTGTTGATAATTGATGAAATCTAATGACGAATTAAAACATCCTACACTATTTCAAGGTTTAGCTATTTCATAAAAACAAAATGTCATTATTAAATATACATTGCCTTTCTTGTCATCACGTATTCATGAAAGATAATAAATGACACATATGGTAGTAGGCATCTCAAGGCTTTCATTTGTCTTTTGTGTTACTATTGCGTTCTATTTCAAAAATAATAAATCAACAAGATTAATATTTATCTTATCGTACATGGCTAAATGTATTATTGTATTCGTTCATATTTCAAAAATTTTCCTTCCTAAATATCATTGCTTGATTAATATTAAACAAAAAAAGGCAGTTATTCTAATGCTATTTTTTCTCTCTTTATTTATTAACTGAAACTAAACAAAAAAAGTCCTTACACTTATTATCTGTCTGTCTATAATCTTACTGACTACGCTCTTTTTCTTTTTTTTTCTCTATTCAGGCATATTCAATGTCATCCATACATCAAAAAAAGATCCTAATAGTAACTCGAATAGTCTACGAAACAAAAAAAAAGACAAAAGAAGAATAATAGAGATAGAACGCACAAGAACAAAGAAAGAATGACAAGATAGAAACCCCGAAAAAAACATAGAAGAAATCACACAATCATAAAGAGGAAGAAATAATCATGATAGAAAAAAAACACAAAACATCAAACATGGCTTTTGGTCATCATTGCGCATAAGAAGAAGAATGAAGAAGAAACAACAAACGTAGATCCCTCATCTCCTTTAGAATTTCATCTTAGACACTCTCAGAAAATACAAGGGCTTAAGACCGGATATAGATGAAAAAAAAACAAAATGAGGAGGATCTCATGTTCACAAGTTAATTAATATGCTATGCTTCGCAAATATCCAAGAAATTACATACAAGTAATTATATACATATGAAAAATATTCGTTGCCGTAATTTGCTCGATAGCTACATTTAATGATTAGAGCAATGCAAAAGAAAAATGGCACGCGAACAGAGAGGCAATATATATATATATATATTTACAATGGAACAACAGAAGAAGAAAGAAAAAAACGTGATAAACAAGAGACAGACTATAACAAAATTTTAGTCGGAGTGCACGAAACCAGAGATTAGAAAAACACCAGAGAAGACGCAATCATAAATTGGAGACTTAACGGCTCGAATTAGATAATTTTGATCTCATCTCCAAGTAAACAATTCAATCTCTTCCGTTGAATACGCATCACGACTGACCCTGATGTTAACAAGAGAAAACAAAAAAAAAAGAAAAGAGAAAACAAAATCTGTACAACAAAAGAATACTGAAGGGAAGAACAAAAATCCATTAAATGTCAGATCGAAATCACTGGGAACGAAAAACGACCTATCCTATTCGCGTTCTTCTCTGATCTAAGGATTCATGCGGGAAGAAAAAAAGAGAAAAAAAAGGCAAAAAGTGTATAAAAGTAAAACAAATAAACAAAAGAAAAAAAAACAAGGACACTTCTATTTTTTTTGGATTTTTTTGCTTTTATATTTTTCACCAAACCCGTTCCGGATGTATTACATAAGGTTCATTCCTATTATTTGCCGTGCGACGACAATCAACAGATGAACTTCTGTAATTAGCCTGATGCATAACAAATGGAGCCGGTGGATGTGGTGGGGGCCCATACAAAATATATGGTGATACCGGTGAATACCATGGTGCTTGAGGATAAAAAGGTTGTTGTTGTTGTTGTTGTTGTTGATGATGATGATGCTGATAATACACAAGATCCGTTTCTGTATGAGCTCGAAAATGTATTGGTGAATTAATTTGTGGTGATGCAACTACAACTATTGGTAATGTTGGTGCTGGTATTAATGGAGTTGGAGTAAGTATTATTGATTGTAATGGTAGTGGAGGTGGTAACGGCGGTGGCGGTGGAGATGTTGGTTGAGGTAGATTATCTGCTGATGGTATATAAAACTTTGATATTGGCCGATGAATAACAGTTTTATAACTACAACCATAATCATCGTCACCACCAATATCTTCATCACCTGACGTCATTGTAGCACTAAAAATAAAAATTTCAATCGAATAAATTATTTTCCCAATAGAATCTATTCATTGGAGAATTAAAGTCTAATATATATATACTATCATCAAGTAAAAAAGAAATTTTTTGATTCCGTTTATTAAATTATGATTAGGAATGCTGAACTCAATGACGTTTACTGATTGAATTATAGAGAAAATTTACCTTGATAATCGTCGACGTAAACATTCAAAATTTTGATTGTCTTCGTCGTCATCATCATCAACAACAACAATGCCATTTGTTTGTGCTTTCTTCTTCTTTCGTACACGTCGTTTTCCTGCACATGGCGTTGATTCAATATCACCCGTTTCTTCATCATCATCGGCATCACTATGTGATGATGATGCTCGACTCCTTTGATGTAAACTATCAGTACTATGTGAACGATAATGAATCATACGTTTACGTTCTTCAATCATCTTCGTTATGCTTAATGCATCTTTCGTAAATGATTCCAAACGTCGAATACTATCATGGCTGAAGAAGAAAAAAAAAGTAACAATATATTTTTATTCTCGAAAGTAGTTTGTTTATTCATACCGTTGTAACAGTTCAGGCGTATTCAATGGACGCTCATCGTCAAGTTCCTGATTAAATTTAACCCATGGATCTTGAAGAACTTCAGCAGCTGTTAAACGTAATGCAGCATCGCGCACTAATAAACGCTTTATTAAATCTTTCGCACCATCAGAAATGTATTTCCAATCTTTCTCCGGAAAATCAAATTCTCCATCTTGTATGCGTTCGAATAATAAACTCTGACATTGTTCACATTCTTCACCTTTTGTCCAACCACATGTATGACCACAAGAGCCATAGAATGGTGGATAACCGCATAACATGATATAGACAATAACACCCAACGACCATAAATCACAACGCTTATCATACATTTGTAATGAACCTTCAAGACTTGTCCATGCATCAACGACCTCCGGAGCCATAAATTCAACTGATCCGACCTTGAAAAATATTAATGAAGGAAAAAAGACATTAGTAATGTTTTGAGAAAAATATTTCTTTTCAATAATTACAGGTGTCGATAATTCTGGTGTTGATATCGGTGTCGTTTTATTACTATTGAGGCGAATAGCTGAACCCAAATCAAAATCACATAACTTTATCGGTATTAATGAATCGGCACGTTCAACTAAGATATTTTCCGGCTTTAAATCTCTATATAAATAATTATGGAGTTAGGAAAAGAAACTGATAAAAATGTTTTTTTTTTAATATACGTACCTATGTGACATGCCCTTGGAATGAAGAAAATTGAGACCATTAGCAATACCACGTACGACCAAGCTTGTTTCTCGTTCTGTTAAACGACCCCGTTTCATTATGTGATTAAGTAATGGCCCTTAAAAAAAATTGAAAAGGCTCCTATGATTAGAATAACTAATTTATCAAATGTAAATACATACCGCCTTCCATTTTTTGAAAGACAAGATAAAAATAGTCATCATCTTCAAGAAAATCAATTATGCTTAGAATATTTTCACAACCACGGCAATGAGAATAAATATCGATTTCTTTAAATACACGCGTTCGATCCGGATGACGCGCTTTACTAATTATCTAAATAAAAACAAAAAGAGATGTTATTCGTGGTTGTCTTTGTTTCATCTAGAATGTTCTGTGTGATATTATTCTTCTTTTTCTTTCTTTCTCTATTCCTCTTCTTTTCTTTTTTCATATGTCACAAATAGTTCACGTCCGGGGTCGTTCGTTCTTCTTTCTATGCGTAATGCATATTGACCATTCTGCAAATCGAGCACGTATTCGCAACTCACAAGAACATATTTGCATGTATATTGCAAATGATAACATTTAAGTCTGATAGGCATACCTTAACAGCATATTCTTGTTTTGTCATTCGATCGCGACACGTCTTAACAACTCTATTTAAAAAAATATTGTTATTTGAATTTTAGTTTTAATTTTTTCGTCACATACCCGTGTGCACCGGTACCAAGTAATTCTTCAGTTAATTTATATTTATCATTAAATGATATATCCGAATATGAATTAGCTGTTCGGCGTTTCTTCTTTTTTTGCTGTCTTTTTTGCACGCTTGTCGGCGAACTTTCTGATTTACACTCGGCATTATTAGTTGTATCACGTAGTACAAGCTCTTAAAAAAAACAACGATGAAATAGTTTCACGATTTTGCGTTCTATTACCTGTTGGCTTCGATACATTTAATGATGATGGTCGATTTATTTGTGGTCGTCCGACGTTTTGTGGTGTTGGTGTCAGCATTGTCGATGTCGACGGACTACTATTTGTTGATTCGTCATGAGAATGAATAGCTTCATTATTCAATTCTTCTTCACTCTAAATATATTGATTTATTGTATTCTAAGACATTATTTTACGAATAAAAACTTACGAATGTAAACATAGCGTCCATTGTTCTCAGATTTTGTTCGTCCGATAATTAAATAATAATAAATTAAATAGTTTTGGGATAATTACTGAGTAAAGCTAGTCCCATCAAACAATTTTCCGTAACTGATGAACGATCTTCTTTCACTCACTAGCAACACACACTTTTTTAGACGCCGCTTGCGCGCACGAGAGAAATAAAGGCTATAGAACAGTTTGCTTTCTATTTATACCACAATTTATGGCCTGCCTCGCGTTCTCTCTTTTCTCTCTTTTTTTTTCTCGTTCTCTTTTTTTCTTCACAGCCCGGGTATATATAATATAGCCCACTCTTTCAACGACTTTACGTGCCTCGTTTGCTTTTACTATCGCTACGTCAGCGCATGAGAAGAAAAAAAACGATAGAGAATTGAGGAATATATATATATATATATATACATATAAACACGTGCTCGTTTCTTATTTACCTAAAAGCACGAGTTAGGGTTAAGGTGTTCGCCAATCTCTGTACCGATAGAATACGATAAACAACGATTATTCAGTCGCTATAGTACAGTAGTAGAAAGATAAGAACCCAAAGAACACATGAGAATTTTTAGTATATATCAGCGTAGCAGTATTTTGTCATTCAGTATGATATTTATTACGCAGTTTTCCAGAAGAAAAGAATCTTATTAATTATTTTGCGAATCACATGATGTTTGCAAGGTAAACATCTGTAGAAATAATCATAATATAATTGACCATATCCACGAAAATTATTCTATAATTAACTTGAACAGTAAAAACCGATTAATATCAAGATTGAAAAGCGAAAAGCAGAAGAAAAAATAGATGCCCTTGGTTGTATGTAAATTTAGCCGTGTTTATTGATTTTAACAAAATGCAATTGAGTCATTTTTTTTTCCATGTTACAGGGAACATTCGAGAACAGCACGTGTTTGTAAAGAGAAGAACTCTTTCTTTTTTCAAAACTATATATCAACGAAATCTATTGATAGTGCATCAGAGTTTTTTTGCTCGTTTACTTCCCGATCTATCATTCGTTTCTATCTTGATGACACATAAAGATTTCATTGATCAATATATATGACGTGGCAGCAACGACAGATGGTTTCTATTGTCTTTTATTTTTATTTAGGCATGACATTCAATTCTTTTTCTTCTTTCATTCTGTATAAAAATAAAAACTCAAGGGGAAACAATGACTCTCATGCGTGCGCTAAAAAAAACAAACCGACGTAAACTACGTTGCCCACATTCGAAATCGTGATCAGATACTATAGAGACGCATGCGAACGAAGCGAAATCTTTGCGTACGTGTGTACCTATATCTCATATTTCTCGTTTTGGTTTTAACAAAAAAAGAAACTAGGGAGAAAAAGAAGAAAAACAAAAAGTAACTTACTGCTGCTTTGGAAGCGTATTGAAAAGCATCAATATTTGGTGTCATCGCTGATTGTTCGAAACATAAAGAATAGTCATAGGATCGTTTTTTCTTTCGTATTTATATACTATCGGCCTTGTCTATCTCAAACAGTGACACGTCGGTAGAATCGACATTTCATCAGCTTACTGACTAAGAAAAATATATCGACGTCATTCGTTATAATCATGTCAAACAATTAGAAAACAAAATACCAAAGAGATTGAAGTAGAGTTTGATGGATTACAATTAGTCTTAGCTTCAATGACAAATTTTGTCCATAACTTTCTTTTATATTGATAAAAAGACAAATTGAACGTTGATGCAGTCGAGTGACTCTTGTTTATGTCAATGTGAATATGTTTGAGAAGAAGAAGAGCGCCTACTTTTGTTGTCAAATAATGAATTCTCATTCTCAAGCACTGCTATTTATGACTATTCCGTAAAAAATAAAGAAATGCAACCACTTCCTTTTTAATTTAGCAAGTCATTAGTAATATTCAGGTTCAATTAATTGTGCTCGTCGTTCGTCGAAACATGACTGATGTTTCTAGAATCTTTTTTTATCCAAATATAAACTCTATGACGCCATTTTACTTACAGTAGCACAATTATTCATCATTAAGAACACACAAATACCAGGTATTCTCATTCTCAGGATTAAAATCAAACGGAATTGTCTTTTACTTCTATTGCGATAACTGATTTTTAGTCAAACAATATGAATCAGACTTTTTAAAATAGATTTAAAGGCAATACTAAATCAAACAAATCACTTTCTGCACTATAGCTAAGAAAATGTTATTATAGATATTTTTGTTGATGAAGCATTGCGAAGTTACATTTAATAAAAAAACAATTGTCACCTTCATGGTCACATTTTTCTTCTTTATAATTCGGCCCAATGTAAAATACATATTCGTACATTCTTAAGTGATAGAAAGAATAAATTTTAATTATTTCGTTTTTATTTATTCAAGTCAACAATCTTAGATAAGACTCCGCCTATAGTTCGACCTTTGAATTATGCAAAAAATTTCGTATTTTTTAAATTTAAACATCTGTACTAACACGAGTCAAATACATATATCTGTTTGTATAAATATTATTCTTATTATAATCAAACTGGGTACTTTAGCTACGAACTTATCTGCTAGACAAATATTGAAATAGTATTATTAAGAGGAGGTTGAAACACTATGAAGCTTGTTAACAGTATACACTAGACGGCTTTATTTATATACACGCACATAGAGGACGCATAATGAAAAACGTATTCATGAAATATAAAACCTTGAGTTTGTATAGAAATTCAGCTGATTAATCTTCTTATTTGATAAATAAGGATGATAAATAGCTTTCATCCCTTTGTATCTTTCGTAAAAAAGCGTACCAATATTGGATAAATGAGATTAGGCAACAGCAAATGTTAGTTCAAACAGTTCACTATTTTTATAATAGCAATCATTGATTATTTTTTCTTCTTTTTTTAGTTTCGTTGACCGTGAAAACGTTAATTTCATCGCTGCACGAAGAAAAAAACGATTTCTCTAGCTTGCAACATGTCATGTTTGATGACGTCGCACAATTTCTGCTAGTTTATCTTTCCAGAGTTAGATAAATAGAAGTGTATTATGATATTCAATTACGCAGTTCTTCTGCCCTACTTTCGGTCGATCGTATCGTTGAATCACTATATTAATTCTATTATTATTATTTAATTGCAATATTTTATTAATTCAAACTTAAATCGTACTTAAGAAATTTTTCACTCATTATTCATATATATATATATATATATATATATCTACAAAAGAAGAGAAGCTAATGAATAATTTTGTGGCGCCATCTATACGAAACCATTAAATTTGTTAAGAAATGGCAAGTTGACCATATACTAATACTAGTACTAGTTGATAGAGCGCGTCTAATTGCAATTTTCAGAATTTTCTGCTTATTAATATATCATACACTGAGATATATAACAAGCAATCATGTAGAAGAACCTTGCTTTTTCATGTTAGTTAGAGATTTTGATTTTCTTTTTTGATAGAACTAATGAAAATTTTTTTACACAACAGTATCGTTGATGACATATAAAAGCCGACAGAATGTGTTATGTAGAAATGTTGAAGTAAGAAACTTGTCAAAAAATTTGATACATTATGTAACCACTGAGTTTAGATGTCTGCGCATTATTGTTGGTTTTCGGTTATTCTATCGGGTTTGTATCTTTAACCAGGGGTAACATTGATGAAAGATATCCGATAAAGATTAGTTTAAATAACTACGAGCGTATCATCATGGCCACATCTGTTCTGCCATGGAGGTAAACTATCATAGTCAATTATTGTATTTATTAATTGACATGAAGCAAGGTCTTTGACTCTTATCCAATGGTTATTATAATTACGAGATATTAAAAGAGTACATTTTATTAATATCTAACAAAAGTTTAATCATGAATTCACAATCAAGGTTATCTATCCTTTAAAAAAAATCTGCGAGATTTTATATCCTTGAAAAGCTGTTCTTCTGGCATATGTTTGACACTAAAATCACAAGAAGCAGAAATTGTGTCAAGGTCGGAAGCGGAACTAAGCATTCTAGTCTATAATGCTATTGATTCAAGCAAGCATGTTATAAATGAGAATATAATTGAAGAACGACAAGGTCCCGCAAGACGCCCAATCAACAACGAAAGCCAAAAAAAGGAAGTATTATCGACAGTACTAAAACTGAGCCCCCGTATATTTTTCTTCATAAGATCACTATAAAAATGTTACCATTATCCTGCATAATCATGAGAGTGTTTTGGTTGGTAGACTATTTTAAATCACTTTTCGTTTCATTCAATACTTCCAAGTTTAATCCTATTCAATTAATGAAGGATTATTTTTTGTAGTTCGTATATCGATGCAATTTGAGATAAAATAATCCAATCAAATGGCTCCACAATCTTAATACTTTTCTCTTTTAATATTGATATTCTACGAGACACATAAAATGATTCGCTTGTCTTTTAAATAGTGCTTCACACTTTATTTTTTTTGAAATTCTTCGACTTACACATCCGAGGTCGTTGGTCGTACGATTGCAAATAAAGACAAGAACAAAAAAAATTTGACGATCATAATATGATCGTCTTACAAACATCTGAGAACCAAACCGAGAAAAAAAGCACGATTCTAGTAACACAATGAGAATTAAGTGACAATAATCAAAGAGATAGTAACATGAAGAAAGCTAAAATCGTCTACGAAGCTAGATCTCCGTTGACCAGTTTTCTTTTAAGACGATATTATGAGAGGAGAAGAAGACGAGAAAAAAAATCAGGACAAGTGCGAAAGAGATAGAGAAGAGGAAAGACAAAAAAGCAGTTAGAGCCAAAAAGAAGAAAAAAAGGTCTTGAACAACTTCACACAAATATTTGCTTTGATTGACTTTTTTGTTTGTTTTTGAATTATGTTCTCTAATTAACTTGCAAACGAGAGAAAACAAAAAAGAACAAATTTATAGGAGTGCAAAATATAGAAATATAATATATATATATATATACAAAGAGAGGGACCGGTAAATGAATACTAGGATAAGATTTC